TGGTTTCAAAGGTTTATAAAGTACTGAAATCACGCGGTATACCTGTGTGGATGGATATTCATGGAGGAATCAGTTTTAATCTATTTCAAAGGTATAATGTTATGATTTCGATTTGATGAAACTGATTTTTCTCGTTTCTTAGTATGGCAGATGGAGTTGAAAATGCCGCTGTTGTTTGCTGTTTTATGACACAACAGTATCAAAATTCACGTAATTGTGAAAAAGAATTACTATATGCGGAAAGAAGACGAGTTTCTATCATTCCATGTCGATTAACTCGTGGCTGGGAACCGTCCACTTGGCTTGGACTTGTTACTGCTGGACTAGTATGGATCGATTTTCGTGAAACAACGGACGCTAATGTGGATGTTAAAATTGATAAATTAATTGATCAGATTCGAATCGTTGCTGGAAAACAAATGAGTTGTTTCTTGCCAGGTTTGGTCCACTTTTTCATCATTGAAAACTTCTCCACCGTTGAATTTTTCATTTAGAGACACCCAGTATCGCACAATTACCTGCGATAAATACCACCACTTCTTCAAATGCACTCTATCCTATTCTTCCAGTATCCATTGATGTGCCAAAACCAAATACATCTGATGTACATAATCTTGTGCGTGCTTCATCGATTGATTCGACAAAACGATCGAATACTTTAACGTCTCGTCAGCATCAGAGTGTCGATCACACGACTTTGGTACAACCGACACCACCACCTGTGCCTCCACGACCGGACAAATCTTTACTTCGTGATCGATTATTACAAATGGATGAAAAGAAGAATTTGAATGAAACTGAGTGTTGTTCTGATGAGAAAAAAGAGAACAGGTATAGTTATTTACGTTGCTCTCGAAAACGACTCTTTTCAAATTGATTTCGGATTGTCTTCAGTGTACCGTTATCGGGTGGAAAGCCAGATATTTGTGAAGTGTCCATACAAAATCAAGCAAATGCACGTTCAATACCTGTAAGTAACACGGAACATATGAACGAATGGTTTTACAGATTGTTGATACATTTGTTTTTGAAATAGGACGTATTGGATGTGTCTCCTACAATCGTTGCTGATGAGAAAAGACGTACGGGCACCGTCATTGATTATTCAAAATTTCGTCGTCCGCCACGGATTATTGGTGATGATAACGATGAGATCTCTCTTTCCTGTCCATCAGGAGTTGCTGTATCAAAGACGGGCCTTATCTATGTAGCTGACCAGCAGAATCAATGTGTGAAAGTCATTCCATTATTAGGAAGCAGAAAGCAAATTTTATCACGTCCATTTAATCGACCGAAAGGTGTTCATGTTGACGAACTTGGTCGTGTTCTTGTTACCGAGCATAATCGTTTGCTCATACTCGATAATGAGCTCAATCTACTCAAAGCCATTGGAGATCACGGTTCGAAGCCGGGTGAATTCAATGTACCGTGGGGTAACACAGAAAGAAACGAATATCTCCGATACACATTTTATTTCTTTCGTAGGTGTGACTACAGATTCGTCATCGAATATTTACNAGGTGTTCATGTTGACGAACTTGGTCGTGTTCTTGTTACCGAGCATAATCGTTTGCTCATACTCGATAATGAGCTCAATCTACTCAAAGCCATTGGAGATCACGGTTCGAAGCCGGGTGAATTCAATGTACCGTGGGGTAACACAGAAAGAAACGAATATCTCCGATACACATTTTATTTCTTTCGTAGGTGTGACTACAGATTCGTCATCGAATATTTACATATGCGACCAAATGAATAATCGCATACAAAAATTAGACACGGATGGACGATTCCTACTTGAATGGGGTTATGAAGGTGAACATGCTGGTCAATTTTACTATCCACATTTTATCTCTGTATCAGGCAATCGTGTAGCTGTTTCCGATCAATTGAATCACCGTATTCAAGTTTTCGATTGTTTCGGAAATTATCATTATAAATTAGGCGAATCTGGCAGTGAGCCAGGTCAATTTAATTGCCCATTTGGAGTTTGTATTGACGCCAATGGTCATATCATTGTTGCTGATCATGACAATAATCGTGTACAATTCTTCGATGCTTATGGTGATGTTCAACTTGTGTTAGATCGAGAATCGAATCCTCTGTTCGATTTTCAAGGTGTTCATGGTTTAGCATTGACGCATGACGGAGGACTATTGATTACAGATTATAAACGCAATGGAAAACACCGTCTATTTATTTTTGCATAGTTAATGTAGTGCAATATAATGTTTCAGAATGCTCTTTTTTTTGTTTCGTTAATCGTTTGTCAGTGATTTTGTTTTTCCGCATAGATTTTCATGACTTCTTTATATAAAAAGAACATTTTCGACATGATTTCAACTCGTTGTAAGCATCTCTCACATGACAACATCAACATAGGGATTATGGTTGGCTTTCACCCGTAAGGCAAATACATTTACAATACGATCCGCCATGTATTTCCGTAGATGAGTGACATCTGTGTATTATCGTAATCGTTCATAATTACCTATGTTATGTTTAGCTGAATCATAGGCAATTATCTTATTCACGCAGTAGACTTTATTAATAATGCAGAAACTTTTCTGAATCAAGCTGGTGATTGATACTACAAAATAATAATCAGATCATAGATAGATTGATACACTATTTGCATCTTTTACTTTTGCATTTCTCCTCTCCTCGTCGCTCTTTCGCACTCATTCATTTTGTGTTTGCTTTTGATGACTCATCACCCTAAGAATGCCCGAAAAAGAACATACAAATATATATATATATATACATATAGCCATATACATCCATTCTTTTGCGTCGACTTTACCACTCACTTGATCGACTGGTAATAAAATAAAGCAAGAAGAATATTTTATCCGAATCTCCTATCGATCATTTGTATCGACTCTTCTTCGATAACAAGGACACTGACAACAACAACAAAGAAATACTTTATAAAGTTCACTCATCAATTTCTTATTTATTCTTTTCTAGATGCCGTTCTGGAAGAAAGATCCTGTGAAAAAAGATATTTATACCAATGTTGCCGAAGGTTTACGGCAAGTTTACAAGACGAAACTATTACCACTAGAAGAAGCTTATAGATTTCATGAGTTTCATTCTCCACAACTCGATGACAGCGATTTCTCAGCAAAACCAATGGTACTTCTTGTTGGACAATACTCCGTCGGAAAAACAACGTTCATACGTTATTTATTAAATGTAAATACATGGTTTTTCTTAATGTTTATCTAATGGTTTTTCTATTGTAGGAAGATTTTCCGGGTATTCGTATTGGTCCGGGTAAGGAGTGTCTTGATTTCTAATTATCTGTGTTTTGCTAATTGAATCTATTTTCTTAGAACCAACAACAGATTCCTTCATTGCCATCATGCATAATGAACATCCAGGTACTATTCCTGGCAATGCTTTAGTTGTCGATCCGACGAAACCGTTCCGACCATTGTCGAAATTTGGTAATGCGTTCTTGAATCGTTTCGTGTGTTCACAGTTACGCAATGAAGTACTGGAAACTGTGACATTTATTGACACACCTGGTATCTTAGCGGGTGAAAAACAACGAGTTGATCGTGGTTATGAGTTCACACATGTTCTGGAGTGGTTTGCTGATCGTTGTGATCGCATCTTACTTCTCTTCGACGTCTCGTCGTTGGATATTTCCGATGAGTTGAAACGTGCGATCGAAGTTTTACGACGCAACGACGACAAAATACGTATTGTGCTGAATAAAGCTGATTCCGTTGATCATCAAGCTTTGATGCGAGTTTACGGTGCATTGATGTGGTCTTTAGGAAAAGTACTTGGAACACCTGAAGTTTGCCGAGTTTATGTTGGATCATTCTGGTCAAAGCCATTGAATTTCGATTCAAATCGACGTTTATTCGAGTTGGAGACCAAAGATCTATTCGATGATTTAGGTAAATCTCAACTATGTTAAAGTTAATATTGATACTTTCATACAGAACATAATTGAGAGAGAAAATATGTAAGCGATTTATGAGACTGAGATAAGATACATAATTTAAACTTCCTCCGCAAATATTTATTCTTTTATTCTAAATTTAGAATCACTACCTAAGACAGCAACACTGCGCAAGTTGAATGATCTGATCAAGCGTGCTCGTTTGGCTAAAGTAGGTTCATTATCATTTCAACACATCGATTATCTATTGATCTAATATAGGTACATGCATTGATTGTCAGCGAGTTGAAAGATAGCATGCCGAGTGTATTTGGTAAAGATTCAAAACGCAAAGAATTGATCAGTGTAAGTCTATTGATCTTTCAAATACGAAGGAACTGTGTTGTATTTGATTAGAAATTGCACCTTGTCTACGAAAAAATTCAACGTGAACACAATATTCCATTAGGTGATTTTCCAAAACTCGAACGCATGCAAGAGTTGTTACGAAATATGGTAAAATACGTGTGGATTCTCTCCGATATAGATGGCATAACACTTTTTTCTCTTCATTTTTAGGATTTCACAAAATTCAAACCATTGGACAAGAAATTACTTGATCGCGTGGATAAAATGCTTGCTGAAGATGTGCCAAAATTAATGAGTATGATTCCACAAGAAGAACACAGTTATTTACAATTACAGAGTCAAACAACACATCACACAACTTCCACGTCAAACACGATCTTTACGGACCAGCAAGCTACACCATTTGAACTCGGTGGTGTCGAAGGTATCAATGCAGGTGTTGGCGAAAGCGATTGGATTGTGACACGATCAAGACATGAATACGATCAAGTATTTGCCTCGCTATCACCGCAGAACGGCAAAATTAGTGGTGCAGCAGCTAAACAGGAAATGATTAAATCGAAACTGGTAAGTTTGAAAAAGAAATCTTTCTAAACGAATAATCCGATTGTAAATGTTTTCCAGCCGAACAACGTTCTCGGTCGTGTGTGGAAATTGAGTGATATTGATAAAGATGGCATGCTCGACATTGATGAATGGGCACTTTCCCAACATTTAAGTGAGTTTTGATGACGAGTCTAAACTGTTTTCAACTATTTTCTTTTAGTTAAAATCAAACTTGATGGTCACGAACTTCCCAATGCATTACCCGATCATCTCGTTCCTCCTAGTAAACGTCATTTAACTGCTAATGAAAACGCTAGTCTTTACCCTACAATCGTTGCTAGTAGTGGCGAACAACATTCAAATGGTGATAGTTAATTTTGTAGTTTCTTCGATTAGTTGATATCCTGCATGAATACTGCTTGGAAGATCGTTTTTTGAAACAACAGTGAAACTGCTTTTACGAGGAAAACAATCTAATTATTATACATATATATTTATCTCATTTTATCTTGCCTTTGCTCTCTCATTTTTTCATGCAATCGTGTGCGCGTGTAAACTTTGATTTTCTTTTTTTTTAAATACAAACTCCGAATTTTTCTCTCCTCTACTGTATCTATTCACGCTTGCCTAGATGATTCTTTTGTGCAGTAGCCGACAAACGAACACGGAAATATCAATGAATAAACTGAACACATGTTCCGGAAAAACCTAAACGGAAAACGTGATTGATTCAATTTCTACTCGTTCCTCTTTTTATTCAATGATGATAATTGAGATTTGAAACTCTTATCATATTTCACCTATTTGTTCAACAAACTGATAAAATATCATGTTTAAAGCGACTTCCGTAGAAGTTTTCATTGAGTGTGGACAAGATAACTTCGTTGACGCATGCCATTCTGTGTAAATCAAAGGAAAAAACAAGATCGATAAGTATTATCAATCATTTGATATTTGACTTCAAATATAACAGACATGAAAAGGTAAATATATTCACACGTTGCCGAATGTCTATGATCGCTAACTAATAAAAATAGACAGATTTGCTTATTTATCCAAACATTTGTGACAGCAGGCAGGCGCGTAGTCTTCATTTGATCTCGCTTCATCACTTTTCATTTTTTTCTCTTTTTAAAACAAAGAAGACATTTCCTTCTCTCTCTCTCTGTCCCTCTCTTCTCTCTCATTTTCTTTTTTGACTTCATTTACTGAAAGAAAAAAAAAAGAAGTTTTCCTCTTCTGCTTCTTCTTTTTCTCATTTTCTTGTAGAGTAGACTAATCATCCGTTGCTCTCTTGTTTTAACTGTTGAGTATATGTCTCTGTTGTGTAGATACCTTCTCACTTTTTTAAAGACATAAAAAGGAAAAGAGAGAATAAGAGAAAAGAAGAATGACANCAAGCGAATAATTTGCAACTTAGCAACGTTGTTGAAGCAATACTTGAAAAAGCTAATGGATTTTTTTCATTATCTCAAAAAATGCTCAGGAATGCACTGATATGTGTATATACAATCTTTCGAATTCATTCATATGAACTTAATGATGACTTATTTTCTTTCTCTCTCACTCAATTCTATTTCGTTTCACTTTTTCTTTCTAATGAGACAGAAAAATATTTGATCTGTTCTGTCAGCTTCGAATTGTTGTTGCCATAGAAGACGACAGTGTATTTTCTTCTGACGAGCATTTGTTTTTGTTGCTTACATGATAGAACACTGAATGGATGATGAATTGACAGGTGAGCATGAAACGATCGAAGGTTCGAGTTGACGAGTCTCAACTGGATTTCTTTTTCAAGAATATCCCAAGCATCATGTCGATGTGCAACCGTGCCAAACGTGCGGCCGACGATTCAATATCGAAACATTGGTAGGATGAAAAGCAACACAATTACTTGTCGAATAGAATCATTGTTTGACAGAAGAGTTCAGAGTAGAAGTCTTTTAATAAGTTGAAATAATATGAGACTCTCTTCCGGTGAACAGTTCTCGACAAGAAAAGAAATACGATCAGATTGCACACGAATCTCCGATTTCGTTCCTGGCGCAAACCTCAAATTTGATTTGTAGAGCAAGCATCAAGCTATTTGTCGAAAAGTATCAATTAAAACAAGAAAAGTATTCGATACGGGAAAACAACGGGCTACTGACTCTGATGTGCCGTACAAAGCAACGCAACGAACAACACAAGTAATCAGAAAATGTTTCCATGAGATTATTGAGATAAATTAACGATGAACGCATTTAGATATATAATGGAGAAGTTCGAGCACAAGACGATCGAGTAAGAAGAGAGGAAATTCGATGCTGATGATGAAAATACATTGTTGTGCGGATAAATTCTAGTCAATGGGAAAATCGAAAACGATTTGGAGAGAAAAGCATCAACGATTAATTCGATCTATTCGCGAAGCTCGGTCTGTTACTCAGTCTATGAAACAAGGAGTACCCTTACCGGCTTTTCGACCGAGTGAGGTTCCATCAGGTTAATCCTTTATATTTGCTCATTCACTCTCATGTTCTAATTCTTTTTTTTTCTGAAGATTATGTTTCATGTCCTTGCTGTCATCGTAATTTTAATGAGCACGCTGCCAAACGGCACATTCCTTTGTGAGAATTCTCTTTCAATTGAGATCAACTCTCATCGTTAGTCTACATACTTTAGTTGTCAAACCCAACATGAACGAAAACATATTCAATCTTCTTCAAAATCCAAGCAACAACTTGACAGGGTATTGCATGCATTCTTAGAATTACGAGACAAATATCTTATTTCAGGGACGCACTCTACCTCCACAACGTTTAACTAATGAAGACATGTACGCAAGTCCTGATGATGTCTATAAGAATAGTTACAAGACAACCAAGTCAGCTCCGATGCGATCTCGACGGAATCCTGCCGAGTGAGTTCCTTATCGACATGTTATCGAATTAAATCTAATTTTAGATATCAGCCACTACCAGCACCGCCGAAAACATCCAATAATGATTGGAGAAGTCGTCAACGATCTTTCGGAGCGAATTTAAGCGAGCAAACAATACCTGCAACGTATTATCAAACATCCAATGTAAGTTAATCGCATGCAAATCATTCATTACACATGCCCTACTTTTAAGCACGAGGAAACATATGAACCGCCGCTTCATCGTCCTGTTCAACAACGGATGCTTATGCGCACAGGACGTAACCAAGACAACACCAATTTAAATGTACGTGCTCGTCAGAAAAATGACGATGCAAGCATATACATGCGTCGACTGGCACCTATGCCAAGTGCTCCTTCATCATACAGTCAAACCAGATATCATCATAGTAATAATCAACACAATTCCACAAGACCAACCACTATTGGTCGACCGCCACTAGCACCAACATCTGGGAATCGATGTCATGACTGCGGTAGAACATATCTAATTCCTACTGCTCGATTCTGCACGGAGTGTGGCTCACAACGATGATACAAACATTCTCATCTATTGCTCTTCCAAACTTAATTTACGTATAAAACGATGTGTTTGTAAAGTTAAACCGTATTTTACAAACAGATCGAATAAATAAACAAAGCAGAAATAGGCGTGGCGAAGTATAGATTGACCTAGTCTGAAAACATTATTCTGAAGTGACACTTGATAAGAAAAGAGATCTATTTCATTCTTGTATTTTTTTTTCGAAACGAATCGGAAGTCGTTTATGTGTGAATTCAAGCTCAGATTGATTTCGATTAGAAAGAAAAATCAGAAAGGAAATTATCTCATTAATTGCCTACATGAAGTTTTCAACTCGACTAGGAAGGAAATGTTTGTTTTTCATTGTTTTAAATAGAAGAAATTCAAACCTTGGAAATTCCACTCGCATCTACGATTTTTATTTGCAAAAAGAAAGAAAAGATATATCAATAGCATCACGGTTGTGTTATATCAAACAGCGAATTGCTACGCAAAGCAAAACTAGCACTGGTAAAGTTCGTGATTGGCGTCCATGAATGAAAAGTAACTGTGGATACTGGCTCAAACATGTGAAAACCATTTCGTGAGAAATAACCACTTATATGTGACGATACTTCCAACCAAACGAATAATGCTGGTCGAGTGGCTGAGATTCGAAAGACAATATCCATCGGAGTTACTTGTTGAACATTTTCTATGCGAAGATTCGGTTGATACAACTGATAGGCTTTGGGTGAGGTGAAAAATAATGTTTGGTCAACTTGATGATGATTATGGTTTAACCAACAGTGTAGAATACAATATTGACGGTCATTAGAACAATCCGCGCGGTTCATCAATAATTTGTAAGGTAGATCAACGATATGTTTCAAAGTGGCAAAGCCGAGAGTAATATCATATGCCATAGACATTCGTACAGCGAATGTATCTAATGTGTGAATCGAACATGTCAATTGACCAGATATTTCTTTGGCAAAATCATTGACAACATTTAGAGAAATACGTGCAGTCTCATCAGTAACATTCGCTTGATAGGGAGTAAGAATTGCGATAGGATAAACAGGTTCATACATATGTTGCACGTAGTAATGAGCCATTTTCCATCGAAATCCATATTCAATGGTTGACCATGTAGGTCCTTGCCAAATATCATTGATTTGCCAATACATCAAACCCATAGTGTGACTGAAAAGTAATACTTGTGGACTTATGCGACACAAGACGAAACTTACCCTTGACTCGTTTTTGGGTCTATCGTATTTTCTGATGAATGCACTCGACAGACATCACTAATACTTTTCAGTGTCATTGCTTGATTGATTTGACTCAAATAAATCAGTTGTGTAAAGTTTTTCAATGGATCTTTTGTAACTGGTAACGGGAGATTACTTTGAATATGCAACCTATCAATATGGAATCAAAATAGAGATGTTTAGTCATTATTAAATATAGAAATGATAACGAACATGATTCCAGTGAGTTGATTGTTCGAATGTTCTCGATGTTGAAGGAATGAGCTGTTGAAATTGAAATCCACTGGATTACTTGTTGCTTGTTTCCATGTATCTAAACTTGGCAATGATTGAATTCCTGTTTCCGAAAGGAAACGGGTGATTGGATATGTGCGTGGATCCCATGAATCAATACCATAGCCATAAAAATGAACATCACCTACACAATGCATCCTCATTGCAAACTAAAGCCGAATTCATGTGAAAACTTACCATAAATCGAATCATTTGGATCAGTAGCAATATAATCTTCTTTGATCGATTCAATACCATTGCTTGGTGAGGAAGTCACGAATGGCCGATTGTTACCTTTATCGATTTCTTTAACAGCAGCCATAACTGTGTTCACATATAACTGTCGATAATCGTCTTTCACTTTCGCCATTCTTTCTTTTGGTATGTCGTACCAGTTTTGCGCCACAGCTCCTTCATTTTCGTTATTTCCTGCCCAAAGAACAATCGAAGCATGTGATTGAAGACGTTTCACTTGATACACAATTTCGTCATGAACATTTTGTAGAAATGCTTTATCCACTGGATATCTGATCATAGAAAAATAGGAGTAAGTTCAATTGCAATCAATTCAATTCACTTACAAGCTGCAAGCAAACATGAAATCATGCCATAACATGATGCCTAAATGATCAGCTAGTTCATAGAATGAGTTGCGTTCGTAAATACCACCACCCCAAATACGTAGCATATTCATGCTTGCTACTTGTGCTGACCGAAGTAAACGTTCGAGATCGGTGTCAGTAACACGTTCTTGAAATGCATCTGGCGGTATCCAATTACTTCCTTTAATGAAAATTGGTTGATAATTAATGAGAAAGTAAAATGATGTTCCATTTATCTGTGGACCGTAATCGTGTTGAATAAGTTGTACGGTACGGAAACCGATAAGTCGTGAGCCGATGAACTGTTCCTTATTATAGATCGACAATGTGTATAGTTTTTGCTCCCCATATCCATTGGGCCACCATAGCTCGATATTTTCATCCGGAATCAATACGGAGATTGATATTTCATGATCGAACGTAACGGTTACTTCATATACAAATGATGTATTCTCTAAGATGAATTTCAATTGGCATTCGAACGGATCATTGTGACTACTCAGGAGGACATCGACTTGCCACTGGTTTCCAGCTGCTTGATAAGAAGCAACATTGACACTTTCCAATTCAATAGATATGTCCGCATTATTAGTGCTTTCGAGGTACACATCACCCGGAATGCCTATTGGTGCAAATGCTGGTCCCTACGAAAGAAGAACATCATACAAGCAAAAGGACTCAAAGATATACTTACCCAGTCCCAACTGAACGAGCATGGTTCTTTTCGAATAAATTGCACATGGCATTCGCCGTGTTGTACATCCGGTGGACAGTCGGGTGGTACAGTATCATTGTATGCTTTTGCTTGATTCAGTGCATAGATTACTGGGGATTCGAAATCGATACGAAGTTGATTAATGGATTGTAAACATGAACGTAAAATATTGAAGTTGTATGGAATAAACATACTATTTGTTCGACCAAGAAAACATTCGTTCAAGGTTATATTAGCCACTGTATCGATTTGATCGAAATGAAGTGTAAATTGTGTCAACGTGAGGAAGTCGTTTGATAAAGTAAAATCTTTTGTAAAGGTCCATGACGTGTAGACAAGAGAACGAAGATCGACATCATTGTAATTCCAATAAGGCTCAGTAATTTGATTTGCCGCAAGGAGAATCGTATGAACACTACCAGGTATTTGACCGTGTGCGAAATAAGATTTGTTGTCACTAATTGACCAACCAGTGCCTGTCAATGGGACGCGAGTGGAGTACGAGAAAGGAAACAAGAGAAAAATAACAGTAAAGAAAAATGTACAGGGTAAATGTGGAAACATGATTTTGATGGAGTGATTACGAATGATGGCGACGCTGTTTCGATGATTTCTTCGATTTTTTCGATTTGGATGAATGGTGTCGGTGTTTATGATGACGCTTACGTTTCGAATGTTTTGATTCCGACTCCGATTCTGATTCTGATTCCGAAGTACTACTAGTACTTGGCGATCGACTTAAACCAAAGCGAAATCGAATTTTTAAATATCTTCAAAGCAAGAAGTAAGATGTACATACCGTCGTTTACGTTTGCTTTTTTCTTTCTTCTTCGATTTTACTTCTGAGTCTTTCTTTTGCACTTGCTGTTTGTCACGGTTGATTTCTTCTACAGAACATGCGTGTTGTTAGCATGACAGAATAGGAACACGAACCAGAAAACTTACGCCGAGCGAGTTGTTGAAGTGGTGTATCGTTATCGTCGTCACTCGACGGCGAACTAGTCGAGCTAACGTCAAGTACAACGGCTTTGGACGGATTTGCTTGGAGAAAATTACGACATTGAAAAGTTAAATGACCAACTAAATCGAGTAAACGAAAGAGAAAATTAGTTTGTCGATATGAAAATCTATTCCTACCGTATCCACATTTACCACAGCCAACTTTATTCTCTGGTATTTGTGGGCGTGTATAGATACCTGAAAAGAAATTCCGATATTGGATGAAACGACGAACTAGATTTCAGTTGATAAAAAAGAAATGAATGATAAGCCGAGCGCAAAGAACAATCTCAATAGGATTCGGGAAATGCTTGTGTAATACTGATTTGTTCTACGCGAGCGAGCATTGGTGGTTCAACTTACTGGACATAGAAGCAAAATATGCGACAGAAAGAGAGAGAAATTGACGAGTTTTTAAAAATCTGAAAAGCACAAGAAAATTAATCTCTTCGTAATCGAAGAAGAGAATTATGTTAATTGAAGGTTTTTTTTCCCGTCAAATAATAAAGCTTTCATGTAAACACAAACAATAACAATACATAGGAAAAAGAAGTTAGAAGAGTGTTTGTATATGTTCATACATTTATTTGTCTTTTTTCTTTTTCTTCTTTGTTGATCCGCTTGTTGATTCTTCGCCCGATTCGGTGTCACTCTAAAATAACGGAACAAATCAAGTCGAAATATAGAATGAGATTTAAGAAAACTAACCGATGAATGGGCCGATGCAGCTTTCTTCTTGCGTTTTTTCTTTGATTTCTTACTCTTTTTCGATTTCGTTCCACTCGTTGATTCGCTCACTGAAGCTGCCGGGCCTGTGCTCGTCGGAACACCACCATCACTATCTTTCGTTTCGCCTTCGTCGCTTCCAACTGCTTCCGTTGGAACTGGTTCGAATGTGGACGCTACAGGAGCTGCTGCTTCGGCCAATGAGCTAGATTTCTTCTTTTCTTCACCTTCGGAATCCTAAAAAAAATGCATTTAGCTCTAAAATTGATGAAGAATCTTTTCACATACACTTGCGACTGCTGTACTGCTCGCTGATTTTTCATGTTTACGCTTTTTCTTCTCTTTTCGAGCTTTTTTATGATGGTGATGTGAATGATGCGCTGCAGCCGCTTGTGCTTCCGCAACTACTTGTCGATGATAGTCTTCAAACAGACGGATTCGATCTGCATCTGATGAGAGTGCAAGATAATCATTATCATTTTCAATTTGTCCTTTGACGTCTTCCCATTTCGATTGTTCCGTTAGTGAATCGAGTCTATTCTTCAATAGAAGTTTAAAATTTGATTCAAGTCGTTTTTGCTAAAACCAAATCAAACCGTATTCGTTGGAAATTCTAAGTTAAAATAATCTCTTACTTTTCGTGCTTCCTCTTTTAAACGATCCTTTTCTTTTGATTCAGCTCGTTCCATTAACTAAAAAGGAAAATCAGATAAATCAATAATAGAGCATTGAAGATGAATACATACGTCATTGAATGTTAATTTGATGTTTCCAGCGTCCAAGACTGCTGCTCGTTTGTCTGTGGAAATAATTTCAGCAAACTTTTCAAATGTTGAATCAATATCGATCGCATATCCTTTATCTCTCAGGATTTCTTTGACGGTCTTCTTTTCATCATGATAGCGGGCTTTTAAGTCATCAACATAAAGTTTAAATAAATCTAATGGGGTTGAACCTAAATAGAATCAACGATGTTTTTCGTTTCAAAGAGAACTTTTCAATAGGTAACGTCTTACCGGGTTGGCCGAGCATTTTACTAAATCGTTCATCATTGGAGATTATACCGAATAGTTCGGACCATAGTGACATTGAATGAAGTTTGCCTTGATCGTGTAATTCATCAAGAAAGTACTGAAAAACAAAAGAAGTGAGGATACGAATGTAGTTTTGAAGAAAGAAATATTTACTAAGAATGCTTCTCGATTTTTTCGATTTGTTCGTCGAAGAAATTTTCGTTGAGTTTCCATTTCATCTTCATGTACTCTTTCTAGTTCACGAATATGATCTTCGAAGACAATCAATGCATCTTCTCTGTCCATATCTAATTAAAATCACAACAAACAAAGAAAAATATTTTTAATCAATACGAAAATCGACATTTTACTTTGCAATTCGATATCATTAGCAAACTCAGTATTGTCAATTAGGAGACGTCGTGCTTTTTTCCACGTTGTTCGATAATTCACTTTGGGCATATTGGATAGAATATCTTTCAACGCTTGAACATTACGTTTCTTCAATGCTCTGGCTTCTTCCTAGAAGAGAACCTGTTGAGAATGTCTTCCATTGAGAATAAATCTACTTACTCTTTCTTTCTTATCTAAGTAACTAACAACATCTTCAAATAGATCTCGTCGATCACGTTCGGGTACAGCTGACCATACCTGTAAACGTCCGAATAATTTTTCTGCTTCTTTGTATTTAATCGTGGAATTCATATGTTCGCAATTTTGTAAGTAGGTTTCGAATTCTTCTTTAATTTGTTTCAACTTCAAACGTTCGGCTTCTTTCTCTTCTTTGACACGCGAAACTTTGTAAGCATTGAATGTTTGTTTCTTTTCATTGATATGTTTGATCGCTGCATATCGTGGATCATTTCCAATTAACTTCAAAGCTTGTTCCCACGTGGAATTTGACGGGACATTTTTCTCTCGGAGTAATTCTCGAAATGCATCCATTGCTTCCTTCTTCGATGCATATTCAATTTTAACTTGTGGCTCGTTATTAATTGCAGGGCTATTGTTTCCCACCCGATCACTACTCGCATCTTCACTACCATCACGACTGTTTTCATTCGAACCTAACTCAACATCGTTGACTACTGGCGAAGCAGTCATCTGTTGCATACCAGCCATCATTGTTGGAGGAGGGAAAGCGCTGAAAGGCGGCATCATTGGTGGCATCATGCCAAAGGGTGGTATCATTGGTGGCGGTATGTTTGGTGTCAGAGCGGTTGCAGGAGAACCAGTACTGAATAGAGAAGTTTTCAATCAGTGATAAACAATCAGTAACTTACGCGCTGGGTGATTCTGTTAGAACTTGTTGTTGTGGAGCCATCTTTTCGATATCCTCTAGTTCTTTCGGTTTCGTCCATCGAGATTCCTTTGTATCAACATTATGATAATAAATACGACCGTTTTCCGCTTTGTATTCTCGCCATGGACATTGTGATAACATCAACTAAAAGAAGAAAACGTTATTGCTCTTTATGGAATTTTACTGAAAACAAAATACACACTTCAGCTGGTGTTTTCAATTCATCAGGCTTTTCCCATCGAGATTCTTTCGATATAGAATTGTAGTAATAAGTACGTCCGTCTGGTGCTTTATGTTCAGTCCATAACGTTTTCTTCTCTTGTGATGCTGAACTACCAAAACCTTCTTCCATCTAGGACAAAAAGGACAGAACATCTTAATTGCAACATCATCAATTCTATTCGTTTTTCTCTTACCTTCATTCCTCCATTCACTAGAAAATAAAACGAAACAAAATGATTAGAACACTTTCGAGCCATCTTTGTAATACTTACTTCCAACTGCTCCTGGTGGAGGTATCAACGGCGGCATCATCATCATATGTGGTGGTGGCATCATTGCATTGGGTGGATATTGTCCACCTGGCCAGCCTGGTGGTCCATGCTGCATTGTGGGTGCTTATGAAAACAATGGATCTAAAATAAAGGAAAATCATTGATGATCTCTCGCTTCTAATTGATTTTTGATCTCTTCGAAATCATTCCATTCTAAAAATGCTATGTTTTCGTCAGTTAAATATTTGCACAATCCATCACGTGCAAATACTAGATCTGCACACTTTGCTGCATTTAAATCCGTGATTGAGTCTCCGATGACGATGATTTGCTCTTGATTTTGACATTCATGCTTAATAACATTGACTTTAGCAACTAATTCACTTCCAGATTCCCATTCCGATATCACTTTTAGCTTTTCACCACTTTTATCGACGTCTATGGCATAGATTTTCGCGCAACGCTCTAATAACTTCTCGCGTCGAAGAACAGCTTCAACTAAACATCGAAGGCCACCTGAAACAACGACAAACGGAATGTTTTGACTGTCGAGGTAATCAATTAATGTCGAAAGACCAGAACGGATTGGTTTATCTTGAACGAATTTCAACAATTCATTGGGATAAACTGATGAAGGCATCGATTCAAGAATTTGACGAACACCCTGTCGGATTGTAATTTCTTTTGAAAGTATCTTTGGTATAAGTTCATTTGATAATTCCGGAGCGAAATGTTTCAACACACCGACGAATGTTTCGCATGCTGTTATAGTTCCATCGAAATCACAGAAGACAATTGCGGATCGTTCTTGTTTCGACATTTTTTCTTTTATGAAATAACTGATATTTCTTAATGGTCCCATTTTTATAACGGACAAGAAAATTGACCAACCAGTTAATTATTTGAAGATGTCACCAGTAGGACACTTCAACAAACAGCTGTACAGTTTTATCAAATGGATGAATACACCATCACGACATGAACAGCAATGGCTACCACTGGTTTTTCTTCTGAACACAATACAGAATAGTTGTCGACTAATGCTGTGTAGGAAGTTCCTGAATTAATTTTATAACGTCTGACAGCTCGGGCATCTGAAGTGTTGATGAAAGTGAAGCTTATTTTAGATTATGTCTACTACCTCGTCGTCAACTTTTAAGAGCAAGAAGAAAGTAGTAAGTTGATGGGCATTAGTAGAATACTCAGAGTTGAATGGGATTTGTTGAATAGGTTTGTTATATTCCAACATCGAATCAATTCGAAAATATTAAACCGATCGAAGTCAAATGTTTTCCGGACGAAAAAGAAACACCAGTTGTTGAAACGTATATATGAATTATTGCTGTAAAGTATTATTGGAAAACAAATTTTTCTCGATAGAGATAGAGAAAATGTTGATGGAACTGCTAGGATGGTCACTGTCGTATCTCAACGAAAGCGTCCGATGAGTGTTCCGTCGAAAAGATCAAATCCAACGGCGATAACGGATGCAACCATGACAAAACCTATTCGCCATTTGGCTGTGCTACCGTCATCGAAAGAACGATCGGTTCAGGCATTTCCTAAACATGGAACAAACCTATCAGGTTTGATTTAAAAGACAAATATACACTTCGAGTCTGACTGGACTGTAAACTCTAGACACATTCACATTGTACGATGGTCCAACGACAACGCCAGCTTTTGGTCGTTCTCTCAATGACACCATGACAATGAAGTAAGTTTTTCAACTATCAAAATAAAATGTAACTCTGAGAATGTATCTACTTGAGTTTGACGACAATACGTTTCTTTCGTCTTTTAGTTATCAATATCAAATGTCAGATTTAAAGTAAATATCAACATCCTTACGCTTATTTTGTATCGATATTATTCATACCTGTAGTGTGGAATTACCGGTAGATAGCGAGCTTAACAATGATGAGACTTATTTATGTAATAATACAACAGTTTCAAGTGTATGTGAACTTCTTGATCAAGCAAAACTGGTACGTATTACACTTTTCAAGTAGACGGTTATCATTCGGAATTTTTCCTATACTGTAATACAATCATTTACTGAAACTAAATTTATTCACTCTAATGAAAATCTCCAAAAAATACTTAGTAATAAGTGAATTTCTGGTTAAGGTGAAATCCGTTCTAGCGTGTGATTATCATCTGCAGAGCACATTGATGCTCCAAAGTATGCTGAGTGCTATTAAACATACTGTGATAATTGTATTCAAACGTCAGCTCCGTTATAAAATGCTATGTATTCTTTCAGCAACAAAAGCCACATTCACTGATTGGTCGTTACCAGTTACCTCAGGTAGACAATACGACAAAGTCGTCTCCTGCTGTACATGTGGCTACGGTCCACTACGGCGAAAGTCAACCATCAGAGCCAGCAAATAAACAGCATCTCATTCAACAATTTTATAGTCAACTAGAAAATCTCAAAGCAACATTCAACACTGAATCATCAGAATCATTACGGCAACTGACTACAAACACATTGACATTTGACAATGGTCAAGTAAGACAAACATCAGCAACGAAGCATTTGAAAGAAAAGCCACCGGTAGCGCGAGTATCAAGTGCAACTGTTAAACAAGCTGATAAAAAACCAGTTGCCCCTAAGGTACAAAATATTCTTTTAAAAATTCACATAAAAAACAGAGAAATGAGAAATTTTTCTCGCCGAAAAAGAAGACAAACATCTTGTTTCTATTATCGCTAGTTACTCAAACAGATAGAACATACCTATACACCTTTGTAGATAAGAAAACTTCACATTTCTTCCTTTTTTTCTCTTTCTTTCTTTCTTCGGATTGATATACAATATCAGAAGCATAATCTTTTCTTTCTCTTCTTTTTTTTGTTCGTACGAGTGCTTTCTAGCAACATGACATTGCTCATCAACAATGATGTTGCTATCGCAAAAATGAAAGAATAAAAAGAATGAAGTAACAATGTCTGTATACTAAGAAAGCTTTCTGCATTCTTAGAAACCAAAATTAACAAAAAATCCATCGACTCGTGTCCAATCAGCACCGATCAGAATGACAACGAGACCGAAAACAGAGATGAAGAGAAACACCGTCACATCATGTAAACAGCATCGAAGCGAGAAAGTGCCAAATCCACCCAAGAAATCTGTACAAACAAAAGAGAAACAGACACGACGCGTTGGCAGTGCACCGCCAAATCGTATCGATATTCGCGGTCCTGAAGTGACCTTGTTACCACAGGATGAAGAAGAGTGCCGACATATGTATGAAAAACTCCAACGTCTACAACCAAGCGGTGTTTGTGTAGATTTAAACACGTTGCGTCGTGCGCTCTATGCACCAATGGGAACAACAACGTTTTCAGCGAATTCTAATCCAGATCAAATTTCAGCATTTAAATATTGTCGTCAACGGTAGGTCATTTCCTGTTGTTATTTGAAGTATCGATGATAAAGATATAAATCATTTTATTTGTAGATCAGATGACATACCGGAATCTTGGGCGAAAGCCGATGATAAACGTGTTTCCAAACAATCCAGCAAAGATCAAATGAATTTACATAATCCTAATCTTTTTCTTTCATCAGATAATCCAAATATAGATCGTATTATGGATCAAATGAAGAAACATGCCGAAATCAACTATAGTTACTACACGCGAACCAAATGAGATATATTCCTCACGTTCTTTTGTGTTATATATCTTTTGTGTATTAATATTCAATAAAACAAATGGTTGCCTTATAGATTACTTTTTGCGTTATCTAGCTTGAGAATAAAATGTAAGAGCGTTTTAACAGATGTAATTATTGAATGTATGACCTTCTCCCACGCTCGCTTTGCATTACTTAACAAGCTGATGGGCAACCAGGGCGTTCATTCACGTCGGATTATCTTTATACTTGAATATTCAACAATCATACTAAAGATTTTGCCTACATGTTAATTATTAGCTTTGCGTTCGATGAATTTCCTCACACCTGTTACATATCGCGAAACACCCCCATAAAAGTTACTGATGTATTTAACCATGCCAAATACAATATTAGCCATAGTGAAATCATGTACGTGTGGAAATATGGGAAAAGATTTTCTCTTTTATTTGTTGAAGACTGTATGTCTTTCAAGAAAATTATTTCTCTCAACCATGTGTGAAAATATGAGTTTTAATCAAACAGAAACTATATTTTTTCTCTCTCTCTCTCTCTTCCCATATATATATATATATATATTTTTCTTTTTCATGGACACATCAGCCTAACTTCATTCGGATATTTTTAGGAGCGTAATAATAACTTTTGATTAAGTAAGTAGCAATGATTCGTCGATTGCAGGAAACACACAAGTATCAGATTGATTAGATTATGGTTCGATTGGCTACCTGTCGTGTGATCCTATTCCTTATTGTCATGTCAGTTAGTGTTAGTCAAAGTAGACCTGTGGCTCCTGGATCATCATTATCATCACGACTCTGGTTGAAAGAGACAGGTTTTCCAGTCACATATTTGGTACGATGAAACTCAATCTCAAATGTAGGAATGAAACAAAGATCAATACTGTTTTTCCACTCTAGGACCAGTCGGATTCTTCATCAGACGATGTTCAACAATTAAGAGACAATGCACGGCGAAAGAGAAGTAAACATCGAAAAAGAAAGTTTTGTAGGATACTAAGTATCAATGTTTAGATTGTTTAACATATGGCACAAATAACAAACATCGGGCAGCTAAATGGATGTGCTGGTGATATTGAAGACTGTTTACCATACAGCCTTTCATCGACAGCAAGCTAATACCAAAAGAATTCGTGGCACTTTTCACTTATTATTGACAGAATAAAAAAAAAACGAAAAACTAAATGTTTTTTTTTTCTTAAACAAGTTATCCATTATGCATGTAGGCCTATATGCTTATTTATGAAGTATTGATCTGATGTAACTGATTGATTACATTTCAAACACTACAATAACACTGTCGATTTATTAGTCGATTGAATGGAGAGTTCTGGACAAATCATTTGTTCGACACGTTAGATGTTGATAATGCTATCTGTTGATGTTAGCTCGACTGAATGTATTCGTCCAACTTGTAGAATTCTACTCATTCGTTTAAGGGGTGGAAAGAGTTTAGTCGAATAGCTGCTAAGAAATGATCAGCCAAAGTGGCATTTAGTCACTCAATAGATGCACTTATAGTGTAAAAAGTAGGCTAATGAAGGCGTAAAGTCATGCTCAAATTAGTTAAATGAAAAGAAAGTATCTTGTTACTTAAATTCGAAAATTTCTACGATATTTATTATGATTTCTAGGTATTTCATAAGAAAAACAATACGATTCACTGATTGTGAAGATCCTATTTTATGTATGACGAGATACTGTTGAAGCCTTTTTAGCTTGTTGTATTAGATGTGCAGTTTCACGATCACCGGTTTGAGAAACTATTTGTGAAAATTGAGATTGTTCATCACTTAACAATTCATAAGGACTAGCGAATTCCACAACTTGACCATGTGATAAAACGAGAATCTTATCACTATCAATAATTGTTCGTAGCCTAAAACGATATTTTTATCATACAAAAAAAAGAAAGCTTCTTTTTTGTACCTATGTGCGATTGTTAACACAGTACAATTAACGAATTTTCGTCGAATAGATGTTTGAATAAGCTCATCGGTTCTACAATGATAATTATGATTAGGTACAGATTTACTTTTGTTGAATTACTTATGGTCGACATTTGCTGTTGCTTCGTCGATAACGAGGATTTTATTTTTCCGTAGAAGTGCTCGAGCCAAACAAATCAGTTGTCGTTGACCAACGCTTAAATTTGAGCCACCTTCGGTTATCTGTTGCTGTAATCCACCGACAACATCCAATTTTAGTTGGACCTACAATTTCAATAAAACCGACTCCGTGATGTACCCTTACTGACTATTGCATTACTTCTTCGAGCGCAGTCCAGATTTCCGTGTCAGAATATTCACCAAATGGATCGAGATTTATTCGAAGTGTATCATTAAATAAAACAGGATCCTACGGAAATCAAATCTACTAACTCAAATCGCTATTGCTTTTCTGTGCGTTACCTGAGGTATAATGGAAATATGTCGCCGAAGATCGTATAACGAGAGAAGTTGAGTGTCAACTCCATCGATTAATATGCGACCACTCAGTTCGGCCATACGGAATAACGATTGAATAATCGAACTTTTTCCTGCTCCTGTACGACCCACAATACCAATCTGGAAAGCATCGATTATGAATTTCATATCGAACCTCAGAATACATTACTTTTTCATTGGGCTGTATAGAAATGTTAATATTCTTCAACACCCACGATGATGTTGATGAATAACGAAACGAAAGATTATCAAAGATAATACCACCGATTGGCCATTCAGGCGAAAGAGTGACTGAACTTTGTGTGTTCGGTGCTTCCTCAGGTTTTAAGTCGACATACTCAATGACACGTTCAACACTTGTCATCTGAAATCTCGATACGGTATAAAGTTCTCATGAACTTACATTACTCACTTGCATCATCACATCAACTGTTAACCGAACAATCCATTGTACAGAGCCAACTAATGTAAATGAATAGGCCAAGATCAAGCTCAGATCCGATATGGGTATATCTATACACATGTATATTAAACAAATGTTTGACAATTAATAATCGGCAAGTTTACTTCGATGCATTAGCAGTATGGAGAATGCAAGAAAACCAATAAAAGCAGCGACAACACATTCGATTCGCATTGCTGACCAACGATTCATTCCAAGCATAACACTGTATACTCGACTGTGCTCGTCTAGACAGTTCGCAAAATCTCGAACACACGTTTGTTGGGCTCTATAAGCACGAATTATCAATACACCTTGAATTGATGCTGACAAATGAGAATAGATCGGTGATCGAGCTAAGTATAGAATAAAGCGTGGATATGCTGATCTTCTCAATCGAAAAAAGTTACATACAAAGACTTTCGAGTCGTTTCATATCCCTAACAGCTGGAGTATAAACTCGGCGAACTCGTTCTAAAACAACACCAACACACGCTATGGAAATCAATGATAGTGGTTGCATATATGCAATAAATATAATCGTCGAAAGTATATTGAAGAATACCTAAAATAAATAACAGAATGATGATTGGTTAACAAATGGAAATCCTTAGGTTTATACATCGACAAAATTGTATGTAACATCGGATAATTGCTCATCAATGGATGAAATATCTTTTGAAAAGCGATTTACAACACGACCTAGAACGACAAGTTTTTTTCGCAATGATAGTTTACGTCTTAATGAAGATTTACCAATCGGGTTAGAGTCAAAGAAAAGAACGGGCGCACGAAGAAGTGCATTGAACATCTGATTATGCAGTGATCGCGAAGTAATATGACATGACACAAAGTATGCCATCGTTCGAATAAATAGTAACACTACACTTGATAAACTCAATGCTAGCAATAGAATGAAATTGAGAGTAATCGATTTCAAATCAACACGAATACGTACTAAGTAAAATATAGAAATATTGATCGCGTTTGTTGAACCATTCGTTGTCTGACATTGTAGCAATTGCCGATACATTTGTTGTTGAACAATTACTAGTCGAATTAGTTGAACTATAGCGAATACGTTCTGCATTGGACCAGCGTCCAAGCCACCAATTTGATATTAAGATAATAGCACTCGTTGTTGCAAAGATTATAAAAAGGCAAGTCAATCCGAACACTCCACAGCCACCAGCTTTTATATAACGTGTGAAAACGCTTATACCAACGGAACCTGTTCGTTTAGTTTCGACTGTTTCTTTTTGTACTGGTTTCTCAGCTAACGGTGGCAGCAATTTTTCCTCTTCTTCATTACCAGGAAGTGCTGTTACCAACTAAATTCAATACATATAGAAAGACATACGTGTAAAGGGAATTGTTTTATCTATAGTATACCGAAAATTGAGTGAGATATTCTGGTGTGGTGGTAAGATTCAATTGACTCGATGATGCATTTGTAGAACCTGAGCCAGCACGAAGTTTCTGCGTTGTTGTTTCTGTCCATAATGTAAATTCTGGACATGTTTTTATTAATTCGGTGTAGGTTCCAGTTGCTATTTGAACGCCCTGGAAAAATAAGATTTCACTTAAGAAAATATCTTATTTTCGATATACTTTATCCAGAAAGATAATCTTCGTTGCATATTTTAGAAACTGGATTTGATGTGTTACCAAAATACACACTTTGGAACTTAATCTACCCAGAATGCATCTGGAAAATACGAAACTAATGAATCAACATTTTCAATCGAATTCCACTAACTTCTGTACAATATGGCGACCAACTTCGACATCAACCGCTGATAGCGGATCATCTAATAAATAGATATCCTCATCACGATAGAGTGCACGAGCTAGAGACAATCGTGCTTTCTGTCCACCTGACAGAATAACTCCATTGTCTCCAACAATAGTTGAGTCACCATATGGTAAGTTTTCTAAATCCTGTAAATATTTGATTAAGAATCATGCGATAGTCAAGCAACTATACTATATGCAAAGCTGTCGCATGAATACAGCGATTGAATTTTTGTGCATCGTATTCCAGACCAAATAGAATATTTTCTTTAATTGTACCGGAGAATATCCACGGTTCTACAGGAGCGAATTCAACATTCAGAATGTCAATTCGCCAAACTTCCGTTACCTTGTGGTACATAACAAACGTGTGAATTTTCATGGTAAGCAATTGTTCCATGTGTAATTGACATTTCACCAAGTAATGTCATCAATAATGAACTCTATAGCACGCAAAAGCATTATTTTTTTCAATGAGAATGCCGTTCTAATTTACTTTTCCCGAAGCGATCGATCCTATGACCATTATTAAATCGCCGTAGCGAGCAGAAAAGGTAATATCTTGTAAATGAAACGATGCATTCGTCTTAAAGGAGAATATTGTTGAATTTAAACGACGTTGATACGGTCATTACCTCCCAATATGATGAAACTTGTCGAACATCGACAGCGCAACCGTCATTCTCGGTGCTTTCACTATTTAAGTCATAGGTTATGGCAGCTGATCGATCATATTCTTCACTCAGTAAGAAATCCTAGAAAGCAATGTGAAACATTTCGTATGAAATCGAACTGAATTACTTCGATACGTTTCGCCGCAACCCAATATTGAGTAAGATTTGTGAAAGCGCTCGAAAAATTGTTTAAATAAGTATTGCGAAGATAGGAAATCAAAACAAATGCGATCGTAAAAAACTCCGTGTCAAATGTTGCTTTTTGATACCAAAGAAGACCGAAAATCACCAGAAAAAACGCATTAGGAAATGCTTGACCATTAACAATCTTAACTGTATTTGCTATTGACTGACAAATGACATAAAATGTCTCTCGTCTAGGTCGAATAGGATATACATATTCATTGAATGAATCAATCCTACCTTCTCACGTCTTCGACTTTCATTCGGAATGGCCTTTCCCATACATACATTTTAACAAGATGTATTGATTTAACAACTTCATTCATTAGTTTTATACGTAAATCTGTTTGCCGAACACGTTTCGTCCTAAGTACATAATTAACTGCGCATATCCACGAGCAATTTATTCCTTACCATATCAGTTGAATACATTTACCGCAAATCATTTGAAGGAGTAGTACGAAACATGTATAGATAATGGCTAATAAAATGGTAACACCGACTCGCGACCAAAGAATAGCAAGCACAACGATTGTTTCAAGTAATCCAAGCCAAATGAAATGGCCATCAAGTGCTAAGCGTTCGATTGCTTGAACATCATTCGTCAATAGATTGACGATTTTACCACTGGAATGGATTCCCAATGACCGTGTAGACAATTTCATAATCTACAATCATGACAAGATACGTTTCAAAGATGAATTCTCGCTCTTCAGATACCTTTCGAAAAACTAGGCCAGAATATGCACATCGGAGACGCATACCGGCAATAAAAGCTCGTATGAACGCCATATGTCGAGAGAGAAACATAATCCAAGGAAAAGCACTTGTTAGTGTTGCTAATAGAACTGCATCGCGAAATGGCACATTTGAACATGGAGCGAAGTATCGAATAAAACGTGCTAATATAAATGGCTGAATAAATCGACATATCGTCTGTTAAATCCAGAAGAAATAGAAAATATTTATCTGTTTTTATGAATAAAAGGCAGTATCTACGTACGTATATAAGTAGAAATACACCTATAGTAACATATTGTCTTCCGTACGCTTTCGCTGTCGCTTTTAATAGTGATGGTCGATAGTTTGCTTTGTTTGATTTATTGCCGAATAGTAGATCATCCTGCCATGCTCTATGAAAGGAAAGATCAACTGTAAGCGTTCATGTTTTCCTTCTTTTTTCTCGTCTTCTTTCTGCGGTTAGCAGAAAAAAACAGATGAGTCATAGGATGTAGTAATCACGTAACTGAACATACTTTTCTATTCTGTCAGTCCAAGGTTGACTTTGATCGTCAGGTAAAATATCGAAGACATCATCAATTTCAAGCGGTCGCTTGCGTCCCAATCGAAGTAAACTTGTCACCCAACTACAAAAAACATCTTTAGACAAAAACCAGAAGGAATTTTTGCTTACGTATGGAAGACCTTTTGAAATGCATTACATTTCAGAAATGGGTGCGGTGTTTTTGACGTCATTTATCTTCAATGAAGGATAATCATTTTCAAACCTAACTACACGTGCAATTTTTTCTTTCTGTCAGCAAGAAGCCTTACACAAAACATTCTGACTCGATTGTCTTCATTTTTCTCTTTATATTGCTCTAGCGCCGTCCTTCTTTTTTCCCTTTTTTGTTCTGTCAGTCCTATATTTTCTCATCCTTACTTATACTTCTCTTTTACATAGAATATCGCTGGCCCACGACTCTTTTTCTTCTTTCATAGTTCAGAACCGAACATTCGGAATAAGTGCATTTCCCCATATGCACCTATTCGACCTGAGTCGAACGGAAAAAAATAGTTGTTCGAATTGGTTATTCTGTCAAATCGATCTTTTCTCCTTTTAAATACGAAGTGCGTACTTTTGCCATGAAGAACAGCGCCTTGAAAAATGTATTTTAAGATTACACAATGTTATTGCTCTGGATCAAGTAGTACGAAGAAAAATCCGTACAATTCGACAAGCTCAAGGGAAAATAATATTCGTTTAAGATAATGTGCATGAAAACGGGAAGCTTTTCTATCATTTTGTGTCGTGCGTACGAATATTTTGAGAAACCAATTGGTGAATCTCTAGATATAAAGTTCTGATTGCAGCCACGAGAACAAGAACATTGAATTTCGCTCTTTGAACAGTTCATTTTAGAGAAATAATAGAACAACAATACTTAGTCGTTTTACAAATTCGCTGTTTGCAAGATACTCATCATTTACAGTACAGTTTCCTTTCGGTAAGTGAATGAGATGATTGATTTACTCACTTCTACTATATTAGAAGTATCTTATGTTCTTATCCTTAAAAGTGCCACCCACTGTTCGAATCAATACACTCCGGCGGTATTAAATTGCGCTCTTTGATCTCTATTTTGATTTTTCGAACACATATCAAATGCCCATTCAATACCCTTTGTTATTCTTTAAAAATCCTTCTCGAATGACGTGATTCTGTAAAATTGATCTCCTGAAAATGTTCTATTTCAATTTGCGCAGTAAATTGATCGTGACCTCTTATTTTGCTCGTTTGATTCACAGCCAACGAAAAACCAGCCAACACCAGGAGTATATTTTCTTATTCGAACATCTTATATGTATACGCACACCTTGCTTTTCGAAGTTTCTAGTTTGTTTTCATATCACATTTCGTTTCGAGTTCGTTTCGAGTTCGATTCGAGTTCGTTATATCGTATATAAAATTGAAAACGAAATGTACTAGTATCTAAAAAATAGTATACCCATCGAGATAATCCTAAACAAATAATGGAGAAAACTTTATAAAAAGCCATTTCAATGCGCGTTGCAATCATTATCAGTCTTTCAATTTTATTTATTGTTATTATCATGGCTTTGGCTTGGTGTTTGACTCTTTTAGCAACCATCAGTCTGGGTACGAGTATCGATGTACTTGTTCCAATATCCACACAAAAACCGGATGCATCGCTCTACACGAATATTGTTCATCCACGTCAACCACAACGATTAAACTTAGCTTCTAAACGACCACTACATACGAATAAGTTCTATACCAATCCAATTATTGGTTCAGGAGAAAATCCGATTATTGCTCAACCGTATGTTCTCTTGGTAAATCCTTCATCACCATTTGGTGTGTCGATTTCATGTACGGAACAACAAGCGTTTGGACCACAAATCGATAGTACGCGAGTGAAGTACTTCATCAATGTTATCTTGAAAAATATGCAAGTGAGTGCCACTGAGTTTACTGCACGAAACTTTGAGGTGATCAATGTTGATGATCCAGGCTTTTCATTTACTTTGAAAATGTTTCAACAAGGTTCACAAGCGTCGATTACAATGCCGATTGTTCGCGGTATGGCTTATGTTACATTCGAGTACAACTCTGCCACACCAAAGATCTCTACAGCTCATGCTATTTTTTCGGTCAATGGTCAATCGTCAGGCAAGATAACAGGCAAACGTTTCGAAGTTTCCCTAAATAATGGCCAAACCTGGATTATCTATGCACTCAATGGTGACATTACGTTAGAGCTTCGTGATAATCAATTATTTGGCACACAAGCCATTACAAATGTACTTCGTTTAACCAAGAAACAAGGCGATTCCTATGCTAATTCTCTTCTCGACTCACACGCTGCTGTTTATCCTACAGGATGTCAGTTGAAAGCTGATGTTACTGGTTCGAAAGGTACATACACATTTCTTTGGGAACGTAAGGGTGATATTACCAAAACTTTACTTCATTATACATTCGCTCACCATCGGGAAGTCATGACATCAGGAAGTGCAACAGGAACGCCAGTGCTGACCAAATCAGCAAGTAAGGGTCCCATGGTCGGATATGTTGGAAACATTTGGATCATGGAGGAAAAGTCTCTCTCGACTATGGGTTTTCTTGCCCCACGTGCACCAGCGGCACAGTATGAAGACCGTATTGTTGCGCAATTGATCAAAGATATCAATGCCGGAGTTAATTTGGGTGTAACGGATTACTATTTTACTGGTAAAGCTTTTCATAAGTACGCATTATTGTGTCTACTGGCCGATTATTATCGTGAAACATCGCTACGAACTGAGTGCATAAGAAAACTGCAAGAAGGTTTTGATGTTTTGCTACAAGGGAAGAATAGCAATGCATTGAAATACGACACCACTTGGTATGGTCTTGTCTCTGCCGCCGGTTTACCGTTAGTATAGATACTCATCGATTGAGAATGTTTCAACGTTGTTTTCATATTACGTTTCAGTGCAAATCAAGAATTAGCTGACTTCGGTAATTCGTATTATAATGATCATCATTACCACTGGGGATATTTCATTCAAACGGGAGCTATTCTTGCGTATCTTGATTCTAGTTATACGCCAAAACTCAAAGGTTGGGTCGACGCATTGATTCGAGACTCGAATAATCCATCGACACAAGATACGCATTTCCCCCAATTTCGTTATTTCGATTGGTTTTCAGGACATAGTTGGAGTCAAGTAAGGAAGATCGTTGTTTTCCTTTTTGAATAACTTCCAGAAAAAAGCTGATTGTTTCTATTAGGGTTTGTTCGAATCGGCTGACGGCAAAGATCAAGAATCGACGTCGGAAGAAGTTAATTATCATTATGGTGTAGCCCTCTGGGGTTTAGCTACGGGTTCAAAAACGACCGAAGGTCTTGGCCGCTTGATGTTAGCTGTTGCTAAACGTGCAATTCAAACATATTTCCTCATGGATAGCGCCAATAAAGTGATGCCAAAAGAATATATTGCTAACAAAGTAACAGGTATTTTCTTTGAAAACAAGGCAGATTATGCCACATGGTTTGGTCCTAATCCAGAGTTTATTCATGGTATTCAGTAAGTAGTTATACGAAAGAAGTAGTTCGTTGTTAACATGTAATGTAAAATAGAATGCTTCCATCGACACCAATTACCGAAGAAGTACGTCTTCCGAAATTTGTCCAAGAAGAATGGGATACGATTATTAGCAAAGTTGTTCCCAGTGTTACGGGAGGATGGAAAAGTATTTTATACACAAATTATGCTATCCTCAATCGCGGAGAAGCGTTTAACCAATTACTAACTGTACCACTAGATGATGGTTTAACACGCGCTTGGGCTCTTGTATATATTCATACTTTACCTTTTTAATAGAAGATTTTCTCCTTCTAATTTATTTCAGTACTGGGCGGCGACGAGACCAAATACAAATGATGGTACTGGAACTTTAACAACAACTAATCCGTCGTCAGTTACTACAACAGGTGCGCCATCCACTGGAGGAGAATGCACTTTACCTGCTGGTGCTTCTTGTACATCGTTAACTTCACCCGGTGATGCTGCCGCTGGTCTCGGTATGTACTATGATGCCAGTTGTTCTCAAGGTGGTGTTGGTTGTAATCATATCCAACCCAATTGTCGTCTCTGTGCAAAGAATCCAGCAGTTGTTAACAATCCTTTTCTTAAATGTCCTTCGTGTGTTTAAGAGAACAGACTCTGTGATCGTTTATTAACAAAAAAAACTCTTGACATAATCAGTATTTTATTATTAAATGTATGTATATCTATTCATCTATAATGCATATCTGACATCATTTCTATTCAATTCATCAAAGAAAAAACCCTAACATTAGTAAAAATATATCAATTGAGTTAAATAGAGCCATATGTCTTATTCCAATCTGGAACACAGTGATAAATTAGGAAAAGAAAATGACTCGTTATCAAATGTTACCTTCATATTGCTTTAGATCATTTTCAGAAACACTAGGTCGAATGGCTTTGAGTGATTTGAGAAAATCATCCAAGGAAATACCTCGTACCTAAAATTCAATTCAACGAGTCAGATCAAATGCATATATGGATGAAATAAGTAGATATTACCTCATCGCTTGAAAGTAACTCAATGTCGTGTATATCGCGAATAGGTCCTAATGCAGCATCATGGCAAAGACTGTGCATGTCAGCTCCACTAAAACCTTCTGTAAGTGTGCAGATGTGTTCCATATCCTGCGTGGTTAAAGTATGCTTCTGATCTTTGAGTAAATTGGAAATGATTGCTTGTCGAGCGGATAAATCCGGTAAAGGAATATAGATACGTTTAACAAAACGGCGACGAGCGGCCGAATCGAGCTCTTGGGGTCTTAAAATGAAACAGATTCAGAGTATAAAAAGAGTACGTCAATCTTTCGGCTTAATTACCTATTTGTCGCACCAATCAATAGTATTCTTTCTTCGCCTTGAGTGCTTGCACCATCCTGTCAGGTGTAATCATATCAGACAGATGTATTGCGTGTGAAAAAACTTACAATTTGTACAAGAAATTCAGTTTTTATTCGACGTGTACTTTCATCTTCGTTTTCTGATCGTTCTTGAAGCAAAGAGTCTACTTCATCGATGAAAATAACTGCTGGTTGACGTGAACGAGCAACAGCGAACAAAGCACGAACTAGTTTTTCACTTTCGCCATGCCATTTCGATGTTAATGAAGATGATGAAACACAGAAGAATGTTGCTTTAGATTGACTCGCAATGCATTTGCCAATCAACGTTTTTCCTGTTCCTATATTCATAGAAAAACATATAATCTTTATTAATGAGCAATATTGCTGGTTACAGAGAAACCGTACCCGGTGGCCCGAATAAAAGTAAGCCTTTTGGTGGTCTTCTCAGACCAGTGAATATGTCAGGTCGTTGCATTGGCCAGACGACAATTTCTGTAATCGATCGTTTCGCATCTGTTAAACCAGCAATATCGTTCCATGTTGTGGTTAAATTCAATTCCATAATCTTGATAATAGTTAGAGAAAATCTCATATACCTGCTGAATCGCAATTACCTCGCTAGTTATCATTTCGATTAATTTAGGGTCGATGTGTTTAGCACCGCCGCTTTCTTCCAGTTTATTGTTAGAATTATCTGTATTATTTGATTGATTCGTCTGCAGAACCGGTGCAGATGGTTGTAGTGCTGGCGCCGAAGTAGGCAATGGAGCTTGTCGACTTGAATCATTGTGTGTTGGACGTCCAACAGTTGGATCAACATAGCGATTGTAGATGGAACGTCTATTGTCGAAGGACACGTTGTCGTATCTGCTATACTTTAGACATAACTTACTTAGCAGATGAGTGCATACCGAGCGATTTTTTCACTACACCGTTATTCGTTTTCGTACGTGCTTCATCGATTTCTAACTGATCACGTGCCGTACGAAATGATAATGGTTCGGCTGTGCCTGGTGGCTGTTGTTGTGCTTGCTGTGATAGTTGTTTACCAAAGGGTGGTCGATAATGTTGATGACTAGTACTAGTATCCATACTTTCATCGGAAAAGGAAGCAGGAGCTGGACGTTTCTATTAGAAAAGCACAGGTCTATTGATATGTTACAGCACATCAGTTCTTTCTTGCTTTGTTCAATGTTGGTGGTTGATTATCAACCGCTGATGGCGTTTTCGGTGCTTTTATTGAAAGTAGATTAATCTGACCCGATAGAGGGTTTCGGCCGTCGCTATGACCTTTGAATATTGGCCTAAGTTTATCATTCATCTACCAAAAGCAATAGTATAAGAAGAAAATACGCATGAGCGATTACCATCTGTTGACGAGTATTGCTATCACTTATTCGAGACCAATCAATACATTGGGATAAAGAAACTATAGGAGAGAATGTAGATTGAAAGACATACCTGGAAGAAAATAACTTACAACGATAGTTTTCACTTGTTTGTTTGCTTGCATTTTTGTTGAATGGTCGCGTTGTCCAGTAAGATGTAATGGAATGACTGGCAACTTGATTTATAACTTGTGTGGGTAGTCTTAAATAGACAAGAAATAGAACACCGATCGATCTCGGATCAAAACAACAAACTGTATGACTTGTTTCCATGCATCCAACAAGAAAAGTTGTACTCGTCTATGATGACTATATACATCAACATTTCGTTTATCGCGTTCTGATGATGCCTCTTCATATAACCACCACTCGTACAATTGAGGATCAAGAGATGACATATCTATCATCATCTATAATTCAACATAGATAGAAAATGTTTGGATGCTTTTTAGTTTGACGTTTAGACACATGAATCAAAAAGAGTATTTGTCCGTGTAACCACACGCCCTCCTTTCGATGGCATTTTATGTCGGAGGTAGATATCAGAGAAGTGTTTAATCGCATGAGCGTTAATAACAAGATCAACAAGAAAAGAAGAAAAGATGAAACATAAAAGAAATCAATAATGGTAAAGTCTTGTTTAAAAAAAGAGAGAAAAGTGTTAACGCAAGTTTAATAAGTCATGTTTCTGTTAATATTCATCGAAGAAACCGACAATTGAACTAAGTATGAATATCCATCATATCAGCACTTGTTTGTAATTCGACTTCATGTGGTTTTCCAACGACGACCTTCTCCGGATACATATTATCAAGAACACGAATACCTTGTGCATCGATAATTCGTACGAATACGCAATGTGGATAAGCAGCCATACGTTTACCGAGTTCATTGACAATAGTTTGTAACATAAATAATGCTTCATCAACTGTTAAATCTTCTTTCCATAGTCGATCTCCAATACCCAAGGCAAAAAATTGACAAAAACCATGAGCAACGACGTTAGCAGAAACCATTGCACCGAGATAATCAATGGAATACAATTGCGCCCGATCTTTGTCACGTTCGTTTGTTGAATAACCACCAACAACAAGGTTAGCGAGAAATGAATTACGAGAACGAAGTGACGTGGCCATTTCATGGCGTGTGAAATTCGCGCAAGCATACGGAGATAGCTCAATTCCATTGATCATTTTATATAATTGAATGTTTTTACCGACATATTCAGCGAATTGAACTACATCACCTGGTTCACCGGCTATAAGAAAACAATCACAACAGTTCTTTCGTCTATTTGAAAATGTGAAACTTACCGGCAAGCATGGCACAGTGTTCACTTAATTTAAATAATCGATTTGTATCGAATTTCATATTAAGTATGCCATATTTTGTAGTATTTGCGTCTTGTGCTAACAAAACGAAATCCTTTCCTCGAATACCGATAATTGATTCAACCATATCTTTTCTAATCTAAAACAGTGGACATGGATGGGGAAATTATTTTTTTATTTCAGACTAAAAGTATTATTCGAAGAAAATATTCAAAAACGAAAACACACAAATTATACGTCAGTCTACCAAAATTTCCAACTACTTTTCTTCTCGTCTTTCTTAGTCGATGGTGATGACAATGGATCGAATTCCATTGAAAATTCTGGCGTCCGAAGACCCATATCTGGTGAGCCTAAGGAAAAATCTGTTGATGTATTGAATTCATTCGATTTCATTGATGCAACAGCAGCCGCGCCTTCTTGACCAAGTTTGTTGATGATATAATTACTTGAATCAATAAAACGTTCAACACAATTGGCTAAGCAGGTTTCACTACGCCCGTCAAGTCTCGACGATATACTTGGTGCACATAGATCCCAACATTGGTCAGTTAAACTATGTACAACTGACTGAAATCGTTGCTTTTGGTTTTCTTGTTCAATGAAGGCTGCTAATTGTGGATCGCCTATGCCTTGACTAGAACCTCCCGATAGATCCATTCAAAACGTCTATGCAAATCTAAAAACAATAATTATGAAAAATCGTTCTGTTTGAAGATAGATAGCTCATCGGTAGATATCAAGTTTCTTTATACAAATTGGAAGAGCAAATCACATACGCACAAACTGTTATTGCAAAAAAAGTGAAGATATAAAAGCAAAAAGTAAAATTTATTTGTCGAAAAATTGAATCAAGTTGTTGATTCGATTTGGTCGATCAGCCTTCAATGCTCGAATGGAATCCTATTGTTAAAAATTCAAGGAATGTTCTCGTTCTATTTTATAAACAAAACTTTACTCGTTCAGATGCATTTGATACTGTTATAGGAGGTGATGCTTGTCGACTGACTACTGGTTCGAACATTGATTTTCTATTTGATCGAAGATCTTCGGGCTTATTTTCTGTACTCGTAGTTAAATTTGATGAGAGAGTGATTTGTTTTCGAGATATGAGAATTGATTCAGTGGTTGGTGTCGTTTGTCCGGCAGATTCATCATGAGAAGGTTTTTCAATGGATATTGTCTGACTAAAAAGACAAGTTATGATAGTTCGGTTGTAAACGAATCATGAGCTTTACAATTTGCTTTGCTTTTGTTTGGCGATGTCAATCCAAGAGGCTGTTGGCTGATTATCAGTCGTTGCAACTTTATTATTTGTTGGCAAATGTACACCGCCCACTGTTTTCCTTCGATTTGGCGACTGTATTCTAGAAGGATTTTCAGCCAACTTCATCGTTGATACATAATGTGGCACGATCGGTTCATTCTCGTTCGGCACTGGTTTCGTTGGTTCTTCTTTAATGGTTGTAGATGAAACTGTTATCGTTAGTGGTTCATGCGAGACAGGTGACTCAAATGGAATCTCTTCTTTTTTCGTTATATTATGTTTTTTCAGCTGACTGAAAACATTTTCGAATTCGTTGACCGTTCGGCTGTCGCTATTCGAGGGTATATGTACAGTGAGTGGTCGTAAACGTGTTCTTGCCAATGGTGACTGTTCTCGTGTTTGAATAGGAATGTTCGCTGATGATTGATTTTCATCGGTAGGTAAAACTTTCGATAATTGCAATCGTGATTGTTTGAATAAATCGAAATTATCATAAATATGTTCTTCAGGCGGTGAATGTGGTCGCGGTTCTTCGTCCTGATGTTCGTGCTCCTGTTTATCTTCTGCATTATCGTCGTTGTCGATGCTTTCATCATAGTTTGTCCTTCGATATATCGATCGATTGGTAAGTTTAACTTCTTTCGGATATTTACAACTGACAGATCGTTGGATAGATGATACGTTAGTGGATAACATTTTCTCGGCTGAACGTCCACGAAGACGCGAGCGCGCCGAATCCAACTCATCAAGTTTAACAATCAACTGTGTTTGTACTATCGACTAGAAAAGATTAAAGAGAGAAAATGAAAACTTTTTTGATATTATTGTCCTTGATCTTTACTTCAGCTGGTGGTAAAGATGAAGTTTGCTCTTGAAAAGGTGCTGAACATAATAAATCGTTTTGATTATCATCAGTCTCCTTGACCGTGCCCAACTGTTTCGAAAAGAAAGACAACAACAACGATTAGAACACATCTCAATAAATTACTATTTACCTTCTGTTTAGCCGTTTGCCGTAGTTTGTTTTTGACTGCGATACGATCTCGAGCAGCCGAATGTTCCAATTGCTGACTAGTCAATTGAAGCGAAGGTAATGATGTGTATAATCCTGAATTAATATAATCAACAGCCATAAATACATATATATTTCTTTTTTGTTTATTTTCAATCTATTTACCGTCATCTGTTTCGTGACACGACTGCAGAAATGTTTCCTATGAAAACAAATTTCTTTGTAGGCAATATAAAAACGAAAAGAAGCAAGTCTATTCTTACGCTGATGGAAGACATTTGATCACCTATGGATACGTACGATGACGAGCTATGTGATGATGTCTAATATGAAAACAAAATGCGTATTTAATAAAAATAAAATATCAATGCCTCAATGAATAATCATCTTATCATCGTCAGTGAATTCTTTTCTCTTTTTCTTTCTCTTTCTTCGTATACACACGTCTATGAATAATCACAACTATCAATGAAATAAATAAATCGTGCTTACATTCGAGCAAACTGGCTTTGTTGGAATGCTTATCGGTGATGATGGAGAGATTAATCGACGTCCAGAAGTGATACCACCACCAGCAGCGGCCAATTTCTCTACCTAAGAGTATCCAATATGTACATGCTGGAACAACGAAACTCTTTCATCTTTAGGTCACCTGCACTTTAATCAGTGGACTTATATTATTACGAGACATGATCTTCGAAAAGTATTTTGCTGCAACGTAATAGTCAAAAACAAGGCAGGGTTTTCTTATGTTCGCTAAAGGGTGACGTTGACGATAATATGAGAATAAATAGGCAGGATGAATAAGGAAGCGAGAGAAAGGGGGAGGCAAAGAGAAAGGGAGCAAAAGAAAGGTAACGATATACTCAAAAAAAACCGTCGAACACGCAAAACGAAGGAAAAAAAGAAATGACGAGGAGGGAAACAAACGAAAACAAGTTGGCATGCATTTGTTAATGTTGATGTTAATCATTATATTCTTTTTATAAGCAGGTCACTTTTTTTCCTCTCTCTTTGACACATACAATGAACTTATCCATATACATGCAAGGGTGTAAAAGAAAATGGTAGCTTTTCTTTTCTTTACTTTTGTAACTACATATATACCTGACATTTAATTCATATCAATTCTATATGATCAAAGTAGAAGAAGACGAGAAACATTTTGATTGACATATATGCACAAAAGAAGAAAAAGTCGGATCATATTACATACCTGACTTGTTGCTAGATCATTACTTTTGGTATCAAGAATATAACAAGTTGTACGGATTGATACAATATCATTCAGACTACTTTCGGAGTCTGTCTTTTGAATCGATGTTATTTCACTAACATGACAGAAGGAAAGATTCAATAAAGAAGAATGTCTTCCGTAGCACACTTACGGTTCAAACAGTAAATCATTGACTGAACGACCGTTAAATCTATCATGAAGATATTTTATCATTTTGGCTTCTAAATGAATGACATCAATTTATGACAGTCAATGAGTTTGACATTGAATACATTTACTAAACCTACAAAATGTAGGTTTGGATTTAACAATCTAAAACGAAGAAACACAAATTCAAGCGCCACAAAGATAGTTACAATTTTTGTTCTTTTATTATGCGCTTGTTATTACATTCAAACATGCCATTGATTTCGAATGAAACTCTTAGCAATTGTCTGCTTTTATTTATCGGAGTTTATACTTTCTGTGTTTGCATCCTCGTCTATATACTAATTCGATTGTTGAAATATTATCTCAAACAAAAACGATTCAGCAGCGAGATCATCGATTCATCCGCAGTAACGACCGGCATCTTACTAAAAATTCACGAACAAGGTGTAGCACTTGTAAAAAGCGAATTCGGTATCTTTGAACCAATGATTATTCAAACGCAAAATTTACCACCGACTTATACAGAGAACTGGTATAATCAACAACCACCACCAGAATATACTGAACAAGTCTAGTAATTTTTTTCTCTCGGAAAAGACGATTCGATGGTGTGTGCGTGTGTTACAAAGCAGAAGTTCGAAACTCTCACTATTTTAGAGAATTGCGCACGACATACTGAAAAACTAGCTCTAATTATATATTAAGCAAGATCCTCTTTCTCTTTTCATGTCATATATGAAAAACTACATTGTCTGCGGTGGATCGATCTATCGCTTTCATTCAAAATCATATCGAAACACAAGACAAACATTTAAGAGTGAGATATTTTTACTAGCTCACACATAGTAACGATCAAATATACAAAGAAGCAAACAAAAAGAGAAAAACAGTTATATTCACTCTCGACATCGATCAGATTATTCATTTGATGGTTTTGGAACCGGCATCGGTGGAATACCGACTGGAGGTGGAATACCCGGTGGCATCATACCAGGTGGAGGTCGTAGTGTCATCAATGCTGTCATTGCTGCTGGATTTGGTGGTGGGCCAAGCGGCGGCATACCCGGTGGTATTGCGAATGCCCATGGCGGTACGATACCTGGCATACCAGGTCGTGGCGGTGCAATGTTCGGATTGATTAAACGAGGTGCACCCATTGGAAACGGTGCATTGGTAAGTTTACCCGATTTATAAGCTGCTGTTGTTTGGTCGATCTAATCAAATAAGATATAAATAATGAAACGTTCGACTGTTTGCTTTACTTACTAATTTCTGTGCTTGCTCTTCCATCCATTTCTGGTAATAATCACGAACATTTTCTTTGTGTTTTCTACCTTGACAATGAGTTTTGCGTACCGATGGTGAATCGTGAGTGAGATATGTATCACAATAATCACAATAGTATTTAGGCATGACGTGAATAGAGACTAGTTACGAAATCAAATAGATTTCCTTCGAGAAAAGATGTAAGCCAAAAAGTAAATGAAAGAAATAAGAAAATGAGATTGAGAAAGTATGTCGACAATCAACCAATTGTCGTCTAGAGATTAACCTCCTGACATAAGTGATAGATGTCGCCAAAGGATGCTCCTTTTTTGACATACAGTTTGATTTCGGACGCAAAGTATCGTACATATAGAAATACGATATCCTCCTAGCGGAATTTTATTTCGATCAAAAAATAAATAAAATAAAATTGAACATATTCTTTTCCAAATATTATCTCTAAATAAGAGATTATTATTTTATTAACACTTAAAATCAAATCACACATTCTCTCATATAGTTGTAAATACGAAGTAGAGCAAAAAACGAATTGTATCCGATAGTTCATCTATTGATATGTAATTAGATGGTCAGCGTAAGCAACGGCATCGTGATACACCACAAAGATATTCTTTCCGTCGGTAGTTGTGTCGTAGCCCTGTGGGGGTACTTTCATTTGTGAGTTTCCTACATGTGTTCGGCCGATAAGAACTCGTGCTAAAAACATAGTTCGCTCTCCTGATACGCCGGGTTTTGCATATGAATGGCTATAGCTGGCATCGGTATGAAAATACACGCCATGACCGTATGCGACACCTACAAAGGAGTAGTTTTATGAAAAGATCAGCTTTAAACGTAAAAATTCTAACCATTAACACCAGCAAACGACCGATTGAAACATTCTTGGACAATTTGGTTTGCTGAAGTACCAATACATCCGTGAAATAGCAATCGCTCGTCAAGATTTCCATAACGTCGTTTGTATTCATCTCGGTGAGCGGCATACTAAAATGAAAAGAACATTTACAATGCATTATCTATACTTTATCCGTATGGTGAGAGATGTCCATCCATGACATGACGACACTGATTTGTCAAAGTCTGTACCTGTTTGTACCAGCGCTCGTTTTGTATACGTTCTATTCTCAAAATTTCTCTATAATGCCCATTCATCGTCGTATTGAATTGTCTTAAAACATCTTGATATTCTTTAGAAGAAGATTGTAAAGTAACTCGTTTACAATTTTGATCCGACGATTCCCATGTCTACAAGAAACAGTTGTTTGGAAATACAAGAAAGAACATTAAATGGAAACTTACGTCAGGCAATAAGGAATCGACTACTTTTCGTCGTATAGTTCGCACATCTGAACCGTGATGTTCTTGCATCAGATTGAATACAATTCGACAACGTTCTTGTTTGTCATTAGAAAAATCAAGCTAAAAAACAAAATAATATCGTCATTTAGACAACAGCCGAGACAGAATAGGGTAGTGCAAACATTTGGTTGTTTTTTCAGATAGGCATCTTCAATCATGCCATTTAATTTAAAAGAATATTGTTCCCAATTATCTGAATTAGGCGACACTTCAACAGACCAGATAACGCCTCGTGAGACAGCATGATTACGCGCTTGTTTATACGTTTCAGTTGTTAGCTCATAGAACTGCTTTTCAGCTTCATGAACCTAGGGTAAGAGAAAATACAGAGATAAAATAGAGAATTTATTTATCTCTTACCGCATCTCTTGGTCCGACTAAAACCACTGTAAAGGCATCTAAATCCAGCGTAGGTTTCACGTGTTGTTTCAAACAATCGTTATAGAATTGATTGATGGTGCTTTGAGACCAATCTAACAACTCTCTCTTGCCGGCTAATTGTTTTGTTTGCAATGATGATTGAGCTAATTCCAAGATTTCTTGTTTACATTTAGTTAAATGTTGAGACTTGGCACTTATCAGCGTTATTTCAGTAACTAGGAAGAAAACTCACACGGCGTACAGATCAGAAAAATATTCTACTTTTTTCATCATATGAAACTTTGGAGACCACGCTAGTTTTGCCGATCGTGGAAGTTGATGCTGATGCAGTTGGATTTGATACGGTTGTTCGAGATGATCTAATACTGTTCAGATATTTGACGAATTCATCAAAGACATTCTTTTGACTGGGTAAAAGAACGAATGATACATCCAATTGATCATTAAGTTTCATTAGCTGTTCCTGAGTTTCATCAATCATATGTTTGGCAATGATCGAAGGGTCAAAGCCTAATTTACCACAACCCACGCTTGGAAATGCTGAAGAAAATAGAACAAATAGAATATACAGAATTAATACCGATAGAAAACAAACCGATTGATTTGTATTGATTTTGAACCACATAATCGATCGCTGACGTGACAAATTTACTGAGAGATGGCTTTAAGGTATGTGGATTAGACGTTCCTGATTGCCAAGGTAGGAAAACTATTTTCTTACACGGTAATGCCCCATTCGATGCTGCACCTGTGTGATTTTTCGTAGCAATCATGGCATCGTATTGCTTCTGTACCTGAGCACCAGCTTGCGCGATCACGTTTCTGCACATGATCTCCGAAGTAGAACAAACAACAATTATATCGACCTATTCAAAGATAAATTTAATCAAAAACCAGATGATCGTCAAAATACACACTGTTTGTGTTGTTAAATCTCCAGTGCAGATTGTGATTGTTGAATTTCCAATACTAACACTACTTGTAGGTACCAATGGTGCAGCTGCCTGTTGAGGTTGCTTGGCTAAATCTTCTAAATCAGCACCGCGCGCTTTGGGTATTGGAATTTCAATACGTTGAGTTCGAGACTTTTTCTGAAGAAGGCATTTGTTCTTTACCAACGAGATCAATTGCTCAGATTGTTGAACAATTAGTATGGCGAACGCACTATTCTGTATCTCGAAAGTTATTTCATCAATCTCTGTTAATGCACTGAGAGTGGCTTTGATTTGTGCATGCATATCGATTGGCGCAAGAAAATCACCATGTTGTTGAAGACGTGTTAGACTTACATCACACCCATCACCTTTGTATCGCTTTTCGAGTTTCATCAGATCAGCTATACCAACATGTGTTAAATAATCCAGCTAAAAATAAGGAACAGTCAAATATATTAAACAGCGTTCTCTAATGTCGAACCTGCTTTCTTGTCAGCGGTATCTTGTGCGATTGAGGAACATATTTACTTTTAAGTTGTTCGAACATTTGACGAAACTCTTTAACTAATTTGGTTAAACCGAATAGATACATTGTTTGTTGTTCCACGTGCAAACAGATATCTTTTTTATAATCAATTCGTTGACGAATTGTATTTTCTAATACCGTCCAATCTTTTGTAAATTGTGATGAAGATGTTTGAGGAGTATAAGTGATTGTCGCTGAAGAAAACTAATTGTTAATTAAATCTTCGATCTGTTGTGCATCGACGCCGAATTGAGGATTGTTGACATCGAAATAAGTGACGAGAACAACCGTTGCCGAGATCTTCTGACACGTACAAATCAGATCTTCTAGATTTAAATGATGCTGAATGAGCAGAGCTGCTTCTTCCATCTTCGTCCAATTACCATCTAAAAGAGAAGGGTTTTCAATCAGTTGACAAAGTTATTTCGCTTCTGTTACTATTTGCATCATCGAATTTTCGTGTACGTAACGATAAGAATAGTTTTTGAACGTCATTGAGTGCACTCTCAACACTACGACCTTCACCGATGATTTTAATGCTGACACGAGCTCCGTCACCTTTTGGTTTTGTGTTTAACACGCTTCGCTCAATGGTTACTTTAACGTTGTATGTACTTGTTAAGTGTTGCTCTAAACGAGTTTCGAATGTCTTCAATGAAAACATGCTTAATTCTTCCGGAGATGAAACAGCATAAATCGATGTATTATTGACGACTGAAGCAATAGAAGTGCTTGGTCGTCTAAATTGAAAAGAAAATAAACTTAAATGTAAGAAGTCAAATATGAAGAACATACCGTTCCGTTGTTTCTTGTTTGGGTACACTCGAAGCTGCCGGTGAACTACAAGTAAACACCGAGTCAGTTCGTATGGTCGACCATATACTACTTACCAGTATTCTGCTGTGCGATTAGCCGTTGTGTTTGAGTCTGTTTGGTAGCGTGGTTTATTTTTGTGAAATAGTTGATCTTTCAATTTAATCAAATCATCAAATTTTGCCGCAACTGAATAATCATTTTGGTTAACTCGTCGGTATGCGACTGTATTCGAATGTTTTCGTAGAGTATTTACATGATACGGCTTCAGATCGCGCAACACCTGATATCTTAGCTTTTGCATATAATTATTTGTTTTATTAGCGAGAATAGCTTCATTATGTGAACAACGTGGTAATCGCGGAAAACTACCGATATAACTTATCTGATCTCCGTTGACCGTAACCTCACCACCAAGTTCGTTACCTACAAAAGAATCAACTTGATACATGGTAATAGAACATCTGGTTGATTACGAATGTATTCTTTGTACTCTATTTGAAAAACACGATGTGCAGCAACCATAGCCCACTCAGGACGAAGTGTGATTGTAGTTAATGCAGGCTTGTTTGTAGATGGCGATGGAAGATGATATGGAATACTTTGAGGTGTTGAAATGCTCTTATCTTCATCCTCGCATCTTTCATCTATATCGACAATGATCGGAGTAACGGTAACGTGAAATTTAGCAGTGATTCTATCAACAATGGACATCCAACTTTTATAAGCTGAAAAAGAATTCGAAGATGCTTTAATAGTCTTTGGATTCGATCTTACCATCAGGATTAGTAAACTCCACTTCAACTGAATTATCGGCCGTCAACTGATAGGTGAAAACATCGATTCGAGCAGGCCGTACAATATTTTCAATATCGTTGTATGACATGGATTTCTTATCAAGAAAACTTATGCTAACTGTATCACATTCGTAAATCTGCACTAAAGACAACTCTTGTCCTTTTAGTTGCGGTTTTGCTCGATACTGTTCATAGAGTTTTTTGAATTCTATTGAAATTAGAAAGTAAAAAGAAGATATTTCATTAAGGAGACAAGTATTACCTATGTTATTATTGCATTGCACTAGAACGACTTGTTCGTTTGTAGTTGAAAGGTCTACTAGCGTAAATTGGACCGTATTTCCAACTAGTAAAGAAATGTACAATCGAATTCGATTTTCTGCTATCTTATCTTGTTCATTGATTAGTATGGTTTTCAAAACAAAACCGGCTTTATCGATGAATTGTTTTGTACGTTTGAACTTGATATCTCGTTCGCTAAAAGTTGATATTTGACGTTTCAATAACTTGTCTACATCTAGAAAGGAAACGAACAGTCGATAGGTCAGGAAACGGACACAATCTTACCGCTAGCTTCGTCTAATTGAATGGTCACCCGTCGAAAGTATTCGTTTTCACTTTCGTTTAATTTCTTCTCCATCCGAAAGTTTTCTACGCTTAGGCTCATTTCGATAATTTCCATATCAATGTGTGGCGCATAACTTGACGACGGAAAACTTATATCTATTTGACGATCAGTCTCATCCGTCATAGAATTTGACTGAATAAGATCTGTCGTATTCAGTTTCTGAACAAAATCTGAATCTCGACGGACATTTATCCGAGCAGGTTTTTTCAGTCGAATCAATTTCACCAGTAATTGTGCACCGATATTCTGACAATTCATCTGCTCGATAATCTTCTGGTTTTGACCATGATCAAACTTATGTGGAAAGGTGCATAATCGTTTAGTACAATGCTCGAATTCACGACACAGATGAAGTTTACCACAGGATCGTACTGCATTGTGACAATCACCCGCTAGAAATGCTTCACAAATATCGAGCTACAAGAAAAAGGCTAGATTATAGAAAAGAACAGCCGACCAGTAGTTCTTTTACTTTAGGTTCGACATGCACTGTAATGGAATTGTCTTTATTGACTGTTAATTCAAATAAAGCTGGACTGAGTGCTTGCACCTGATGACGAATTTCTGCAGTATAACATTGAATACCTTGAGAAATAAGGGAAAGGCTGATGTCTGAATCTTTCAAAACGACACATTGTTTATCAACAAAAACTTTGAGTATCTTCTCAGACAGATTAGTCATTGCTGGAATAGAACATCTAGAAGAAGTGAAATGAAAAATAATTTAGTCATTGTAGCTGTCGACAAAAAAACCCACCGAATAAGCGAACACGTGTCTGAAATGAGAGAGAAGAAAGAAAAAAAAACCCAACGACATTAGCTTTATATACCAAGCTTTCTATTGTGTGTTTGAAAAGCACCAACACGATTAATAATTACGAAAATTTCTCCAAACACTTGCTGAGAGTATGATTTCAAGTAGATATTCAAAATCTTTAACATGAAAAATCGCATCATAACGGATATCATTTGGTGAAAAATCATTGTCTGAATAGAGATTAGAAGTCTACCGATGAGAAACTCAAATAGATCTTTATTCTGTTTTTTTTTCATTCTCATTTGAAAGAAATAACATCCACTATGGCTGTTTATTCATAATAATCATCTTTGTTGATGTTTAATGAACACCAAAGAAAACCATAGAAATAATAGTAACAACAAAAAAGTTTGATTTCATTTTTCTAATGGAGTATAATTCAATAGTTTTTCGATGAGATCAACGTGGGATAATAACATACGACGGCAACAGTATCGTTTCAGACCAAGAACATCAAGTGCATCACCTTCTGGATATTCACATCGCAACAATTCAATGTAAGCCTCCCATTTGTTGCCAATAACTTTACCACAGGTAAAACAACGAATTGGAATAATCATTGTTATGTATATCTTGAGTTTTAAAGATCCTGAAGTATATGACAATCGAATCGATATTCTTAACGTAGCCGATTACTCGTGCAATGTGCAATGATATGAAAGATGTTCTTTTTCCATTAAATATTGAAACTTTTAGTGAATAAGCCAATAAACAAGTAGCGCCACAGTATGAGCTGATTTGAAATTAGCTGAAAGGAATACAGAACAGGTTAGTTGCTGTAGTAGAAATGGATTTCCAAAGCTTAAAGTCAATACATACCAACATTCCCTATTCATTTCAATGATGAAGTCTTGGAAATTGCGGTAGCATGCTTTTATGCATACAGCATGTAGTTTGAATGAGAATTAGTACGAACAACATTTTGCGCTAGTGATGAAATGTAAATAGTTCGCGTATTTTTTTTCACGATTTTCATTAAAGAATATATCAAATTTTCGTACAGAACAATGAAGTTGTCTACAAAACACACTTATTCTAAACTTTAGGATCACAATAAGCTGAGGCCAGAAGGGGTTCATTTTCGCTGTCATTCAACGGTGACTTTTCATTGCTAATGGCACTTTCGTCTTTCCTTTGCGGTGTATTTGATTTAGGCTCGTTTATTAACATTCGAAGATAATTCGCTTCCTTTGATCCTGTTTGTTCAATAAGTGAATTCAAATGAGATCTCTCATTGGAAACTAATGCTTGAGGTGTATCGAATTCCAGCACATGTCCATTTCCAAGTACCTACAACAACATCGCCATACACTCATCATTTAACACAACTTTCATCTTCATACCAATATTCGATCACTGTCAATCACTGTTCGAAGACGATGAGCAACTGTTAATACTGTACATTCTCGAAACTGTTCACGAATCGACCGCTGGATCAATTCATCCGTCCTACAAAACAACATCAAAACTTTCATATCACAACAACTTTCTCCTCGTCACTCACGCGTTGTCCACATTCGCAGTTGCTTCATCAATCACCAAGATCTTGCTCTTCTTCAAGATCGCTCTCGCAAGACACACCAACTGCTTTTGACCAACACTCAGATTCGATCCACTTTCACTCACCAACGACTGCAAACCATTCGTCATCACATCATTCACCACTTTCTTCAGTTGCACCTACAATCGTCATTATTGCCGAGCAGGATAATAACAACAACAACGACAGCACGCGTCACTCACCTGTTCGAGTGCATACCAGATCTCCGAATCAGAATAGTCACCGAACTGATCGAGATTGCTTCGCATTGTTCCAGTGAACAGCACCGGATCTTGTGGAATGATCGAGATTCGACGTCGAACATCATCGAGTCCAACTGTTTCGATGTCAATATCGTCGATGATGATGCGACCATGAACAATGATGCCCATGCGAAAAAGGGTCTGGATTAACGAACTCTTGCCCGCTCCTGTTCGTCCAACAATGCCAATCTTTTCTGCAGGATTGATCGACAAGGAGATGCGATTGAGTGCAAGTGATGTGTATGAGTTTGCGGAATGTGACATGGAGACATTATCGAAGATGATGAGACCATGTGTGGGCCAGTTGGATGGAGGTGAGGGGAGATGTGGTGGAAGTTGAGCAGGTGGTTCTTGTTCGAGTGCACAATACTCGAGTACTCGTTCGACAGCAGTCATTTGTGTTTCAACTTCAACTGATTGTCTAGAATATATGACGAAAATGTCATCCATTATACGTAATCTATTCAATTTTTGTTCGACAANCATGGAGACATTATCGAAGATGATGCGACCATATGTGGGCCAGTTGGATGGAGGTGAGGGGAGATGTGGTGGAAGTTGAGCAGGTGGTTCTTGTTCGAGTGCACAATACTCGAGTACTCGTTCGACAGCAGTCATTTGTGTTTCAACTTCAACTGATACTCTGAATAAAAGACGATTAACATATAGAAGCACATAATCATGGAGAAACTATTCAAACCTGATTCCCCACTGAAAAGTACTAGTTAGATTTATACTGTACAGAAGTGTAAGAGCAATATCTGCGGCTGAGAGCCGTTGACCCACGATGCGAACAATTACGGCAAGTATAGTAGCTGAGACAATGAAAAAACATGCAATCCATTCAAATCGAATTGCTGCCCATCGACCAAGTATCGTTAACAAATAGCTTGCACGAGTATGGTCATCAGCATAAGCGTGAAAGTCTGATAAACAGATATTTTCTGCACGATAGGAACGAATAACCTTAAGTCCTTGAAGAGTAGATGTTAGATACGAATAAACTGGACTTCGAGATGTATGCTCTAATCGTTTGAGATTTCTCGAACACCCAGCAAAACGGTGTCGAAGGAAAAGCATTAGAGCAACTCCTATTCCTGCTGGAAAGAGTGACCAACGATTGAGCCAACTGACAAAAACGATTATACCAAGAGTTTGAAAAATGCACTAGAACAATCGATTTCACACTAGATCCAATGCTCACACATGTCTTTTTTATTCAACTCACATATAATAAATCGTGCGTCAGCCACGGTAGGTCACTGTCTATCGTATGCACATCTTTGGTAAACCGATTCAATATACGACCTTTAATTAACAAAGATGCTACAAAAATCTTATCTCTTCGGCATAGATCGAGCAATACCTATGGGATTTACGTCGAAAAATGAGATAGGACATCGAAGAAGTTGACGAAACATTCTAATGAAAAAAAATAGGATAAAAACAAAATATGATTTTATCAAAATAACTACTTATTATGAAGTACACGGCTAGCGTTTAAGCATATAGACCTTCCAACAAGTGCATTTACCAAAGTTATGACAATACGGAGTATGCCAACACCTATAAAAGACAATTGTGAAATGGCGATAGAGATCCTAGATTGTCGCTGCATGCTCACGTATGCTGTTTATCACATCTGTCTCAAAAGGATTACAAGCACTGACACTCTATTTTTAGCTACAATATGAACAAACCTGTAAATATAGTAAACCTTTCCTTTTGATAATTATTCCATGTCGTAGTGTTCATTGCTTGTATCTGATTCAGCAATTTGTTATTTGTTCCACTACAATTGATCCGCAGTTGATGTCGGTAGGTCTGATCTTCGCTCCATTTTGCTAACCACCAATTGAAATAGATGGACACTGCTTCGAGACCACCAAAAGTCAGTACAATTAAGAACAGACTGCAAGTCAAGCCAGCACCTGCTCGCAAGTAGGACGCATATATCCAGCAACCAACTGATCCTTGCTGACTTTTCTCGATATTCAATTTGGATGTTCGAAGCTCGTCGATTTCGGCTTCGGAGAAAGTAACACATCGAGTTGTTTTCCTCGACGGAAAATCGATTGTTTCTTCATTTTCTTCTTGTTGATGAGTGACTTCGACTAGATTACGAAACAGCGGTGATGATGTACGCAGTTCTTCATATGTCCCATTTTCTAACATTTCACCCTAGAATAATTGAAGTCAACATACTATACATGCCTAATTTCTTCTTCACATACGTTCTCCAATATAATAATCTTTGTGGCATGCTGTAGAAACTGAATCTGATGTGTAACTAAGATGCAGATCTTGTCGCCGAGATATTCTTTGATTGATCTACAATCGTAATCGTCATTGTTTTCATTCACATTTGAGTTAATATACCTCTCGAACAGTTCCTTCGACACTCTAGCATCAACTGCAGATAACGGATCATCAAGCAGATAAATATCCGCATCACGATACAACGCTCTCGCCATATTGACTCGTGCTTTTTGACCCTAACCAAAAAAGCATGGACCATTTATTTTCTTAAGAATTTCTCCTTTTCAAGGCTACTTACTCCTGATAGCGTAACACCTTGATCGCCAACAGTCGTGTGCATGCCATTTGGTAATTGAGCAAAATCCTAAGTGGCGGAGATAAACCTAGAATTCAGTGTGATGAAAGTGTCGGCACGTACTGCTTCAAGTGCTGCTGCTCGAATAACTCGTCGAAACAGGTGTCCGTCATATTCTTTACCAAAGATGATGTTCTTCTTTACTGTAGACGAGAATATCCCTGTGAAGACAAGAATAGCAATAAGGATTCAGATATCGAGTATGAATATAGTTACATGGCTCTTGCGGAACGTAACAGAACGAGCCACGAAGCCGAACTTTGCCTTGAAAAAAGGCGATTTCACCGGTGAGTGCCTGCAGAAGTGAACTCTAGTGACATGACAAAATGGAATAGTATACCGAGAGACAAAGAATGATTCGCGTACCTTTCCAGATCCTACAGATCCGATGATGCAAATAAGATTCCCTGGTTGAGCATCGAAGACAATATTTTTAAGAACAAATGATGGATTCTAGATGTACGTACATGAGGAGCGGTAGAAAAGGAAAGAAACTATTTACCATTTCCCAGTATGCTCGTTTCAAGTTACATTCAACTCGAAAGCGCGTTTTTATCGAAGTTGTTCGTTGTATCGAGGTTTTTTGGTTATTTATTTCGTACACCACCTGATCTTCATGATTTAATACGTCTGCAGTTGAACTTGACAATAATCGGCGATCTCTTTCCGATTCATCCAATAGAAGAAATTTCTACCAAACGAAAACACTTTTCTCGTCCAGAAACATTTTGCAAAAGAATAAATCAGATCAAACAAACCTGAATTCGTTTTCTTGCCACCAAATACTTCGCAAAATTTCGAATAGAGTTGGTAAAAAAGTACATAATGAAGTACTCCAGATGGCTTAGCAAACTGTACGCAATAGCAAAGAATTTTGTATCGAAACGAATATCCATCGACCACATTATGCCATACATCATTAGGAAAGTTATGCTAATTTGTGAATTCGAGACAAAATAGTGCACGCAATCAGTTAGAGAGAGAATTGCGAGTTCGAATATTTCTCTTCTAAATGTCAGAAATACTCGACATTTAGAAAGAAGTGACTCAGTGAACATCCTTTACCTTCTTATGTCATGAATTTTCTTCTCAAAAATCGATTCCCAACAGTACATTTTTATAATGCGCATTGATTTAATCAATTCATTGATCATTTTAATTCGCTCATCAGTTCTTCGCAGTACTCTCATCCTAAATAGTCAACACATAAAAAGCTTTTCAAGCAAACAAAACATTCCCACTGTAGATATGCATAAAGACGACCATAAATAGTGTAGAACAATACTAGTACTATTGTATAAGATATAACCACCAATGTAATATATTTCACAAAATGCCAGAACATTAAACTAATAATCAAAATATCTACAGATGTGAGCTAATCAAACAAACACAATTGTGAATTTGAAGCGCAGTTTCATCTGACATACCCATAAGAAGTTAAATGACCACAAATTGACTTCAATCTGACCAGCATCATTCGATAGCAAATTAGTAACGCTACCAGCGCTGAAACTATTCAATGAGTAACTCGATAACCGCAAGGTCTAAACGAATGGAATTATAAAACATAATTCTTTTTCTCAATATCTATGTTTTACTTTCCGATAGATCAAACCACTATAAGCAACGCGCATTTGCAAACCCAACAATTGACAATGATACATGTACTATGGAATATCAAGACTCTAGATAGAATTTCCTATTTGACCTGACTTACATAATTTAGGAAGAAACTGGAAAGTAATGGCGTGATGATGCATGCAAAAGTTAGAAACCATGCATGTCTAACAGACATTGTTGAGCATGGTTCGAAAAAGTCCATTAGAAATGTTAAGAACAACGGCAGAACAATACAGCAAAGCATCTAAATATTCAAACGATGACACGCCTTTGGAAAAATAAAGCTACACGTACCCATGGAATCAGCAGCAACCCTGTTAAGACTGGCTTGTAACCCATTGTACGAATTGTAGCACGAATCAAACTTGGATTTCTCGGCGATCTTTTCTTCTCATCTAACCAATTATTTTCTAGGTCATCGGTCAGCTTCTTAGATTGATATTCAGGAAGAAGTTCATAGAGATCGACGGCGTCAAGTGCTCCGTGGTTTCGATTTGTCGCAATCAAGTGTGATATCCAACTATGTATAATCGGACATAGTAAAGATGAATCACAGACAAATTGTATCTCACCCGTGAAACAACCTTGACCAGAAATTGGCACGTAGATATGGACTTGGAGCATGTGGCATTTTTTAAACTAAATAGAAATTCTATCAGTACAGTTAATCTTTCGAGTCGATTGAACTCTTTCATTTGTCGTGTATGATCGGCTTTCGCTACTTCCCACTCAATTAAAGAAATATCCATTATTTTCTTTTGTAGAAGACTTTGGAAGAAAGCTTTCTCTTATGATCTTTCCTGAAGGTTATAATTGAGAGCAACGGAATCGAATTCAATTACGTCTTATTTGTACTTCGCAGATTCTCAACTAATAGAACGATGTCGTAAGCAATTTGTCATAAGGGGAAATTGTTGTATCGAATGTAGCTCGTTACTGTTTTTAGTAACAACCATTTGATATACTTAATGTAAATAAATGCATTAGTTTCTCTGTCTATTGTTCCTGTGTTCACTGTGAATTGCCGCTAAAATGGAACATAATAACATTAATAATCTTTATTATAATCATTGAATTTCTGTGGAAAATTCAGTAGCGTCTACATGAAACTGAAACTCTCGTGAGATTTGTTTTGTTTATTATCTCCGAAGTAATCGAATTACTAACCGCGTGTCATTTCTTCTGATGTAGTAATAGAAAAATCCGACTTACGAATAAAATATAACACCCTGGTAAATGTCTGCTGGACTATTGCGAAGTCTGTTTATCAGGAAGAGGCAAAGCTAACATATATTTCAGTACCAATCAACACCAACTCGATGATAATCCAATACAATGCGTAGCATTGACGGTCCTTAACGTCTATATCAGCCTAGTCTATTTAGTCGCTAAATAAACGGGGTTATTTTTCAATATGAAATGCAAAGAAAAGAAACTTAGTCAACTGTAACAAATCTCATCATTCGTTGACTGTGTGTTCGTTTTTTTTTGACAGAATGAGACTAATCAAAATCAAAAGTAAATACATTTCGATATAAAAATTTGGTGCGTAATCGAAAGGATTCATTTCATCAGGCAACACATTTCGTTCTCAATTTTCCGTGCTGTTTAGTCTTTTGCTCGTCTTGATTTTGGCTAAACGCTACATGTTATCAATTGAATTCGATCTTAATTAACCTTGCATACTACTATTTTGATTAATAAACAGCAGAAAAATTGCTTGCCCTTTCGAGTATTTATTGCCGGTAGAATAGGAGAAAAAGGAGGCTATTGAGAGAAGAAAACGTAGAAACAAATCTCTCGAACAACCAACGCAGCGTTCTTTCAAGGTTGTTCAGTCCACAAACAGCGCATAAGAAAGTATTCTGAGATGATAGTGAAGAAAAAAGGAAGTTACTTACCAGAGAACAAGGGAGAAACGTTGATTCGCAAACGAGTTCTCTGTGATATGTCGCGATTTCAATCAATTTCACGCATATCTTTTATTGCAAAGGTTATATTCTATTATTTCCTTTTTTCTGCTGTACCAAGAATATAATTCACAAGTTGTTTCAACAATAAACTTCATTTTTTGTTACTGCTGGAAAGCATCTTTTTTCCTTTTCACATGCTGTGATTTATAGCATGAAAAGTTCTGTTATAACTTGCTCGATCATGGCGTGTCATCTTCAGGAATATATCATTGGTTGAGAATAACAACTTCTACATATGGTTGATTGTTCTGATTGGTCATATTTGGTCTGACGTTCAGTCATAGATAATTTACTTAGCATGATGTCTGCTTATGAAATAAACAACAGTATATAGAAGTATTTTCTTTTCGGCTAGATGTTGTTTCGATTTTTCCTAACGGTGCTTTTATTTCTTGCTATATCTGCGGTTGATCCATTTGAAAAATTTGCTGAAGCAACTACACGGCATACAAATAACTGGGCTATTCTAGTGGATACATCACGATTTTGGTTTAACTATCGTCATGTTGCTAATGTACTTTCCATTTATCGCAGTGTGAAACGACTCGGTAAGATTCTTTCCTTTTCAGATGAGCATATCGATGATCGAAGTAATTAGCTACCATTAAAAACATCCTTCTTAATTGCATAACGAGCTTCCGATGTACTTTCCTTTTTCCTTCTGACAGACAAACACATCTGTTGCACTTTATACGCGATCCATGCGATATAAGATCAACTTTCCTATCGGGTAAGCAACTGTTGTTAAGAAAAGTTAGAAGAAGAAAATGACGAGTAGAATCCTTCTTTGTACAGTCAGTCATGTAAAAAAATTAATGGACATTGACAGACAAATTCTATTAGGAACTGTGTTTAACGAATATTATTTACATTGAGATCTTTGCCATGTAGGAATACCCGATTCGAACATTATTCTGATGTTAGCTGATGATATGGCATGCAACGCTCGAAACCCACGGCCTGCTGAAATTTTCAATAACGTCGCGGAACAAATCAATGTCTACGGTGACGACGTAGAAGTGGACTATCGTGGCTATGATGTTACTGTCGAGAATTTCGTTCGTGTTTTAACAAATCGTTTGCCTGAAGTTACGCCTGTGTCTAAGCGTCTTCTCTCCGATGAAAGTTCAAACATATTTATCTACATGACTGGCCATGGTGGAGATGGTTTTCTTAAGTTTCAAGACAACGAGGAAATATCGGCTGTTGAATTAGCTGATGTTTTCGAGCAAATGTGGCGTAAGAAACGCTATCATGAGCTGTTCTTCGTTGTCGATACGTGTCAAGCTGCAACCTTATTCGAAAAATTCTACTCACCGAATATCTTAGCTGTTGGTTCATCGAATCGTGGTGAAGATTCGCTCTCGCACCATGTCGATCCTAAAATCGGCGTTTATGTTATTGATCGTTTCACATACTATGCACTTGAATTTCTAGAAAAATTGAAGCAAGATTCGCAAAAGACAATCAACGACTTCTTCCATTGTTGTCCCAAACATTTGTGCATATCGGAAGTGACATGGCGAACGGATTTATTTACGAAACGTGATTATCGCAAAACATTATTAACCGATTTCATCGGAAATGTCCGACGAACAGATATTGTTATGATAGATAAACAATTTTCGGATAATATTCTTACAAATTCCACGCGAGAAGCAATTGTAGATAAAGAAGAACAATCCAAGCAACAGCAATTTACTTACATTTCACAAATGCCAATCTTGGACTAATCTGTGATTCAAATTTGTATAAAGTTCGCTTTCTTCTCTCTTCTTTACCAGAAAGCAAAGAAAATATCCAATTCATATAGGTTGGAAAAAAAACTTTTTTCGACTTTTTTTTATCATCGTAACATCCAGACGGTAATGGTTTCGAAGCTTACTAACAGAATTAGCTAATTCATTGTACAACAAAAGGGATTTTTCGCTTTTGACAATAAACATGACACTTGATTATTTCCCCACGAGTTGTATAAATCATCGGGTAGATATTTTTCGCACTTAAGACGTTATTTATCGTAGCAGCAGGTTATAGAGAACAATCGCATAGATATCGTTCGTTTTCGAAAGTTATTTGAATATATTTGTGCAAAAGAAAACGCGACATTCCATCTGTTGTTTGTTTATGACGTAGTCAAGTTTCAACGAGACCCTTGACCTCAATGAGACGAAAACAATTAACATCTGAGGCTTTCGTTTGTATTTCATTAGTAGGAGATAAATCGTTTCCGGATGATGAAAGTCTAAATCTCAAAGTCAATGCTGCATTATATGCTATAACAAATAAACATGGGCTACAGTGAATCATACTCGATAAACATCTTATCTTTTCTTATCGTAATAAGCTAAAAGAACAACGTTATATGCGATAGTTCTTATCTTCTTTGGTAAATCAATACCGGTCTTTCTCTTCATTGGTATTTGTGATAGTGGATAATGCTAGTTTTTTTTATTTGTAGATTTTCCGTCTTTTATTCATCATCACTGATTTGTTCTTCTATATGAAGATCAATAACTTTCTGGTATGTCTATGTTAATGTTCATTGCCATAAATTCTTCGATCACAACTTGTTGAAGGAAACATATGGCAAACTGTTTTCTCTTCGCTACACGAACTATTTTGTCTTTCTCTCTCTTTACATTTCTCGCCGTACAATAAACAGACCTTTACCCAGTCATTTTTTCTCTCTCTTTTTTCTTCTTTGCATTTAACAAGGTACATTCGCTGAACAACCTTCATCAGTGTTACAAAAGGAAATTTTGCCCATCAATAGAAGGCGTGTGAAATATACTTGCCCCTCTATCATTGACATTGACGTCTTTCTTAATCTTACCTGAAGAACTTGTACGTCTATTTTGAAACATTCTTCTCTTTTCGTTTGACTAACATACACAGCATACGTGTCATCTGTGAATGAGTCATTTTGTACACGAGTACACCGATAGGTTATTGTCTAATTTGGGATTTTCTCTTGTAGTATTAGGATTGAATATTACACAACGACTGATTCTTGCCAACAATGACCTCAATAACGCGTAAATTATTTTCTACATTAACAACTGCCTATAGAAATATCAATCCGTCCACATTGAATGGTAACTAGTCTTTCTTATTGTCCGGTGTCTATCAGTTCTTATCTTTTTCTAGGTGCTATTGATATAATTGTTGTTAAGCAAGAAGATGGAACATTTCGCTGTACACCATTTCATGTTCGTTTTGGCAAATTAGGTGTTTTACAAAGTTTACAAAATAAGGTACGTCGAAAAACGTTATATACCTTAAATCAGTCGTGCATCGAACTCGACAGATTTGATTTTGTACTTTGAGTTCACTCGTTACCAAAAGGATCGAATTCAAGGTCTACTTGTTTTAGGTTTATATAAACATAAATGATGTACCAGTCGAAGATATATTCATGCAATTGGGTGAAGCCGGTGAAGCTGTTTTCATTGAAGAGCAAACTGTATGTGACTAGAGTACTTCAGTAAACGTAATTCAACTCTTGTGTTTGATTGGAATTTAGAATACACCAGTTATTGCACCAACACGTCATTTAGAACTGTCTGATTCGAATAATTTTCTTGATCCAGATAATTCGGTTTCACTAGACCCTGATGCAAATGTACATAAGCACCTGTCAAATATCGATTGCTCACCGCAAATAATTAATAAAGAACTTGATGAAATAAAAGCCAATGAAACTGATCAGTCGAGAGGCAAATATGCTTACGATGAGGATACCAAGCCAACAATAAATATCGATGTATTACATTCCAACACTATCATTTCAGCCCGTCGCCGACATAAACGACGATTATTGAATCGTTCCGGCCAATTCATTAGACAAATTAGTGAAGATGATGAGCAAGACATCTTCCAGCAATTCTCTTCGTTAAAACGTCGTGCACGTGCGCGAAAACGTGATTCAACACCAGTTACAGCAGGTGTAACAACAGATTCAGATTTATCAACAAATAAAGACGCGAGGCTTCGTTCATCAATTACACTTCTACGTAAACGTAGTGCAAGCGAAAACGACGTTCCATTATTTCAATTTGATTTCGAACCAAACCCATCTGTCGACGTTCCCAGTCGTCTCAACAGTATTGACAGTCGACCAAAAACTCTTAATTTAAATGGTATAAATAAAGAATGTTCGATGAATGAAGATAATTCTACTGATAATGATGGCAACGTTCTACGAACTCTCTCAGATCCGATAATAATTGATCAAACGCAGGAACCAATAATCACTACTAACGAATCAACAGATGCACTGGATAGTTCAGTTTTATCTCAATCAGCTCCCTTAGAAGGTGTCAATACGAATACAATTCGTGTTAGTCAATCCGACGAGCACAGCAACGATTTTTACACACATGCAGATTATTCGCCAACATCTTCTTATCAAAGGTACGTTTAGAAAATAATTTCATATCTCTTCAGCTTGATATGTTTTTCTTTAGTGCCCTATCTCCACGACCAACAAGTCCGAAATCGGATACGGAGTATGAATTAGAAAAATCTTCTCAAGCATCGCCAAATGTTGGTTGGCAATGGAAATGGGGTGAATTGCCTGAACAACGACGCAGTGTTTTCCGATATCTATGGCCATCATCAAAGAAACTAACACCACAAGAAGGCATGTATCTAGACGACATAACAAACAATCGATGTGCTGACCGGTCACTGTATTTACCACGATTGTAAGTTGCTTTTTTTTCGTATGTAGGAACGTGTTTTGCAGAAAGTGCAAACGTTCATTTTATTCAGAGAACATCATCAACACCAACAACGAGCGGGAAATGACGACGATCAAGAGTCCGGAACGGGAAATTCAATACCACAATCGCCATTCCGAGAACATGAAACTTCGTATGTAAATCGACATTTCGAACCGTATACAATACCAACTCTCACTTTCAGTTGTCTCCTTGGCGATGCGCAATTATCCCTTTGTGGTAATCTCAATAAATCAACAGCCATTACTGATGAAATGTTCACTGCTGATCTTGTTTCCTACGAAACATTTGCTAACAATCCTTCGATTATCAACGATCCAAATTTAGTCGTACGCATCAATGGAAAGTATGTTATTAGGAGCTCTGTTTCTGAATATCAACCGAATACTATCATCGACTCTTTAGATACTACAATTGGAATGTTGCTTCAGCTCTTATTACTGCTACGAGTATATTTCATAAGCCATTACCTGTCGAAGCGATTGAACAATTACAAGACAAACATATGAAACAAGAAAAACCACGTGCAACAGGAAGTGGCTGGTGGTTACCGTTCTACAGTAAAAAAGTGAGAAAAATCGCTTGCGTTCCATTTTCTACTGATCATTTGTTCTTTTTTCTTCACAGCCGGATTTGAAAATTGAAGCTGCTAAAGTAACCACACCAGTAACAGCCGCTGACACTATTCCAACAGTTGCTAAATCGGAAATAATCCAATCAACTACAACTCGTCCTGAGTCGCTTGATACTCCAAAATCGGAAATACTAGCACCGACATTACTTCGCCCCGAGACTTTGCCGAACCTTAAACCAGATAAAAATTCGTAAGTTCAACATTATCTTCGTTTCTTTCAGTTAGCAAACTTTTCTTATTCGCAGTAAATCAGATAACGATAGCGAACAGGAAGATAGTGAAGTACAAAAATTAACTGCAAAAATGGAAGAAGCAAAAGTTCAAATTCGACCCCATTCATCGTCAACGCATTCAACTCAACAAACAACTCTAAGAAAAACAATGATACTCTCATCTGATCAATTGAAACGTTTAAATCTTAAATTAGGCAAGAATAAAGTTGAATTCAGTGTCACAACTGCATTACAAGGTACAACGACCGTTGAATCGAACATTTTCCTTTTCGATCACATGACAAAATTTGTCATTTCTGATATCGATGGAACAATTACCAAGTAAGACTTCTTGTTGGAATTGTTCGATTGACTGTCACTGTTCATCGTAGATCTGATGTTTTGGGTCATGTCATCCCATTAGTCGGTGGTGATTGGTCACATGATGGTATTGCCGAATTCTTCAATGCTATTCAAGAGAATGGCTATCAGTTTATTTACTTATCGGCACGCGCCATTGGACAAAGCCAAATAACACGAAATTTCTTAAGAAATATTAAGCAATCCGATAGAGAATTACCATCAGGACCATTGCTTATCTCACCGGATACATTATTGGCCGCACTTTATCGGTTGGTTTTCCTCGTGTCATATTCGATCGATGTATTTACTATTTACTTATTCTAGAGAAGTGATTGCAAAGAAACCGGAAGATTTCAAAATTGAATGTTTGAAAAATATCGCTAGTCTTTATCCTGGCAAGAACCCGTTCTATGCTGGCTTTGGCAATCGAATTAATGTATGTAAGAATTGTCAGAAATCGAGCAATGTACTTCTATTATCTTCTCTAGGATCAATGGGCTTATACTGCGGTTGGTATTCCGGTGACTCGTATTTACACAATAAATTCACGTGGAGAGGTTGTTCGTGAGAAACTATCTAAAGCTCTCTTGACTTCGTACGCTATCTATCACAGTTTTCTCAGTTTTTATTCTTGAATGCTTTTGTAGGTACAAGAATCTACATGAAATTGTTGATCTTTTGTTTCCGCCAATGGATTCGTTTCATGCCAGTGAAAATTATTCAGATTACACGTATTGGCACAAAGAACCTGCAGTCGAATCTTTCGAGGATCAAATGCGTGCAGATTTAGAAGAAATCTCTAAACGACAAAAGCCGAATAAATCGAATGCGAAAAATAAAACAACGACAACATCGGCTGCATCAACGCCAACGACGACTAGTCCATCCAAAGCAACACCAACAACAACTGTATTGAAACCTAGTGGCGATAAATTGTTGACCATTGCTCAAGTGACGGAAAATAATGTCAAACGAGCATAAATGGCGAACAACTAGGAAAAAAAAAGAATTTACTCTTATTCCTGCTATAAGTTAATCTTTATTCGAGAATTGTGTCAGATAAGATATCTAACAACGATGTACATGCCCATTCCTTGATTTTATTTTAACTTTTCACTTCATGATTACTTTGATGAATGTCTGTTCGTTTTCTTTTCATGCCAACTAATGTGCTTGTGTCTATTCGGCTGCGGTTTTTCTTTCATTTCTCGTCTTCAACTGTTTAAAGCTACACTTATAAGAAGAACTATGGTTACATATTCATACATATATAAACCAAGAGAGCGTTAGATTAAAATATACCCGAGATGAGAACTTTTCTTGATGTTGGTCGATTTAGTAATCAACTTCGCTTGGAATTCTAATTATTTTAACAAGCAAAACTTTGTTGATTAGGAGATAAGCGCTGATGCACCGAAGAATAGTGACTTTAACGAATTCTGTTAAACAGTATTTATTAAATAAGTATACGTTCTGACGGAGGAGTGTGCTGAAAGTGCAGAATGAAGATCGTCAACGTCTTACATATACTTTTCACAACCATTTGATATGAGATCAAATCGTTGAACTCGACAATTGTTTGTATCAACAACATATAAATTGTAGTCTGCATCAAAACGAATCTGAGACGGACTATTCAACTGTTCGTCGCCGTTGCCAGCGGTTCCATTGCCAATAATAGTTCGACCATGTCGACTACCATCTAACCATAAAAGAACACGATGATTAAAAGTATCGACAATGAACATATTTGTGCCAGATGGATCTAGTTGAACAGCAGTAGGACGGTTAAGTTCACCCCAACCAGCTACGGTGTTACTGACATTTTTATTATTGATACTATATTTTTGAATGCGGCTATGCAAAGTATCAGCGACGTAGAGAGAAGAAGTTTTTGGATCATACGCAAGACCTGACGGATGATGAAGCGCTGTCGAATTAGATTTCAACATGTTCTTGTTCTCAAAGACAATGTCAAAGAAATTGGACTCAAAATTCCAAGAGAGAATACGGTCATTGTTTGAATCTGCCATTAAGAGTAATGATGCTGTTGCTGCTAGACTTTTGACTTCATTGATTTGATTCGATTGAGATCCTTGTCCATAGCGGCCGATCAGTGTAACAGCCCTGGGAGAAGTCGAATTACTGTTGAGTGTAAATACCTAGAAATTTATTAAAATTTAAATGACAGATTGTTATGGACAAATATTAAAAAGAGACATACTTGTATTCGATAGTTGTCTGAATCTGACACATATAGATGATCATGATAAACTATAAAAAAAAAGCATGCGCAAACATTTTCAAAGATTTTTTCTAAGATTCTACCAGTAAGTGCTGTTGGTTTCGCTAGTAAATTATTCCAAGAACCATATGAACCTGTACCAGCAATTAAAACTCCTTCTTTAGCATTTTGATTCCATTTTACAATACGATTGTTGTCGGTATCAGCAATTAGCAACGTTCCATTAGCATATACATAGATGTCTGAAGGGTGATGCAAACCAGAAAGTGCCGTTGATGGTAAGTTATTAGATAGGCCGGCAACGGTGATACCTTTAGAACTCCAGGACGCTCGTGCAGTGCATAACCGTTTGGATGCTAGAGATACAAATCATATTAGATATGAGAAAATAGATGGGAATTATCGAATACCTAAGGCACGCTGTGAATTTGTTGTTTTTGGTGAAGCTAAAAATTAAAATAAATAAAATAATTTACTTTCATTAATAATACATAAACTCGATAATTTCAAATGTAAAATCCGCCTACCAGTTGACGTTGGGAATTTAATTGGGAAGGAGGGCTTTGGGCAATACGGATTTTCTGCATAGAATAACAAGAAACTTTTACTACATATATATGTATTGATTGATGAAAAGACTCACTCTTCAATTGCGTTAGAACAACCGGTATGCCAATAACTGATCCAAGCAATAATACAGTAAATACAACTAGAGATATCGCACAACCTACTGATTTCCTAAACGAAATAGGCCTTGTTATCTATTAACAATCGAAATTGAAAAATTCCTCTACCAATTAATCTTTTGGGACTGAATATCTTGCTGTGCGTCGACGCGTCGCTGTTGTTGCGAAAACGTATGTCGAATAGAGTCTAACTAAAATTCAAATCACATGCAGCTTCCTTCGACGAATATCTGAATGAAATATTTACTGTCGGTTGAATTCGGCCAGACTTCGCGCGTAACCAAATCATATGTGTATATCGTCAACAAAAAGCAGTTTGCTAGAAACAAAGAAAAATGAGAACGAGCTGAATATACAACATTTCAGAAAGTAATTAGTAGAAGATATTTAAAAAAAAAGAGCCTATCTAATAAAAATTTCAAGTATAGCTGATATTCTCGTTGCTTGAAAACAATAGAGGAAAGTCATTTGCTTCAAAGAACTTTCATTAACTAATGTAGTCGTGATCTAGTAGTAATGAAATATATCTACGTGAACGGTGAGTGCAGACTATTATGTGCATAGAACTCTAGTAATAAAAATTTATCATTTGAATTTGAGATTTCAAAATGGTCTGTTGTGCATAGGAAAATATTTATTTATTGAACAAATACACATGTGCTATGCCTACGCAGAATACGCCATATTCAAATGAGAATAGATGTGCTTACTTGACTAATATGTTAGTTGTTCTTTAGTCTACGAGAAAATTTTATTTATCAACAGAATATGCTAGAATAATCCTTCTCATTTTCAGATCAAAATGGAACTAACAACGGCTAGTGTTCGCGTAAGTTTAACGAGATATGGTTCAACCGTCTGCTATCATCTTGTAACATAACGTATCTTGTTAGTCGGATAATCGGCAACCTCCAGAAATAACAGAGCAACCACATCCAGCGTCAAGATGGTGGATGCGACATCACATGCATATCGGATTAGCAAGTCTGGCTGGTTCAGCTATCTTGATGTGTATTGTGGCGGTGATTCTTCTGCCAATTGCAGTGCGCAAACCATCAGACGGTTTGTATTGAAAAATAAACGAAAGGAAACAAAGCTTGTTATGAATGTTCGACTTTAGATGAAGAACCATGTACAACAGGAATACCATTCGGTCCGTGGAGCACACCATCAACACGTTAGTTTCAATTTCTGCTTCACTCATTGATATTAGACAATACCTATAACATACTTTTTCTGTGTAGTAAAACTCAATAACACGAATCGCTTCAATTTCTCATATGTAGACACACAGAGAGGTAGTTTCATCTTAAATCTGTCAGCATTTTATCACCCCTTATCAAACTATAGCTAGTTTTGATCTTTTGTGTGCATTGAATGCTACCTGGAAGATTCATGGAATTACAATTGCTGGTTCATCCAATGACTCGAATTTGTTCTCACGAGCAAATCTGAATCATCCAAATGATATATTATTAACTACAGGCGGTAGTTTATTTATTGCCGATTCTGAAAATCATCGTATTGTTTATTGGCCGACGAATGTAACAGAAGGTCAGATTGTTATCGGAACAGGCACAGTTGGTTCATGGGCTAATTTACTTAAATATGCCGCTGCTGTTGTAGGTAAATAAAAAGTACTGATAAGCTTCTTCTCAATTTATCTGAATATGAAAGTACTGAGGTTGTCTTCGCTGAACTTTCGTCTTTTGTAGCATGGAATGATCAATTGATTGTTTCGGATCTTGGCAATTATCGAATTATGGCATTTCCACTCAGCACAGACCAAGAAGCGCCCGATGGTGTGACGATTGTTGGTCAATATGGTGCTGGATCAGCTTTGAATCAGATCAATTCTGTCTACTATATGTGTGTAGATTCAATTCGTGGAATACTTTATTTGTCCGATTTTGAAAATCATCGTGTATTAAATATGAACCTCACAGATTATAAATTACAACTAGTAGTCGGCACTGGTTTCAATGGGTCGAATAATGTTAGTCTTAATCTTCCATTAGGTATTACTGTCGATGAGAACACTCGAGCATTGTATGTCGCCGATTCTCGAAATCATCGGGTACAAAAATTCGATTTGAATTCAAAGGAAGGTGTAACAGTAGCAGGTGGACGAAGCTACGGATCAAATCTCTCGCAACTGTACTTCCCCTCTGGTATAGCCATTGATACCATTGGGAATATTTATGTCGCAGATACCGGAAACCATCGCATTGTTCAGTGGTTAATCGGCGCTCGACAAGGCCGTTTAATCGCAGGTGAAAAGTGGCTACATATACATTCCAAATGATCATTATCTTTCTTATTCTAGGTACTGGCATATCAGGTAACAACAACAGTCAACTGAATCATCCAGTCCAACTGAAATTTGATCAATATTATAATCTCTACATTGTCGATAGGAACAATAGCAGAATACAACGTTTTGATTTAATATTGAATGGTTGTTAAACAACCTGTAAATTATGAAAACATTGTACTTATTTTGTCTCTGCACTTTCTTTTGTCAAAATAATACATATACGCATGTGCACAAATTAAATCTTTGACAAAAAAATTAGACAAGAACTAATCATAATACGAACAATAGTGTGTAGCGTAGCGTTAGTCTATTTATATGTAAATGTTCTGAAGCGAAGCGTCATCTTTCGCCTCGTAGGACTTACTCGCTCTTAAATCTGTCAAATTACAATGTTCTGTTTCTGACATAGTCGCAGGAAATACGTGAGCATTGAAAAAATGTTGAATAATAGCATTCTTTTTTCTACTCATTGACTCTCCAATGCATCCATGACTACATCTCCACTACCTGATAATGGCTCAAATTCTGGTAAACTATTTCCTCTGAAGGATAATCTTTGCTAACTATCTGATAATAATAACTCATTTCAGATACTCATGATTTATCAGTACTGAAATTTTCACCTAAACATGATCAACAAGTATTCCGTCGTGCATTTATTCAATCCACAACCAGTCTATTTGTGATAGTATGCGGAGCATGTGCCTTCCTAGTTTATCTCATTCTAGAACCTTTCATACACAGCATTCTATGGGCCATACTTACCGGTGCATTGCTATTTCCATTTAAACATCGTTTAACTTCACTGACACTTCGCTATTTACAACAATTAGATACAAACTCATATTTAGTATCCTATGGTCTCGTTATACTCTTACCTTTGCGAATCTTTGATAAGACAATCGAGTCAATTGGACCCATATGCATTCAGAACTATAAATCACTGTTACTCACTAGTATATTTTTGCCATCCATTGAGTTTCTTCAATCGGACATTGTCTATGAATGGATAACAACAATTGGGTACGATTATTTGATATTATTTCAAAGATTTATATATTTATTTGATTCCTTATGGGTGATAATTTTATTTACTATTTATTTATGTGTTGTGTTTATTTTCTATAATAATTCATTGATTTTACAATACGTACTGAAAACATTAGCAGTACCAATTTGGTCTTGTCTATTTATTTACCTTTCACAATTCTTTCCGGTTAATTATCGATTATTAATAATTACATTTAGTGCTTTTTTAATATGCTGTGGTTATCTGATCGATCAGAAGGTTAACCGTAAGTTTCGTTGCTGACGATTGTCTGTGTCTTTCCACATATAGTTTTATCATAGAATCGAGTTCTTCTCAGATTGATCAACATCAGCAGACAATACTCATTCGAACATGCAATTACTTTAATCATTTTCGAACTTACTTATATATGAAAAGAACAGAAACTATTCTGCCATCCTCGTCATCGTCGACAACCTATTTCAAATTTGTGCTCTGGTCCTTCATGGCGATTAAAGTCTATCAATTCTATTGGTATCTCATTCCAATATCGATCTTTGTTATTATATACAAGAGCATTAAATATCTTCTTCTCAATTTATATATTTACTTACGTCGACAAGTAGGTTCACAAGATCTCATTCAACGATTTATCCAATTTTGGAAGATTCGGTAAACGGAAGTTTTTGTTTCTCATCTGTACTCTTTTACTATCCGTTCTAGACGCGAAGTTTTACTACCAGCACCGCTAAATGGTCTTATGCGTTTTTTTCTCAAAGGAGATAAGAAGATCAATCACCTATTACAAGGATCCGTTGATTATCTCATTAGTGCAGGGATCATTGTCACTCTATTTATCTTTATACTTTTTGGTACCATACTTCTTATCATACAAGTTAATTAACTTCATTTTCTTTAATAAAGTTTTAACTTTATTTGTTCATCTAGATTCAACATGAAGGTCTACAAATGATCAATTTAATCAGTAGTTTTGTCAATGAAAGTACTGTAGTACAACATATATTACCCGACAAAGAACACGTAAGTCATTGGATGGATACAGCCGTGAATAAGTTTTACATAGCCGGAAGACTTTGGATTATTACGCAAGTAAATAACGTTTTTATTTGAGGTGCCATTTAATGTTATTGACTATTGATAGGTTGCAAAAGTACAACCCTCTCGAGCCGAGCCTCGATGCTGTTTTCCATTAGGTGTTGTGTCTGGCGAATCACCTTATATGCATGTAAGACTCGTTAATACCCCTAAAAAGGAGGTTAAGGCGAAAACGGAGTGCTTTTTTCTAATATCATTAGACTCAAATACGTGGCGCCGGTAGTTTATCGAATAAAAACCTTGAAGAACAAATATTACAGCTATGGGATCGGTTCTATACTTACATAACCAACACTTCTACGATACTTCCTTCGCACAAAAATCGTAGTCGAATAGTCCAATCATCATTCGATCATACGTTCCTTATACCAAACTTATTCTCGTACGTGCAAACTAATTTTCAATTACACATTAACGATTTTATCCGTCTCATACGTGATAACCTTGACCTATTCCATACTATTTGGTTAAATGCGACGCCACTATTAACAGGGCTATCAACAACAATATCGTTATTGTATACCGGCGGTTTTGCTTTATTGAATTTTTTTGTTTCATTTATTGTATTTGTTACTTTACTGTTCTACCTGTTATCAAATTCTGATCAATTCACTTATCGACCAACACAATGGCTCAATAATATTCTAGCAATAGGTGGTTCGGGTCTTGGTCAAGCTGTGAATGATGTTGTTACCAGTGTATTTATTGCTTCGTTGAAAATCGCTTCATTCTACGGTCTTTATACATATACTTTGCAAACTTTAGTTGGCTCAAATCTAGTTTTCCTCCCAGCAGTCATCGCAGCTATATGTGCGGTGATGTTAAAGTCTTATTGGGCAGCGTTGCCGGGCTGTTTGGATATTTGGCTCGTACAACAAAGACCGTTCGGTGCACTGCTATTATTAATCGCTCAGATTATACCGGTTTACATTGTCGATACAGCTATCTATAGTGAAGTTAAAGGTGGTGGGCATCAGGTAAATGACTTCGAAAGTGTATACTCGCAGTGCAAAACTTATAATCTGCGTTTTTTTCTTTTTGTTTTTATAGTATTTAACTGCATTAGCTATCGCAGGTGGAGTGTATTATCGAGGTATCGAAGATGCTTTCAGTGGTCCTATCATTTTATGCTGTTTGTTGGTTGGTATTCGAATGTATAATGAAACGATTGCCACAGTCTCATTGACTTATGTTAAAAGTCGTCTCACTCATTGATCTAATTGTGCCAATAATGTCGAAAAAAAACCTGACACATGTGATTTTTATTTCATATATTATTTAGGAGGAATAAATGGTTTTTTCTCAATGGAAAGCTCAATAACTTTTCTTTATTGTAGATGACATCAAAACCGAATCCGAGTCCATACTATCGAGCTAGTGCATGGTCGAGATTCTTTCATAGTTGGGTGCTATTGTTATTAAAAACGAGGCGTGATCAGAAAACATTGCATCTGCCCGATCTATACGACCTCCTTCCACATCTGGAATCAACGAAATTAACTGAACGGTTGGAGGCAAATTGGCTCGATGAAGTCAAACAAACAAATCGACAGCCATGTCTATTTCGTGCCACTCTACGAACGCTGGGATGGACGCCATTTTTAGTTGGTTTGTTACTCATACCGAACGTAAGCAACTAATCCTGGTTCATCGGACTGTTGAAAATTCATTTTAAATACAGGATATTGCTAAATTTGCTCAACCTATTCTTCTAACATACTTAATGAGTTTTTTCGAATCATGCTCAACAATGCCTGCATGGCATGCATGGTTGTATATTCTGGGAATAGGTCTTGCGTCATTAACATCGAATATATTTTATAATCAGGTAATTCTTCATTTTTTGAAATTCATTCTATTAGAAAAATTATTCCCGTAGTATTTCTACCGAATAGCTACGTGTGGCTTGCAGATGCGTATCGCATATAGTGGTTTAATCTACCGAAAAGTATGTTAAATCGTCTCACGAAATACGTAAGAAGAAACAATTGTTGTTTTTGTAGATTCTTCGATTATCCAGCCAGTCGATGAACGGCCTAAGTTCAGGTCAAATAACCAATTTAGTATCGAATGATGCGAGTCAGATTGAATTATTCTTCCAGTTCGTCCACTATATTTGGGTATGAAAGTTTTGCTTCGTATTTAAAAAGAATTCGATTCACGTTTGATTTAGGCTGCGCCGTTAGAAATGATTTTTGTTCTCGGCTTCTTTTGGAGTTATGTTAAGTACATTACATTTATAGCAGCTGGATATACTTTAACACTTCTACTTGTTCAAGTTTCTTTCGGTCGTTTATTTGTTTATCTTCGGTAAATATCTTTGTTATGCCTGATCTAAACTGAGTGTTTTTCTTCATTTTCGATAGAACGAGAATTTTACAAGTCACTGATGAACGAGTGAAAATCATGTCTGAAATTATCAAATCAATGCGCATTGTTAAAATGTACTGTTGGGAGTCAGCATTTATAAATGTTATTCAATCTATAAGGAGGTTTGTATCAACTACAGGATTTTCGAAAATCGAGTTTCAGGAGCCTTCCGTTTTTCTATGATATAGACGAGAAGTTATACAATGTGCGTTTCGACTATTACTTGATTGTATTCAAACATTATTATCCCACACTTACATAAGCATTACATTCTTAATGATGTACGGAACCATGTGGTCCTTAGGATTTCAAATCAATACAAGATTCTTCGCGGTCGCCTGTTGTATGCTTGGTTATATGCGTCTGTCTGTGGTGGATTTTTTTAGCTATGCAATTCGCAATCTTGTCTATTATCTGGCTGCGAAAAAGCGTATCGAAGTAAGTGAAGGAGTTGATATCACACGAAAACTAATGTTGATGCGTGATAGAACTTTCTTCTTCTGGATGAGTCTGAGCGTGATAATCGTTTATTATCGACGTCTACAGTTGATCTTCCCACAACTGAGCAGAATTCTATGGATACTCAACTAACGAGACGTAAATCATTGAGTATCGTTTGCGAGTTGAACAATGCAAGCTGGGAACGGGTAAGTCATATTTATCGTAGGTCATAGTATGTCTAAGATTATCTTTTCTCTAGAACGGAAATTTTGAATTGAAAAATATCGTCTTTCACGCACGTCCAGGTGATCTGATCTGTATTATTGGGCCTGTTGGATCGGGCAAAGTGAGTTTGTCAATTACTCGGCCTATTTTCTTGCGACTTTCAACGATTGTTAGAGTTCTCTTCTCCAAGCTTTAACTGGTGAAATACCATGTTTCGATGGTAAAGTTAGATTATACGGTTCTTTTTGTTACGTCCCGCAAGAACCATGTATGTCCATTGTTCATTTTAAGGATAAACTCGTTCATTGCTCGTGTTTTTCTACATTTTTAAGGGATTTTCTCATCATCGATTAAAGAAAATATTCTCTTTGGCAAAAGCTTCAATCATAAACTATTTCAACGTGTGGTTAACGCTACTGCACTCGATATAGTAAGTTCATTGCTATCCGATGCTGTGCAATGACCGCTGATATATTTAGGATTTTCGAAATCTAGCACATGGTGCACATACCCTTGTTGGTGATCAAGGTGTCATGTTATCAGGAGTAAGTAGTCGCGAAATAGAGATAATCTTAACGAAAGAAGTGATCTATGGGATTTTTATATTAGGGTCAAAAGGCAAGAGTCAATATGGCGAGAGCGTTGTATCGTGATGCAGATATTTATCTGCTGGATGATCCATTATCTGCAGTCGATGCTAGAGTATCAAAACATCTTTTTGACAAGTAATATGGTCAAATAACAATATAGAATTTAGTAGATGTTTTTGTTTTCCTTTTCCACAGATCAGTCAAGAGCTATTTACGTAAAAAAATCTGCATCTTGGTCACGCATCAAATTCAGTTCCTACAAGATGCAACAAAAATTATTGTACTGGACAATGTAAGCTAAGATACTGTTAGTGATCATAAATTGCCATACGTATGTCTTTTATAGGGTGAAATGGTACAAATGGGTACATATACGGAGTTACTATCTTCTTCGGCATCGTTTGCTCGACTACTGGAAGATATTAATCAACATCGACAGGAAAAAGAAAAACCAGAAGTAGGGGAAACGGTTCCGCTGATAGCCCAATTGTCAAAAATGAACTCTGTGAATTCGGAGAAAGCGGAAGACGATGCAGAAGATCTGTTATCGAAACCGACTAATGTTGAAATCAAGCAAGAAGGAATAGTCAAATGGAGTGTATATGCTTCATATCTCCGAGCTGGAATCGGTTTAGTGATTGGTCTGCTTGTTATTATGACGATGATTTCCTTGCAACAAGCTGCAGCACTGTATTCGAGTTGGTGGTTGGCGCGATGGAGTGATGCTGAAACTCAAAGACATCTTGTTTTCAGTAATTGTTCAACGTTTATTGCCGAGAAAACCAAAACAATTCGTGGCATGGATAACAAGCAATGGAATGATTATCGTAACGACCGATTCTACACATATTGCGGTAGAGTAGAACCGTACTAGTCTTTTTTTTAGAAACATTTTTTTCGATAACGTAGGCATTGTAATTGTTCTCGTTTCTATCACCATGGTACGAGTAACCATTATCGAATTTATCTGCTTGAACGCTGGCCGAGTGTTGCATAATAAGTACTAATATTGATTGATTGATCTATCTTGTACTTATTTTAATATAATTAGAATGTTTCGTCGATTGATCAGAAGTCCAATTTACTTTTTTGACATGAATCCTGTTGGTATGTTCACTTTGTCTTTCCAGGTAAAAACAAAGATAATATTCACGTATCTTAGGCCGTATTTTGAATCGATTCACAAAAGATGTAGCAATCATGGATGATAATCTTCCATTAACTATGTTCGATTTTCTTCAAGTAAACGGAACTAGACGTCAGCAATACTTCAATATACGATGTTCTATCGATTTAGTGCTTATTTCAAGCTCTGGGCTTTGTCGTCCTCATTGGTATACTGAATCCCTGGGCGTTCATACCAGCCCTGTTTGCTGGCGCTGGCATGTTATTTATAAGATATCACTTTGCTCGATGCTTGCGAGATCTGAAACGAATCGAAGGTGTGACACGAAGTCCTATCTACTCGCAACTATCGTCGACAATATACGGTGTCAAAGTGATACGATCCTATCATGCGGAAAAGATCGCTCATAATGAGTTCTATCGTCATCTGGATGATAATACCCGTGTCAATTATTTGTTACTCACTATGAACAGATGGGTTGCTATAAGATTTGACTGGATTGCTTTCGCCTTCATTTCTATTGTCACAATACTAGCTATGGTCGTTCGTCTAACACAACAAGCATTTTCTGCTGCAGATATTGCTCTCACACTTTCATTTGGTCTTAATTTGATGGGTCTCGTTCAATGGACTATTAGGTTTGTCGAACAAAAATTGAATAGATTACGTATAATGGATGACATTTTCGTCATATATTCTAGACAATCAGTTGAAGTTGAAACACAAATGACTGCTGTCGAACGAGTACTCGAGTATTGTGCACTCGAACAAGAACCACCTGCTCAACTTCCACCACATCTCCCCTCACCTCCATCCAACTGGCCCACACATGGTCTCATCATCTTCGATAATGTCTCCATGTCACATTCCGCAAACTCATACACATCACTTGCACTCAATCGCATCTCCTTGTCGATCAATCCTGCAGAAAAGATTGGCATTGTTGGACGAACAGGAGCGGGCAAGAGTTCGTTAATCCAGACCCTTTTTCGCATGGGCATCATTGTTCATGGTCGCATCATCATCGACGATATTGACATCGAAACAGTTGGACTCGACGATGTTCGACGTCGAATCTCGATCATTCCACAAGATCCGGTGCTGTTCACTGGAACAATGCGAAGCAATCTCGATCAGTTCGGTGACTATTCTGATTCGGAGATCTGGTATGCACTCGAACAGGTGAGTAACACGTGCTGTCGTTGTTGTTGTTGTTATCCTGCTCCGCAATAATGACGATTGTAGGTACAACTGAAGAAAGTGGTAAATGATGTGATGACGAATGGTTTGCAGTCGTTGGTGAGTGAAAGTGGATCGAATCTGAGTGTTGGTCAAAAGCAGTTGGTGTGTCTTGCGAGAGCGATCTTGAAGAAGAGCAAGATCTTGGTGATTGATGAAGCAACTGCGAATGTGGACAACGCGTGAGTGACGAGGAGAAAGTTGTTGTGATATAAAAGTTTTGATGTTGTTTTGTAGGACGGATGAATTGATCCAGCGGTCGATTCGTGAACAGTTTCGAGAATGTACAGTATTAACAGTTGCTCATCGTCTTCGAACAGTGATTGACAGTGATCGAATATTGGTATGAAGATGAAAGTTGTGTTAAATGATGAGTGTATGGCGATGTTGTTGTAGGTACTTGGAAACGGTGAAGTATTAGAGTTCGATGCGCCACATGTGCTATTATCAAACAAAGAATCTCAGTTTACTTCACTTGTTGAACAGACGGGCGCAGCAGAGGCTGATCATCTTCGATCGTTGGCAAGTATTGCTGCACTGAAATCAAAGATCATAGTTGACAACCATGATGAAGTGCAACCAGATGATTCTGAACGTGATCCACTAATCAAATAGACTATTATTCATGATGCTGTAGAACAGATTATATCTTTTCAAATCGTACATACACTCAGGAATTCGTATGTTTCATTTGGATCGATCAACTAGGCTTGAATTTAGCATTTCAATCTCATCACTCCCATGATCTGTTTTAAAGTTTTAGTCATATTTGATGTCACAGTGGAAGTAAGATTTATGTATGCACTTTTATGTCATAGGAAAAATAAAATTCAATATCAGAATGAAAAAAAAAGTTCACTCATTAAAATACGTCAATTAATCGTCAAACCAAGAAGCAAACCAGTCTATGATGCTTCGTCGTCGTCGTCCTACAAAGGAATACGATTTTGAGAAAAACAATCACAATCTCATGCATTGTATCTTTACTTGATGTACAACTGGGATAGTAGCATGGCCGAGGTCCGTTCGTTGATGAGCTAGGAGTGCACGTCGTGCAGCTTGCACCCTGATTATTGATACAAGTTCGTTGCCGAACGTATGTACCTTGACCGCATGTCACAGTACATTGGCTATTCGCCCATGCTGACCATGTACAAACTAAGAAAATTAGATTAAATTTTATTATGTCTCTTGAACACCACTACTTACCGTTGCAAATATATGTATTACACAATGCAGTAGTGTTTGTGAATGTGCCGCAGGCGCTTGAATTGGAACAAGGTATAGGAATTGATGCATCTGATGACGCAATATTGTAACATGTTCGATTTACTACTTGTGTACCGTTGCCACATGTTTTCGTACACGTCGTAGCAGGTACAAATGGACCGAATTGACAGACTAAATTAGAGGAATATATTCGAACGTAGCTTTGACAATGGCTCCTGTGTTGATTCTAACCTTCACATAGTGAATTCTGACATATTTGTGATTGATTATTAACACCTGCGCAAGTATCACATGGTGTAAACGAATTCAAGTATAAGCAAGATCGTTGCCGTGTTTGTGTGCCCAAGCCGCATAGCGCACTGCATGTTGACCATGCTGTCCAACTGAAATATGAACAATCTATTTGATAAGAAAAGAAATATGAACTATGATTTTATTATATTCTCTTTTTGTAAAATGGGGATAGATTTACTTGAACAATTGCTGGATATCAACATTGCTTTCGGAGTCGTATCAGCAGTATTATTCGGTTTCATACATTGATAGGTACGACATGAATTTTCCATCCAAACAGTCCCAAGCTAAAATGCATTCTGAACAAAGAGTCAAACTCGGAATGCACATATACATACGGCATGTCGCGTATTATTCAATCCGTAACAACCGCAATCACACCATAGACTACATGAATTTGTTGCACTATTCCATGCATATGGTGATCGACACATACATCCTGGTAGTTGTGACAGACACCATGTTGTGTTTGTCGGGTCCGAGCAAAGTGTAGGACATATTGTATTAGTCGAATTGATGTACACTTGACTGACTGGACATACTACAGTTAACATGAGAAATCAATTCAGGGATCATTAGAGAAAAACTTCGAATGAATTGTTTACTAGAACAATCGATCAGCTCAGGACAGGAGGTTACATTGAATGCTACTCCATCACAACCGTTGCCTCCTGAGAAAGGCAAACTAAGATTTAAGATAATGTTCGAAAAGTTTTTCTACCATATAATGGTTGCGGGTTATCACAAACACGTGTGGTGTATTTGGTTGCAGTTTTGCCGCAAGTGGCCGAACAAGCTGACCAGTCTTTCCATGAACTCCATGCTCCGTCAACTACGATACAATAATGACTATTTACTGAGCAAATTTCTGTGGAATAAATATCGTACTTGGACAATTTTGCGAAGCAGTACATGTTTCTGTAAGCGTTGAAGAGCCAGGACATGATACACCGCCAAATGTTGGTATTATTTGTGCGCAAGTACGTGTACGAACAGTCTGGGATGTAAAGAGAAGGGAAATATAGTTGTCATCAGTTTATTGTCACGTAGTGTTTACTTACAACTCCAGTGCCACATGTTACTGAGCAAGGACTCTGTTCACTCCATGTCGTCCATTGACCATTGACTATCATATTACAAAAATGAACAGTATGAGGATGTCCACGAGAAAGTAATTGGATACAAACTCGGGCAATTGATATTTGTGGAACAAGTAATTGTTTGTGTAGCTGAACCAAAACACGGCTGTCCACCATTCGATTGATCAGTACACAATCTTGTGCGTGTTTGTGTACCACTACCGCATGAAGCAGTACATTCAGAATAAGTACTCCAATCGCTCCAGATGCCATCGACAGGACAACCAATCAACGAATCACAAGATTCGATCTCGTAATTCGAGCCAACACATGGTAGACCCATTGTACTACAGTTTCGAACCTTTAACAAATTAAAGAAAAAAGGATTAATTACTTTCTGCTCGAACAGTAACAAAAATATTACGTACTCGTCGTCTAATACCTAGTCCGCCTAAGCACAGAATAAGACAGGTTTATACGAAAGAATGAAACAGCTGATGGCAATAACTCTTACATGTTGCTGCACATTCAGACCAAGTATACCAACTTGTCCAGACACCATTACCTAAGGAATTCATTATCTAAGCTCTTAAGCATTCAACTCTTCAAATACTTACTGATAGTAGGACTTGCAGCTGTGAATGAGAAAATAAAAACAGTCGTAAATAGTCGAGTATCTGTTAATAAATCGTTCACATACCGCAAGTGGTATTGCCACATCCACCATCGACTTCGACAGATGATCCAACGCAAGGTATGCCATCACTAGAAGGCACAGGATTGGAACAAGTCCGATTACGATATCGTCGGCCACCAGCACAAGTTGATGAACATACGGTCCAGGTACTCCAACTAATCCAATTGCCATCTACTGGACATGTACCTGATCCATTACAGATTGCTGTTTCCATTGCATTACCCGCACATAATTGTCCACTTCAATTGGTAAAGGTGTAACACATTAGATGGGACTTATTTCATTGCTCAGTAGCTTACCCATTTGAAGGCTGAGGTGAATCACATGTACGAAAACGATATTGACTACCACTAGCGCATGATGTCGATGAACAATTTGTCCAACTTGTCCAACTTCCCCATCCGCCGTCGACTGAATTAGACAGAATCACACATTCGATTCTTGAAATACATCTGTCATACTCTTACCTGGACATGTGATATTCGTCTCACATTCCTGTGCTTGCAAGGATGAACCAGAACATTGTTCGCCTCCCACTACCACTGTACAATTTCGTGTTCTGAATTGATTGATATTTAGTTTTATTTAAATCAATGAAAACCATTAGTTACTCACCGAACTTGAAGTCCAATTCCACACGTGCCACTGCATACACTCCACGTAGTCCAATTTCCCCAAATACCTGCCGCTACGAACAAATCGATATACAACGAATTTCGTCGGGATTAAAACGATCGATTCTACTAACCAGGACATGTTCTGTTCTCGTTACATACTGCCGTTTCCAAAGCATGTCCAATACATAACTCCTCGAAATTATTCGTATTATTACAATAGCGAATCTACATTGAATTGAGTCAAATACCGTAGGATTGCAAATCAAAACAGGAAAACACGTACTCGAGTATGGATGCCTGGACCACATGTTGTGCTGCAAGATGAGTAACTTCCCCATTCACTCCAATTGCCATTGACCGGGCAGCTAACGTTTGTATTGCAACTTTGTATTCGTAAAGCATCACCGGAACACAAGGAACCACCAAGGGCTGGAGAGGAAGTATTACATGCTCTATATCGTATGAAAACGATGCATAGGTCGAAGTATTTGTCCGTAAAGTGTACCTTGTCTGATATTGAGTGCCATTTCCGCAACTTGCAGAACATGCTGACCAATCAGACCACTGGCTCCAGTTTCCATTGGCTAATTACATAGATACAAACACATCGTTTAGTAGATACTACCAGAAAATGCTATTTACTTGAATTCCATGGTGCTGGAGCTACGAAGAAAGGAAGACAAGGATGTATATATATCCGTTCGCAAGAAAAAGATTCTTTATATCAATGCTCACTAGTACAGACAAATCCGGAATCGCATGCTTCAACAAGAACGGAAGTACCAACACAACTTATTGAGCCAGCTGGTAAACATGTTCGATTACGGATTCGAATACCGTATCCACAAGAAACCTGCGAATTGAAAAAAATCAATGATTGATAATTGATAATTGTCTTCTTACTGAACAATTAGTTGCATTTGACCATTCACTCCAGATTCCCAACACTATGACAAAGGAGATGGGTTGACGATTTTTCTGTATCGAAACATTTATATTCTTTACCTGGACAGGTGACATTAGATATATTACATAGAATAGTATTAACTGCTGAACCAATACAAGTTATACCACCAAACTGTGGCGATGGATTCGAACAATTTCTACAATGAAGAAAAAGCATAGAATTTAATTCACTTATATACGAGTTTACCTGAATCGAAGTCGGTAACCTACACCACATGTCGATGAACACGCTGATTCGGTCCAGTTTGACCAGCCGCCATCGACTAAAAGTGTGGACATATTTGAGAAATACTAACAAAGATTTCTTTTTCGGAATATATTCTACTTGGACAAGAAATATTCGTTGCACAAGTTCGTATGTCTTTTGAATCGCCGATACATTGTAAACCTATCAATGACATTATATGAATAGAAGAGAAAATTTCCATCAGATATGGTTTCTAGTCACCTCCATATTGCGGTAAAGGTGTATTACAGGTACGTGTGCGTATCTGCGTTCCATTAGCACATCTGAATAGAAATGAAAGTAATTCTACTGTACGGCGGTAACACATACGTCACTGAACAGGGCCCATATTCAGTATAGTTGGACCAACCACCATCGACTATCAATTGCAACAAATGTATTTGTGTAATTTTTCCATTGAAACACTTTACTTGGGCAAGTTATATTAGTTGCACATGCTTGATATTCCAGAGGTACACCGATGCATGGATTTCCACCATTCGTTTGTCCCGTACAATTACGATACCCTTTTCAACATCAATTCCATTAGATGAAAGCAACATACAATCCGATTAACGCTCACGAGCTCGGGTTCCATTACCGCAAGTGCCTGCACATGTTCCCCAGATCGCCCAATCAGACCAAGTTCCATTCGCTGTTATTCAAAAACAATGGTTGGCATATGCTAATGTCTCAAATTACAGAAGCAGGGAAACTCACTGGGATTGTTTGCACTTACTGGAACGAGACAAAGAGAAATTGAGACTATCCATACTGTTATGTATATATAAATTTCAATACGTACGAACAATACAAGGAATTTGATCGTTACATGTTTGATATTGATAGTTTGATCCAGTACAGGGAGCTCCATTGTTGGCTGGCGGTGGATTTGTACAATTTCTGTCAATACGGACATTCTTATTTTAATAGAGAAACCGGTTAACGCCACACTACCTTGTTCGCGTTTGTGTACCTCCGGAACAATTCAACGAACAACTAGACCAATCTGTCCATAGAGTCCATGCGCCATCGACTAAATTGGGTAGATTGATGGTAGTAGACAAACGATATCTCTTCTTCTGAAACTCACCTGGACATGATACATTCGATTGACAATAAGCGGTTTCAATGGGTGAACCAATACATTGATCACCACCATAATTTGGCGTTGGATTATTACATTCACGAACCTACAACGCAACTCACTTTTTGTTTGTTTTCTCAACAAATACAAGTTACTCGTGTATAAACACCTGTGCCGCAAGTTGCACTGCACGCTGAATAATTACTCCATGCGCTCCACTCACCATTGGCTAAAACGGGATGCATTTGTTGTTAATATAGAACGTATCTAGAGTGCAACCTACCAGGGCACGGCCTGTTGAGATCACACGTTTCTTCTAGTCTTGTTGCGCCGATACACATAAGACCACCTCCAAGTGGAAGAGTACATGTACGCGTTCGGACCCTGGTACCATTGCCGCAAGTACCTACACAAGCTGACACAGCACCTGGTGAAACACAGAAAATGAAATGAAGAGCATTGCAATGTATAATCGATTCGGCGCATACTCCACGATCCCCAGACACCATCGACAGGACAGTCGATGCCAGTCGAACATATTTCTGTTTCAACTGTTGATCCATCGCATTGTTGACCACCGTTTGCTGGTGCCGGACTGCCACAAATACGCTGCATACAGTTCAATCCATGATTCAATAGATCATCGCTCAAAGCAATTCAATGACCTAACTTACCACACGCGCTCTCGTACCATTACCACAAGTACCACTACATTGCGAAAAATTTGACCAAGTCGCCCAATTACCATCGATCGGACATGTTTGTGATGAATTACAGGATGTGATATTGATAGGCGATCCAACACAATAACTACCACCATAGCTTGGCAACGGATTTGTACAAGCTCTAACAAATCATCTCGAGTAGGATTTTTCACATAGAAGAAATACGAGAGAACAAACCTAGTTTGCACTTGAACGCCTGTGCCACATGTCGTAGAACAAGCACTCCATACCGACCAAACAGTGTAGCCGCCATTTGCTAATTATTGACGAATTAGAATATATACGCATTTTTGAGAAATGATCTGTAAGCTTACTTGCATTGAATGGATTGACTAAAGAGAAGAACAGCAAGAGAAGATTTAACTCAAAGAGAGAGAACAATCGGATGTCAACCTACCGACACAGGTAACGTTTGTATCACACAATTGTGTATCAAGTGCTGAACCCAAACAAACACCACCATTTAATGCACCAGTACAATTACGCGTTCCTAAGAAAAATAGTCACTTAGTTATAATAGATTATTTTCCTTAATTCGAATAACATACTATAGACTGACGCAGTGCCACATGTTGCCGGACATGAAGACCAAGTCGTCCACGTTATCCAATTTCCATCGACTGCAAAAAGAAATGATTTAACTTACATCTTACTCTGCATGGTAACAATATACCTGGACAAATTATACTTGTATTACAAGTTGTTATATTGATTGCATCACCAATGCAACCAAAACCTGCGCCAAGGCACTGCCGTGTTTGATATTGATAACCAACACCACACGAAACTGAGCAAGCACCAAAACTAGTCCAATTACTCCAATAACCAATCTCTACACAAGCTATCATTTATTTTAGTTGTATGCGATGGCTTAAACAGACCATTACACTGGTACGAGCTATTGTATCCGGAACAATTACGAAATTGTAAACCGTAACCAGAGCATGATAGTCCACCAGCTGTTTCATTGACACAATCACGATAACTAGCTTGTAAGCCATAGCCACAAATAGCTGAGCATGTTGAATAGCTACTGTAACTAGTCCATACCCCTTCGACTAAAAACAAAGAGGAAAATTGCAGTCTATCGATTAAATATTGGAGTATCATACTAGGACAAGCTCCCGCATAGCAACTCATCGTATTGATACTTGATCCACTGCAAGACACAGAACCCGATCCGTCGACGGACGCGCTTGTACAGTTTCGATAGGCCGTCCGTATTCCGTTTCCACAAGAAACACTACATGAACTCCATGTGGACCAACCCGACCAAGTGTCCGTTCCCGGACAAAGGATATTCGTTGCACATCTAAGTAATTGTACGCCCGAACCGTTACAATATAGACCACCATTTGCTGGCACTGGATTTGTGCAAGTGCGATATCTTGTTTAAGTAGAAATCATTGCATAACATGCTACATTGAATAGATCAATTATGTTTCACTTACTGTGGCCTTGAACCATTGCCACTGAAATGAAGCAAAATAAAAGAATATGTTTTTATTAGTGACAGTTGCCTTATGAATTTAACAAAACATACCAAGTTGCCGAACAAACGACTACTGCTGGATCTGTCCAAGCACTCCAATCACCATTCGCTAATAGTTAAGAAATAGACATATGACAATAGTAGTTACAATGAAAACTTTCTGCCAGCAGAGAAAGCCTACTTGGTGTGGGTAAAGCATCTGTCGAAACATAAATGAACTTTGACAAAATTTTGTTTTCATTCAATATTTTCCTCACTCGTATTGCAAATTGTTCCTATTTGTGTGATCACACCACCTGGATTGCAGACATACGTAGCACATGTTCCATTCCATACTGAGTTTAGCTACAAAAAAAGCACGTTGGATCTATCTTCAGAGTATGTAACTGTAAAAATTATCGATTACCTGATGATAACCAGATGATGCATCTACACAGCCGCAATCGCATTCTCGAACACATAATCCGGCAATCGTTTCGCGGAAATAACCGGGATCACACACACAACCAACTGATTTTATTGTGCAATTCGATGTGTTGTTACGAGACTGACAAGTAACACCACAGTCCGTATAGTTCCTTTCAATATGACTGTTGATTGGACACGGTTCTATAGAAAGAAACACATGATTGCATTTGCTCTCCGATTATAACTCGCTAACAAACCATCACAGACAGGTTGTTCTACACAAGGTTCTGATACAACATCTTCACCATCACAAAGACCACATGGTTGACCGTCAGACGTTAAGCATTGTCGCGTTTGTAGTCGATAGCCTGTGTTACACGAAGACGAACATGGATATGCCGTGAAATTCGTCCATGTACAAAAGGGACATGGATCTCGTGAACAATTCATTCTTTGAACTTCGAACGATGTATTAGCAGGCAATTCCCAACACCCATAGCAAGGTACTGTTGTGTTTGTTGTACAGTTTCTCGACTAAAAATAAAGATACTTGATAGCAGTCCAATATTTAAACTGACTCATCATTACTCTTGTGAACGTTCCATTTCCACTAGACGAAAATAGAATATCATTAATTTCGAGGTATGATGTGTTTTTCATCTTACCAAGTGACACTACATGCCCAGGTAGTCCATGTTGTTGGAGAACAATCTTGCGCGTAAGTCACATCTACTCAAAAACACCAAGCATCAGAAATAAATCTTGACAGTACTATAATTTAATAGAGTTTACCAGTATAAAAGATGATCCATAGTAATAGGAGACAGACGAAAAATTTCATTTTCATGAGTCCAAAAAAAGGATATTTGTTCTGATTTGACCGAGTTACTTTTGGACAGGAATATTTTCAATAGATTTGAAACAATACTGACGAGAAATTGGACGAATAAAAAGAACTCTGCTTGAAAAACAGAAAATGTATGAGAGCAACAAGAAACGAACGTATTTTTAATACAATATATCATTGTGAATCGAGCAAAAGAAAGAAAATACATCATTACAATAGAATTAAAAAGAAGAACCCATATGAAAACATTGACAGTGACAGTAAAATAGAATGAAACCAGTACAAGTTCGTCGGTAGAGCCCACAATCGATTATATTTCAACATATATGTAAATAATTGATTACATGCACACATATCAGTATACTTCGAACGAAATATTGCACTTTTAGTCACATGTACTTTAGAAGTCGACGATGAACTTATGTCGAATGTTTTCGATATTCAATCATAGCTCAACGGTACATATTTGTCTTTCATACTATTTTCAAATGCACACGTGAGTCAGTTTGAGTAACAGCTCTTTAATAGTTTAAAAGCAATTGAAAATACTTTTAACCTGCATTCTTATCGATACCTTCAACACACACGCTGCTTGCTTGCTTGCTTCATCGAGAAACGTTTCAACAAAAACACTCCTGCGATTCATCATGCAACAGTCAAATTATATCGCATATCCAAATCAAATAACTCAACCATTTCGTCCAATACCGCCAGCTAACTTTCTACAAGGCTCACCACCCTTTGTTAATCAGTCATTTGATCGTTTTAATGGAATGCGTCAAACTATTCGTCCTTATCGATATGTTTCTCGTCCATTACAGCCCTATCAAAATAATCCGGGATATCCAGGACCAAGGAAACTTCCACCTCGACTTCAATATCAACTTAAACTAATTCCTCCGCGACCACCTATTGCTATAGCTTATGAGACGAATCACAGACGAGATGTAAGAATGCCAATACCTCAAACGTTCGATCAATTGCCGACCGATCCAAGAATCGCACGAGAAGAAAAACGACAAAGTCTTGACTTGGATCTCGACAGCGATCTTTCATCCTTATATAGTACACAACCAGTTGTGACAGATAATGCAAACCGAAATATACACAGTAAGATGGATTTCGACATGCGAAATAGAAATACACTTCGAGTACGAAGCAAAAAACAATCAGCGTGGGAAGATGACGACAATTCACAAGATGAAGATCATTCTCATACGTGTAGTAATCATATTCCAACACGTCCTTATAACTAACTTGCAAACAAAGACAAAATATAAAATTGTGTCGTGATTTTCTTCGCTTTTTGTTTAACATAACTGTATATTTTATGAGTAAAACGTGAAAAAAGTCTTCTGACGAAATTTTTTGCCGTACAGCAATTTCATAATAAAACAATTGTGTACTTTTATTACGAATGCATTTCTTTTTTTTCGCATTTGATTAAAATCCAAAAAGAATGCATATTATCATAAAATGCATTTAGAAAGTACCACTCATACTTCCCTAGTACACATATGTTGATACTACCTTCACATCATACTTATTCATTGAACCAATAAAGAATCGCATGACAAAATTTTGCACACTGAACGAGTGAAATCTTCAACAAGAAAAGTTTTCATTCATTTCTTTTCAAAACATCTACGCACGTTTTACTGTGTAGGCAGCAATCGGTTGTATCATCTTTCTTTCTCCTGCTGCATGATCTTTGTTTGTTTCTCTGGGTTAAAATATAAGATTTATCAATTGTATATCTTTAAAGAGTGTTAAAGAGTTCATTGTGATTTAAAAGATGTGACATTACTTTTAAACGTGCTATCTACTGGCTACCATTGTATTTAATTAGGTGGCAAGAGATGTTTTATTGTATCCATCGGAATAAATCTACACTAGGCGAATTAGTGTTGATTAAGAACGATCAATGATGATTTTAATAGACTTTTGTCTCTTATAGAATAATTTCTCCATTCTACATAAAACTGAAGTGGCACATAGAACTTTCCTCTTACATTAATATTGTTTGTCGATAGAATTTAGGTGATACACGATGAACCTTCCCTGCTAAGGCTTTTTCTGTGATATCATGCCACACCCATTCTCAAAACAATAGTTTCTCTGTATCTGATACTATAAATAACTGTTTGTGAATTCTGTTGTATGCACAATTAAGTGGTTGAAGAAAAGAATAAGATGAAATTGTCGATAATATTCTCCTTTAGAAAAGCAAACAAAAGAAACCTGATTTCTCGTCCACTATTTCAATGTATGACCGTCATAGTAACACAGCGATTTACAAAAGAAAAAGAACATCTTATCGCATTAACAACATAGAAAAAATGGCTCACAGTGTGCGATTATTAATCACTCTCGCATCGCACAACAGTTTCAAAACGTTTTACTCAAAAAAGAATGGGCGCTAATAAATCAAGTAACACAAAAGACGCCAATGAACCATCATTGCCAGGCCCGACAACGATTCTTGACCGACGTTGTATTAGCATTCTCAAAGCTAAGAATGCTGTTCTTATCTGTTTGAATGTTAATAATAACACTGATGACAAAAGTAAAAATTGGCAGCAGGTGATTGCAGGATTACAGCGTGTTGTCACTAGCATAATTACACATTCAGATACTGAACAGTGTTTCGAATTTATCAATAGTGTTAATTATACTAAAGTATGTATCGTCCTTCCAGGATCACTTGGACAACAATTTGTACCTCGTATACACGATTTGTCACAAATAGACTCAATTCTAATCTATTCAGAAAATAAACCAGATGACGAACAATGGAGCAAGGGCTTTTCCAAAGTACAAGGAGTCTTTACAGAAGTTCCAACCATCAGTGAAGCTCTCAAACAAGCAGCTCGTAATTGTGAACAAAATGCCATGCCCGTTAGTCTTTTGGGTTCAAATAAGAATTTCAGTCAATTGGATTTCTCCTTTGTTTACATTCAAATCGTCAAGGAAATCATTTTCGCAAGAAATTATGACGACAAAGATATGAAAGAATTTATTAGTAATTGCCGTGAACTTTTCGCAGATAATCCAGAGGAAATGAAACAAATCAAAGAATTCGAGAGCAAATATCGTAGCGAAACACCTATCTGGTGGTATACTAATGATTGTTTTATACGTCCTATGCTTGACCGTGCTTTACGAATGATGAATGCAGAAATCCTGACACACATAAGCTTCTTCATTGCTGATCTTTATAAACAAATCGAAGAATTGCACAAAGAACAACATCAAGCTCAATCTACAACTCTAACAGTTTATTGTGCTCAAGGCTTGTCCAAGGCAGATTTCGAACAAGTGAAAAAAAGTCAACGTGGATTAATGTCCTTCAATAGCTTTCTCCTGACTAATAAAATTTCCAAACCGTCACTTGATTATGCTCAAAACGTCGGCACGAAGGGAGATACTGTTGGAATTATGTTCGTGATAAAGATTGAACCTTCTCAATCAAATCCTCCGTTTGCGTCTATCAGCGCCGTAAGTCATTCTCATGCAGAAGATGACATTTTGTTTGCAATGCACTCGACGTTTCGCATCACTGATATTAAACGGTTAACGGCTAATAATCGACTTCAAGAAGTGTATTTGACACCTGTGGGCAACAACGATAAAGATCTCACCGCAGTGAAGAATACTATTCGGCAAGAAACGTTTCCAGACAAACAAGGGTGGGCGCGATTAGCTGAAGTTTTGGTTAAACTCAATTACCTTGATCAAGCTGAACACATTTATCTCATAGTATTAAATCAAATAGAGGAAATGAACGAGAAAGCCAACATCTTTCATCAGCTTTGTGCGATTAAAGAGAAACAAGAACGATATGCGGAAGCAGCAACATTCTATGAGCAACTAGCAGCTTTCTATCGAGATAACCCTCCGAACGATCAACTCGAACTAGCAAATGTATATTTCTCTCTTGGTGCTACATATTATAAACTGGGTAATTCTCTCCAAGCATTGGCAGCTCATAAAGAAGCCGTGACGATTCGCGAAAAATCACTCCCAGCCGAACATCTCGATTTAGCTAAGTCATATGAAATCATCAGTTCGATATATACTAGTATGGGTGATTATCAAGCAGCACTTCCGTACCTTGAAAAAGACCTTGCAATTAATCAAAAACTGACACCGTCAAATCATGCCTACTTCATCAAGTCCTGTATGAATATTGGTATGGTATGTTTTAGCTTGCAAGACTATCCGAAAGCATTGTCTTATTACGAAAAAGTTCTTGAGATTCAGACTAAAACACTTCCGGCTAATCATCGTGATTTTGCCAAGACATACAACAACTTGGGCGCTGTGCATAACAGCATGTCCGAGTATCAGAAAGGTCTTGTATGTCATGAAAAGGCATTGGCAATTCGAGAAAAGACACTCTCATCCAATCATCCTGACTTTGGCACGTCGTACAACAATATTGGTGTGACATATGAAAACATGGGCGACTACGCTAAAGCGTGTACATTCTTCGAACGTGCTATCCAATTTGGTGAGCGTACATTGCCAGCGGATCATCCCGCTTTGCAAGTGCGCAGAGATAATTTAGCTCGAGCCAAAAAGCTATTGTAATTTGATGAAATATTTTTAAAGACTAGAAAATAAAATGTTTCACACAATATCATCAACGATTTTTCGAGGAGACCTCAACCTATAAGTAGTAGTCCTTTTTATTTCGATGGCTAGTACAGAAAACATGACCACAAATACAACTTATTCATCAATCATTCATACATCCAAACGACGATGAATGTCACATTTTCAAATTGGTAATGCATTAGTATCCTCGGTAGCACAAGTACATTTTATTTTTCCATAACGATTACAGAAATTTCAAAACACTCGAGTCAAAATCTTCATCATTTACATTATCGAACATGCTCGACTTTGTGCAATTACCGGAGCACTTCCCACACGCTTCATCTTCACTTTCTCCTTCTCCTTCTCTTTACCCTTATCTCTTTCCTCTCGCTTCATACTGGTCATCGGTCGTTGCATTTCAAGAAGATGTCGACGTGGCTGTGCTGTCTCCACTTCAGGTATCGCCTGTTTCAGTCGTGCAAGCACCATTTCAAATTCTTTCCCACTCCATCGTTCTCGTCCGTCACCTTCTCGTCGAAAATCAATATACGATCGCTCAGCGAACACCATCGACATCGGACCAGCCGGCGGCCACGACCCCGTCTCTTCGATCAGCATTGGAACGATCAGCTTTTGCAATGCGTCAGCCAAGGCCATCTCTCGTCGACAGTTGATCGACTTTGTATATTTGGGCGTGACACACGACAGAATACACTTCGCATGTCGAATGCCAGTGTCGATCTTCTCGAACAACGAATCGCCGCCACCCATCTGAAAGATGTCTAGCCAACAGCGATAGCCGAGTCTAGTCAGTTTCTTGTACAGGACGATAATATCTTTCTGATAGTCCCACTGATAAGAGATCATGATCTGTGGATGAGTGACGACGAGTGGTGTGTCGTCGGCGTTGTCATTCTCATCGCCACCTGTCGTCGTCTTCTTCTTCTTCTTCTCCTCCGCTTTTGCCTCTTTGTCTTTCTTTTCATCCGGTGTTGTTGTTGTTGTTGTACTATCGGTGGTCACAGTTGGCTGCAGAAAGATGAGATTGTCCACTCGAGGCACAAACCAGTTGCGATATTGATCGCTGATCATGTCAGGATCAGGTGCAACATGGTAGCGAATCTGACCAAGTAGTTCAGTGAACTTGTCTGCTGGCCAGTAGTTTTCGTCGCTAGCTTTACGATCGAAGAAGCGAATGTAGAGATACTCGCTCATGATGGGACCGAGTGCTCCTTCTGGTGGCCATGTTTGTTTTTCCATCTGAAGAGGAATCAGCGGTTTGCCTGTGCTGATCGTCAGATGAACTTCACGCGAACAGTTGTCTGATTGTGCATACTTCTTGTTCAGGCAGCACACTACCACTTTCGCCCCGCGAATGCCTGCATCGATCTTAGCGAATAACTTGTCACCGCCGCCCATCTCGCCCGTGTCCATCCAGCATGCATATCCCGCCTGTTCGAGATGTGACTTCAGTCGAGTGACGGCTTTCTGAGATCCCCACTGATAGGAAAGGAACACAGGCGGTAGTCGCTTGATGTCGATGGAGAGATCATCGGGAATGAGCTGACCAGCCACGCTCATTGCACTGCGAATGATATCTTCGACATCTGATCGACCGATGTCGCCGAGCATCTTCACCAGTCCATAGGTGGCTTCATCTGCTTTATGTGTCATGTACCATTCGTTGAGTAGTGACATGGATGGATCGAGTTGCATGGCCCAGTGTTTGAGTTCGCTTGCTGAGTAGCCGAAGCGTTTACCGAGAAGACGCCAATCATTGTCTGCACGAACATTGAGAAGTCGGCAAACTTGATGTCCCCATTCGGACGGTACGTAGCTGAGTGTCTTGGCATCGATGCGTTCGATTTCTCGGGCGTGCAGGTCAACTTGTTGGTGAAGATCGGTGATTTGTGTGTCGATATGATTGACATGAGCATCGAGATTAGTCATCTAGGAGTGGCAAAGCAGAAAGAAGAAGATGATAAGTATGGGCATTAACACTGTTGATGATGGAGTAAGTGACTGCGAATGCTTTTGATCTCATCTCGAACGGATTGTATGTGAGAGACTATAGCATCTAATCGATCCTCGATTCCATCCAAGTAGTTGATTATGAAATCATTACCAATAGCAGTAGTAGTAGTCGGACTAACTTGACAGTGGTGACACAGGGGAGAAGTGTCTATTAGAGAGTGGTCAACGCGCGTAGTCTAGAAAGTTGAAGGAAATATCAATCGGTGGTACACTCAACGTTGAAAGAGTAGTGATCGACATGAAAACATAGAAGAGACAAATAACTTACGTGTAGCTCTTGACGTTTCACTAGTTTCGTGACCTTGTCTACACTTTTTTCCGTTTGAACTACTCTTGCTTCAATTTCTGTCATTTCATCAACTGTTCGATTCAATAGAGCTTGTTGCTCTTCACTCATCTTGTTTCCATCGATCATGTCAATCAGCATTCGACACATCGAATTACTAGACTCATACAACACAAGATCTTCACGCTTCTTTGCCAAAGCTGCCTTGTATCGACTGCCAATCGCTTGACACGTCTGAAATATCTGGGTGCACAGATCAGATGAAAGTGTCTTTGTGTTTTTGATCAAGTCGATCAGCACAGTGAGATTAGTACCAGCTGCTTCTTCACCGTTCAGCACGCTCGAGGCAATGAGGTACTGGTGTAGACAATTGAACACATTGTATGTTTGCTGTTGGGAAGCTGCTTCGATGAGTTGTTGTCGATGTTTGTCGAAGAGTTCTGGTTGTGCACTAGCAACCAGTTCAAGTAGTCGATAGATAGAATCTGAAGCATATGGGATATGATGATGAGAAGCGATGGAAGTGAATAAGTAGTCGATCTGGGCTGGCGTGATGAGCTGCGGGTTGGCTTGGAAGATACTGTTGAGAAGAGAAGCGATGGAAGTGAGATGTTGACCGTTGTTGTCGAAGAGAGCGTGGATGAGATCGTCGAGCCGTTGATGAAATGGTTGTGGATTTTTCGGATAGAGAGTCTAAATATATGTGAACAGCTTAGCGATACATATCACTAACTTATCAAATCATGTCATTCATGGTTTTCACTTCACGCATTAAGACAAGAGAACTACTTACGATGAGCATCCCTAATAGTATTATTTGTTTATGGTCGATGATTTCTTCTAGTAATTGCTCACTATGGTTAGCTGCTACGTTCGGATAATTCATCAAAACTGTACTCCAGTATGTACTCCACCATGAATGCATACTTTCTTCATTTTCACTGTAGATCATTTCGAATAACCGATCAACACACTTTTCATATGCGCGAGCATCATTTTCATTGCCAAGACATGGTCCGACTGAAAACCATAGAAGCAAAGCTGTAAGATATTCGATTGTTGCTGATCCATTTTCACGACGTAATGGATACTTCAACGCTGAGAGACAGTACCTTGCCACATCTTCGTGTAAAGTCAGCGGAACTGGTTTCAGTTGCTTCATACACTTTGATGTTAAGGTTGTTACCGCCTATTAATCGAAGAAAAACGAGATGAAAATCGATGTAATACATCAGTGAATAGCTGTCCTACCGATAGAAATGTTTCATAGGCATGATTCACCTCATAGGTGTCTTCATCAAGATCGTCGACACGTTTCTGTAGAACTGCAACTACCTGTCGGCATGTGTCCGCGCTCACCCGCTTCTCATCAACCAGTTCAGTCATCGATTGACCCATCTCGTAGACATATTCTCTATACCCTTCACCATCAGCCACATTCCTACCCGAGCACCATTTCAGTACAGCTTCTAGTGCTGGCTCATGTGTTGCTTGTAGTATCGATGTATTCGTCTTTGATCGATCATGCAGTAGCTTGAGAACATCCGCTAAGATCGACAGATCGTTGTTCTCCGTACCACCCGACACCTCGTCATATGCACTGCATGTTTGAAGAAGGTGAGTGAGCTGTTTGTCGAGTTGTTTCCATGGATAGAACTCACTAATTGCGATCAGACGTTTGACAGAAGAAAGCGCTTCCGCCACTTTCTGATCGGCAATAGCAATAATCAGATCAAAACAGCTCACTGCCAGTTTTTTGTTCGGCTTCTTCTTGGTCAGTTCGTATACGAATGGCGCGATAAGAAGCTTACAAAACGAGTGTCGACATTCGATATCAGTGACTGCTGAACATAAACGAATGAACAGGTTGATAATTTCTTCGTGATTCGTGATCAATGCAAAGTGATGCACGATGACATAGGTGAGAATAGAGTCAGCTTCTTTGATATTGTTGTGTAGGACGAGCTGTTCGAAGGCTGCATAGATGTGAGAAGAGTTGTTTTTGAACAAGTCCGGTTGTCGCTGTAGTGACTTGGCTAATAGGTTTACATAGTCGAAAGCAACTGGAGGTGTGACTGCAGTTGATAGGTGTAGTTGTAGATCTCCTGGTGTGGTAAAAACGTCAAATAAAGTTGGGAAAACATATTTTATGGCAGTTATGATATTTGACCAAATTTGGGACTGCTGTGAATGTTGCGCTGCAGATCTGCAATGTGAAAGATTCAGTATTACATGGAGAAAACTAACGTGATCTGGTTTGCAACAGTAAATGATATCTCATATAGGTCAAAGTGAGAATGATCCTGAAAACGGTCTCATGTTCAACAGGTACCTTACGAAGTGATTTGTGGAGAAAACTCACCATGAGGTTGAACCTCTCACTACTGATCAAAGTGTGATATTACCTATAGAAATGCTGATAGGCACTTCGCATATTTGTCATAAGTTCTAATTCTGTAAGTTTATTGTTATCACAGACGATTGCTGAAAAAACTCCTTTTGATAATAAATCATCCCATTGACCTTGCACTTTAAGATTAAAACCTTCGTCTGCAAAATCAAACTTTTCTAAGGAAAATAAAATTTTCTCAATTAAATCTACGGATTCTTTTTGACGCAAACGTTCACCGAGACGATAACCAGAATAAATTTTTTGGATCAATGCCAAATTAATCATTCGGTTCTTGTTCGATATATCTAATAAATGACAAAACATTCGTGTTATCTCTTCTAACGGAGGCAAAGGATGTTGAAACAGATTTTCAAGAACTGTGTGTATCAAAGTCGCCTTGTCCGTCACATATTCTTCTTGATCTTCAACGACGTAATTGAGAAGCGCACTCAGACATTTGATTTTGAAAGACGACAAATCACTTTCGGGAATTTGGTTTGCTAGTTTAAATAGTCGGTCAAATATGTCAGGCCATTGAGTGTTCAATTGCGCGTTATCGTGAGGAAGTTGTCGAATAAACTCATCCATATTTTACGCTTTGCTGTTAACACCTTTTTGAAATTTGTATTTTTATTTTTCGACATCGACATTGACAAATAGAAAACACAAACATGCGTACGTTATTCACGGAGAGAAGAAATCGTTGCTATGCTGAATATGGTAACAAAGGACAACAATGTTCTTCTACTACATGTAAATAAAAAAATTCGATCATCGATGATTTTCTAACTGCTTGTTTTATTTTCAAATAATATTTTGCATTAATTTTTATGTACAACACGTGTTAAGATACATATGCATACCACAGACACAAAAAGGTAAAAAGATATCGAATTTTAATCACAAATCTGTGGAATATTTTCTCGATCATCGAATTGATTTAAATCTAATGTGAGACAATGACTTGTAATGCAATCACCGGGCTACAAATACAAACCGGATCGTGTACAGCCTGTCGATATCAATCTCTTACCTCAGGATAAATACCAACAAGCGCATCGGCGTGTGAATAGAACTGTTCTTTCAGTGAAATGACAATACATTGAAATTCAGATGTCGATTGATCACGAATAAAATCGGCTACCTTGCCGATATTGGTATTGTCAAGAGCAGCATCGACTTCGTCAAGTAAAAAGAATGGAGCTGGATTAAAACTAGAAAGATAATTGCGTGCAGTACCGAAAACCTTTTCCTACGAAACAAACCTTCGTAAAGCAAACAATAGGCAAATAGCTGCAACCGTTTTTTCTCCACCCGATAAATTTTCCATGGCTTGAAAACGTTTGCCGGGTGCAACACAGTTGTATGTTATACCAGCACGATAGGGTTCTTCAGCATCTTCAGCAGTCAAACAGGCGACAGCAGCTCGCGAACTTGTTAAGGATTTGTAAATATTGTCGATGCATGCTGATACGTGTTCATACAGTTCATTGAAGCGATCACAACGTTCTTTTTTAACTGCTTCGAAAGCTTGTCTCGCTTGCTTAGCAGCATTTCGCGCGCGTTCGAATTCGGCATTTGTCAATTCAAACGTTGATTTAACTTCTCGCGAACGTGCGTCGATCGTTGATGTTTGCGGTAAATGCTTTTGAAGTTGAATTTCAATATCAGACATTTGCTTAATCAATAGTTTTTCTTCCTTGTCAATTTCTTCGTGACTAATTTTCTTCAAATCATCACGTAGACGTTTGAAATTTAAATCGAATCTGTCCTCTTTGTCATAGATTTGCTTGCTCTCGACTTGGCTTGGTAAGATTCCATCGTTGTTGGACAATGTCGATGAATCAGTCGTGATTGTTGATTGAGTCATGAGCAATGTCGTGGAAGTGTTACTTTGAGTTTGAGTACTAACAAGACTGGTATCATCAGATGACGATGTTTCAGCAAGTGATATGGTAGCCATCGAACCAGCATTACCACGGAATGGTAACGCGATTTCGTTTAACTAAAAGGAAGCGAGTTTGTGTAGATTTTATAAAGAGAATGAAATAGTGAAGTGTTTGTTTTGATACCTTAGCCGTGCGAAAGAAATTGTGACGATCTAAACGCAGTTTATCGATATCACTTTCGATTAATTGTAGTCGCTTGCGTTGTTCATTGTAATCTTTATTCAATACGGTGGCACGTTTCGTATATTCCGATATTTCACGTTCTTGAAATTCGATTTTCTTCTTGTGATCTAATAAACGATCTTTGATATCAGTGATTTCCGTTTGAAGATCTTCGATGATCTAGAGAGATATCGCAAATATGTTTTGTACACACGAAGATTATCATCTTGATCGTACTTTTCGGTATTTTTTCTCATCCTTTTGACTTTTTTGTAAAGCATCTTCTAATGACGTCACTTCGTTGGCAATTTCTTCCACATGACCAGCTGTATCACGCGAACGTTCAAATTCGAGCATCGTTTGAATCTTGATGATCTGATTTTCAAATTCTAACCGTTCCTGTGCGCGTTTTTCTGCTGCTTGTAACTCGCGATCTTCATAGACACTGAAAACAAACCTTCGAAACCAACCAGAAACGATTTTTATGTGTTCACCTACCGAATATTAGAAACATGAATTTGTTTACAAAACTCAGCGAAGACTGCATCTTCGATTTTGTTTTTCTCGGCGCGTATTTTTGCTATTCGTTTTTCTCGTTCGTCGATCGATGCTTGTAATGCGTTGATTCTCGGCTAAAAAACGTATCGAGCTATTTAGAAGATGTTCACTGATTGTACTCGATATACCTCGTATTCTTGCACTTTTAACTGCAATTCAACGAGATCTTTTTCGATCAGAAGTCGCTGTCTTTTCTCTGCTGCATCTTTGTCGGTTTTGGAATAACGTAACCGACTTTCTAACTGTTGAAATTGTGCTCTAAAACGTACAAATCCATTGATGACTGTTCTCGCTTTTTCGCCAAGCTATATTTTAACTTACCGTAAGTTGGTTAATTCTGCTGCACGGCGTTTCTTTTTCTGTTGTTCTTTGTATTCATCAAACAATTTATCTTTACGTAACCGTAACGCGTCAAGGTGCTTTTCGTCCCAACGTTTCGCGCGTGTCTTCAATTCACTAAAAATAGAGCCGTAGAATGAATAAGACTCAAATTCCATCTGAAAAACCTTGATCCACCAGAAATAACGCCCGATTTACTAAATAGTGTTCCATTTATTGATACAACTTTATTCTTTTGATCTCCATGTTCGTAGGCAAGTCGACGAGCATCATCATCATTGTCACAAACAAGTGCATTACCACATGCATAGAGTAGTGCTTTATAATACTGCTTATCATACTTAATAACATCAAGTACCAGTTTAACATTTTTTGGTTCCTGCAGCTCTCTAAATGATTCGAGGAAAAATAAAACAACGCTAAGATTTTCAACTTCATTTTGCATATAGAACAGACCGAAGTTGTTCATTAACTGGCGTTACTTTGATATAATCGAGCGGTAAGAATGTTTCAGGTTCATATCGATGTTCCTTCATATAACGTAGACATGATTGGACAGTTGTTTCACGTTCAACAACAATAGCATCCATGTTACGACCGAGTACTTTCGTTATTGCCATTTGAAAACGTTTGTGAGTTGGTTCACAAAGATCCATCAATCGACCATGCTAGTTTAATGAAAAGCATGATTGTCCTTTATGGTTTGAAAACGGTTACTTACCACACCAGGAAACTGTTTGAGATTTTCAATCAATTCGGCGCGTCGCTGTGCACGACTAGTTTCGTTTCGATCAGACTATTGAACGAAATATTCTTTTTTCTCGACCGTATCAGTATGTTTTAACTTTCTCACTTTAGCTTCACCAATCTCTTTATTAACTTGCTCAAGTTCTTGCTCCAGTTCAGTACAACGTCGATGACCTTCGTTCACTTCTCGTTCCAATAACTGAGCATTTGCTTGTTTATCCCGAAGTTCTTGTTCCACATCTCTATGAGCGAAAAATCATTTTCTATGAATCATTTAATCTCATACATGAGCCTTTCTTACGCTATATAGCCAACCAGTTTGTCAATTTTGCTAGTCAGTTCTTCGATACGTAGTTCGGTTTGTTTAAATTTTGCTAGATGATCTTTTTGACTTCGTAGTTCCTGCTCCAGATTAGTTTTCTCTACTTGTTGTTCTCGATCGATTGAATCATATTCTTCCGAAAATTGTGTCATTTCTTTTGCTGCTTCTTCTTTCAAACGTCGATACTCTTTCATCTAGTGAAGGTGATTCTTGTCAAAATTCGAAATCATTATCACTCTCGTAATACCTGATCTTCTTCGAGAGCTAAATTTCGACCAGCATTTTGAGACTCATCCTGCAATTTGTCTTCATATTCTTTACGCAGTCGTTCAACTTCGCGTAGATCGGCTTCGTATTTTTCAATTTCTTCACCATGAGCAGCATGTGTTTTTTCGGCAGCGAGTAAAGTTTTCCTGAAGTTTCCTATTTGAATCGAATCAATATTCTTTTCATTTACTTCTTACTTCGCAAGATCAAGTTTTTTCTGATGATGTGCGGAGTTTTCTTTTGCTTTTATGTACGTTGGACGATGCTTATTAATTTGTGCTTCCTAATACACAAAAGAAAGTAGCGCGATTTCAATAAGCCAAACATTTATCTTACCATTTCCTTGACCTTCTGTTCATCAGCTGCCAATTCTTTATTGTAAATGGCCAATTCTTTTTTCTTTGCTTTCATTTCTTCGTCGGATATTTCTTTTCGTTTTTCCAATTTCATCACTTCGTCTTTTTTTGTATCAACCAACTCACGTTTTTCAATCAATTCTTGTTTATTGTGATACAATTGAAATAACTTTAATTGTAGTTGCAGTTCATCCTATCAGAGCAAACAAGTCAGCCGTTCATTTCTTCGAAATTAGTTCAGTTTCATCGTACATATTGACTTTGTAATGCAGCATATTTTTGTGCGACTTCTTTTTCCAATCGAACTTCTTTCTTCTGCTTTTCTACGCCCTTCTTCTTTTGAAAATTGGCGTGTGTATCTTGTTCAGCCTTGTTTTTCTCCACTTTCGCCTTTTCATACTCATCACGTAATTCTCCACTGCGACTTAGTTCTTCAAACATCGCCGTGAGTTCTCTCGGCGTCTTCATTGCAATTGATTCAACTTGACCTTGAAAAATAAGGAAATTCTTGGCTTTGGGAATGATCCCTAAGTTTTCGAGTTCTTCTGTGTATTCCGTTGCTGATACTTGATGACCATCGAGGCGATATTCAGATGTATTGCCAACTATCAATCGTTGAAAGCGTTTCTCTTCTTCACTACGAGTGCCATTTTCATCAGTTTTTGTACAAATAAAGATCAGAGAAACAGATGCACGATTACTGACTGGTTTATTGATGGGTGCTCCATGAATTAAGTCCTGAAGGATGAAGTTCTAGCAAACTGAAAATCGATGAAAACAAACGTACGGATAATTTTCGGACACGTAAACTTTTCGTCGGTTCACCAAGTACAAAACTAACCGCATCCATAAGGTTTGATTTGCCTGATCAATGAATATTTTGAATAGATGAGTGATGATGAGAGAGGAAAATCTTCGTTCTAACATACCTGATCCATTGGGTCCGATGATAGCAGTAAATTTTTGTAAGGGACCGATGGCAATGTGACCTTTGTACGATTTGAAATTATCGATTTCAACATATTTCAAAAAGTATCTCATGCTTAATCGATAGACTGATATGAATAAATACGTAAGAGAATCGCACTTACGAAAACTATCGATTACAACGAACAAAGACGGCGGAATACGACTGTGTCAAAACAAAGAATTATATCATGATTGAAAATTTGGAAATTCTACCATGGATAATGACTAGCAGAATGGAAATGTCTTTTCAGTATAATAAAATATGTAGTTTTCTTCAAAATTTGTGTAAAAACGAGTTAAAGATATACTGTCAGATAACCTTGTTGACTTTTGTCGACATCTATCAGATCTTGGATTTCTCAAGTATGTCCAAACCGGTTACACGATACACTCGTTCATTCATTAAATTCGAGAAAACATATCAGCTCTTGGAGTAGTCGCGGAAATGAAAGTATATTTAGACTGAGAACGGTTGATATTCAAAGAGAAGCTTTACAATTTGACGATGACCACAGAAGTATACCTTCTGTCGTCAAATAATAACAAGGCGAGGAGCACTTATGTAGACTCGAGAAGTAACAGATTTCATGGTGCAGAACATATAGCATAACATGTTCATTCAATTAGTTCTGAAGCCATTGGAAGTATGAAACCCCATCGTCTTTGTGATATCGTGAGTAACATAAAGAGACGGATGTACAAATCATATTCATGCGATGTCCAGATACGTTTTTCCGAAGTCATTGTTTTCTTGAGATGGTCTTAACATCAGTGCTGCTGTATCTCATAACAAAAAGCAGGCTTTTATTCATCTGACAATGACAGGCTCAGAAAAAAAGAATCACAACGGTCAACGAAACAAAAATAAATAACTTATTTGAAAACAAAAGTAGAATTAATCACATGTCGGCAAAACAAATCACTAAGTAGCATTTCTCTAATCGTTAACCTGGTTTCGGCGGCGATTTTTTTATTTGTGGTGGACGCGGAAATGGATCGTTAATCATATATTGTTTAAAATAATCATCGAATAAAGTCACCATGGTCTGATTGAATAGAGCCGTTAAAAACTTCTTGAATATTTTCCAATTATGTTCTGATAGCACTTCGTCATGAATTAAATGCGCATCGCCGTATCGGTCGAAATTATTTTGATCCCAAGCCCCAATTCCAAAAGCACGATCGAGCCGATCGATTCGACTACGTTCACTGATACTGAAATTTCGATGTCGTTCCTGATAATCAATCAATAACATCGAGCAAAGGATCTGGTCCATGTACCAAGCTGCATCGCCTTTGTCCATCCGTTGATCGTAGACTTTTTGAAATTCATGTCGACCGTATAAACTGATTGTTTCGAATGAAAGAGGGGCATTTTCACTCAATAACTCTTGAGTGCGTTTGTCTGCGTTGACAAGAAGTTCGGCTCGTTGTTTCGATTCTATTACCATCGCGCGCCAGGCTTTTTTTTGTAAAAATATGTGACCCACTAAAAGAATATACAGACAATAACACTCCGATTGAGAGCTAACGCTTCGTGTTTTTGTTGACTTACTTGGATACATTTTATAATTTCTATTTCGTCGTTGAAATGATCCACAACAAAATGCATTGAACACAAAACCGTCCTTGCCAGGCGACGGTTTATATTCGCTAGCTTTCAATGGCATTAGATCACTATCACCTGTCAGAATATTATCTTCATCCTGAACGATACTATCGGGTAGAAATCCCGAGAAAACGCGTGCTAATTGAGATACTTTAATCGAATGCGATTCATCGCATTGTAAATCGAATATATGCGCTCCGACGCGTTTTAAGTAATTTCGCGATAGGTTTAATCGAGCAGTCAGTACATTTGGTTTCTTGAAATCGCCAACAAACATCACAATGGCTTCGTAACCAACACGTTGCCAACTAGCCGCAGTTATCGGAGTATAAAATGTGTACGCATTAATAGGCGCATGAATCGAACAAGCAAACACAGCAAAACGACGATTTTCTGATGGTGGAAGTATCGGTTTCTTGACTTGAGGACGCTCGGCTATTGGGAGATTCGTCGAGTTTATGAGTGAAGCATTTGTTGAGTATGAAATCGAGATTAAGCCATTACTAACGAATGTATGTAGAAATACCCAATTCAACGTTGTACGTGAATAAAGCAAATACGAAACGCAACATAAAACAACGCATAGAAAGATGAATGTTGTTTTCATTCGACTGGATGTCGTCTAAAAATTTGTAGTGAAACAAAATAATTCTCACGAGAAACAGATACTTTAGTCTTCGGAAAGAAAAAGAATTGTCTCAAGGGAGAAATTTCTTCTCATATCTTATTTAATTATGAAAAAAAAAGATAATACCCTCGCTAATGAAACTCGAATGATATAGTTTCGATTAACTACATACCGATTGAGTTGCTACAACGATTGGATTGTTCATTGTTTGTATTATTCTCAGTAAATTCTATATTAAATACACATTTTCTTGACAAAATCTACGTTGACGTGTATTTCGTGATGCACCACGCACACAGGTTGACGATGGAAGCAAGTATGAGAATGTTTGATAAGGATGTTCTTGTAGTACCAATGAAACAAAACAATACAAAAAAATTTCATAAAAGTTCACAGTGTCAATACATGTGTACGCTGACTTATTGAAAAATAAGAAGAAAAAAGGTTGACAGTATTTCTATCGCTTGTCTTCACCCTTCATTACGCTTTTTGCTATTCATGCGTAGCATTTATTTCAATCGATGATTCAATACTTGTTGCTCGCCGTGGTAAATTCAGGCGAGAAGAGTGCAAATAGATGTCGTATCTCGAACTAATCAGGTAGATTTGAATTGATTTTCGGACACATTGATAAATTAAGACGTCTCTTGTGAATGGCACTGAATGGAACTGACAGAACTAAAAGAAGGGCAAGAAAGGAGAGAAGCGAAAAGAGAGAAAAGTAAAAGCACATTGGTATAGGAGAAAATAAGAACTGAAATCTCACCACTACAGGACAATATAACACTCGACAGAACACTATTGTTTTAAGAAAGAAAAACGCTACAGTAGAGATTCAAGAAGTTTTATTTTTGAGTAAACAACAACATCGAACTAATGTAAAAACACAAGAAAAAAGACGCACCGATTTTTCTCCCATCGTTATGACAACATTCCGCCGCAGAAAGCGCACTGGAGTAATTTTTTTCCTTTTTTTTCTTCTTTCCCGTTATTCAATGCCATGTTGTGTCTCACTAAGTTTAAACTATAAACAAAAGGTATCGAAGGAATAAAAAAATACACGCCAGTGTAATAATTTAGCGGGCGCATTCGTTGCAGTCAACTTCTGATGGTTAAATATTTCCAACCGGTGTTAATGATACAACGGCAAAGAAACTTATATACTAGAAATTATGAATTTTCGGATTTTTCATTGCCTAAACTCGGCACGAACGGAACTCGATCATCAGACACATATTAAATGTAATTATATAGACTTGATTGATATTTAAAAGAGAAAATAATTGAGATGTGATATACCCACATGACTCAGTCCTTCGAACTGATTTGTTATTTGCATGATTTGATTCAAAAATTGGTCGAATCATTAAGTAAAATGTTACGGAGCTATGATTTCTCTGTGTACAATATGCTTCAATATGGCTTACATAACCTGCTGGGTTTCACTCTAGATTGCATATTAAACAAGAACGAATGATTGAAGCAATATTTTATTTTAATTCTCTCGAAATATTTGTCCCTACTTTCGAGTTGGTTAATATACATTCACTCACACACATGAAGATGAATTTCAATGCTCGTGCCATATGTGTCAGTACCAAGGGCGACGAAAGAATTCAATTCCAACAAACGTATCGATGAATAACTACTCACGCGGTGTACTGTTGTGAACACAGCAATTCGCAAAAAATAAACACGAATTGTGGCAGTCGACACCAGTGAAAGTATAATATTACAATCAATAGAATTCAATGATTCGATTTCTTATATAAATATTGAATTTCATACTCGTATGTTTTTGCAATTACACTGATTGAAACTAAGGCGGCCAAGAATGTTCTACTAGATTTTATTAATGAAATCGATGGAACAATGATAGTTTTATTCATCGAAGACACTTCATACGAGACAAGTGATCAATCAACTAGACTATAGCGTGACTTCATCATCGAGTTGGTTGATCAATTTCGACGAAGAAATACAAAGTCGGACGCATCGTGCGGTAACTATTTGATTCGCAATGACTTCTTTCCTGTTGTTTAGTCAAACGTTTATCAATGAATCTTTCTCTATTATGATAAGTGCTTTCGAATGATTTGAAGAGCTCGTTTATACTCGAACAGCGTGCCTTTAAATAGCTTCTCTAAAGCCTCTGATAATAAGATTTCACGACCTAATGATTCGCTTTTCTTCACAATATATTCTAATGTAGATAATAATACGCATTTGAATCAGTCAAAATCGGATGAATAGAGACCAAAGATTTCTTTGTTTGTTCATTTTCTTTATGAAAGTCGGAGACACGAATGATGATCATCATTTGACATTGATAATAGAAGGAGTCTTTTGACTAATCTATTTTTAATTACAAACATGAACATATACTGGCGCTTTTCGCCTAATGTTCACGATGAAGCTATGTTTTGTGTGTCTATGGATGAAAGTGAATGAAGCTATTCATTCTCTAACTCCATCAGATTTGACATGCAAGAGACGTATATCTCCTGATTAATAAGAAGGATTCTGCTTCATGAAATTTCTCTTCTAGGTTATTATCGATTAATTACTGATCGATCAAATTATATCATTACACCAAATAATCTCATAGCAGTAAGAGAAGCGAATGTAGATTTGAATAGAATGGTCGGAACACTTCTTCAATAGGCAATTCATGCTACTATTGGTCTTGATGAAAATCAGCCATCTCTTCTACTAACACAATTATGGCATAGGGAGATTTCTCAACAGCCTTTAATTTTAGACTTGTCATCTCATTATGTTGAACTATATGGTGACTTTGATAGCGATTCGAACATTTGGCTGATGAACTTTTCTTCTGTACATAAAGCATCAAGTATCGAATAATCAAGTATAAACTTTGCCGCCATTGTAGCTTCTCACAGGCTTTGATTCAACATTGAGTATCCGTTCTACGTTGCTCAGTAAGAGAGTTGATCTTCTACTACAAAGTAATGATCTCGCGTATACTTCTTTGAAACCAACGAACACTGCTTTTGAATTTGAAGCAAAACAAGAAGATGCTTGTTCTTCTCCAAAATCACCCAAAGATTTCGCACTGTGCTGTCAACTATGTACGCTGGCAACAAAATGCCCAGATATAAATATTTCAGTTGAACAATCAAGATATGATATAACTGTTACAGATCGTGGACTACTCGTAGCCCATTTTACAGAAGAATCAAATCGACGATTCACGTGTTTACTCTTTCCATCTGTTCGTTCTCAAAGACTTTTTAATATAAACATTCTAATATTTCTCTACATAGAGTGAAACCATTCGATTTTGGTCAACTATTACTGACACGATGAATATTGATCAACGAGCAGATCGTAAACAATCAAACGAATGTCTTTAATTATTAATTTTATTTGTCGGTAGGCGACGATTTAATGATCGTTCAGCATTCTTACGGAGTGATTCATAACTACTTCTACTATTCAACATACCTCTACTATCAATGGAATAAACAAACAACTGATTTCCATTTTCTAGATGTTGTATTTATCCCATACAAACACTTAGCAATTTTTCATCTAGTAAAACATTTCAGTAGGTTATCATCTAAAATATTCTTCATTATTTAGAATCAATGTAATGTAACAAGATGTCAACTTGTACTACGAGTCTATCGTTATCAATTGAATAAAATCCTTGAATTTAGTCAACAGTTGTATCATCCCGAAGTGATCGTTGAAGAGAATGTTTCTTCACAAGTCTATTTTCGACTTCATTTCGATCTCTTATCAAATATGCTCTATCTCATTGGACAAGAAGCTGTAAACGACTATTTTCGTAATGCGTAATTAGATTAGTTTTTAGATTTATGCATCGAATGATTACGGTGTCAGATTAACTCGTATTTGGAGGCATAGTTTATCGACGATAAATTCGATTATTCACAATCCAATCATGTTTTCTGACACTGGTCATATCGCTTTCATCTACGAACTAAACAAGACTATCTGTTGTTACTATTTCGCTGTTTTCTCAAAATCAGGTCATCAGAAACATGAAAATGCTTTGAAATTTAATTCTACTAACTCTCTTTCATTCAGGTTTGTACTACGGATGGCGCACAGAAACATTTCGATCGTTCATTAAATTGAACAAACCGTTCTTCTTCGATGTTAGTGGAAGTTTATATTTTAATGCATCACCACCTGTATTAATTATTCAAGCAACGGAACAATCGCTGATGGCATCACAATACGTAATAATTAATGTTGTTCCCAATCGAATAATTCACTACGAGGTCATTTGTAGCTGTTAATGAACCTGATCCCAGGTCCTATCTTCATTCACAAAACAGATCTAAATCAATTGTTCGTCTTCTGTTCGTTGTCAGTATGGCATGAATCGTTCCAATTAATCGGTTCGTCAATTCAATTTGAGTAAATCAAAGTTTTGTTCGTAAGCCACAGACTCTTGATATTCTTCATCAGTCAACTCGGACTCTTCTTTATCATAAATATGGATGTATTCCCATCTTCGGAATTCGCGTTTTGTTTGCAAACATATCCTTTATCCCATCCGACACTTCCACCATTCCGACAGTGCCAACTCACTATTTATTCTTCATCGGTCTCTAAAAACCTTCATTTGCAATTGTCTGGATGTTCTTTCGGTTATCAAGATCAGAACTCTACGATAATTACGTCGAAGTTTCCTTCAATTTTTCTCGAGACTGTCGTGAATGAGACATTTGCATACGGACGAATCTTCAACAAAACGTTACCGAACAATACATATATCGTTGACCAATGGAATCTCATTCATCTCCAAGTTTGTTGATCACAAAGTGCACTTTTTCTTCAATAAAACATTTAGAAAGTTGACCAAGTGTTAGATCGGTGTTTATTACAAAACATCAATCCAAATATCCATCGTCCACCGTTGGTCTCTATACAACCTGGAGCAACGTACATGCTCTCTTATACCCATCGATTAGGTATGTATGGATCCAGAAAATGTTACGAGAACAAAAATCAATTCTATCTCTTGAAAATAATTTTCAGTAACAAAAAACTTCTACTTTCTGACAAATAACGATTATCAGTTTCATGGCAATTCTATCTCGAATACTCAATATCTAACGGCGTCATTATTTAACAATGTACGTAATTAGTCAATGGAATATCTTTATTTTTCTCTCATTTCTTTTCAATAGAGGAAATCTATAATTAATCAGGTATTTACTCAAAGTCAATTATCGTGTCACCTACCTTCGCAACGAACTATTACGTTTGTCACAAAATGTCTGAAGAACACAGTCATTCGATCTGTATTCGAAATCGATCCAGATTTATCGAAATTGACTGCGATTGAACCACCGGTAGCTACCAAATGAACACTCTTCCTGTTCTTCTTTGTTAACATATCATCATTTAGGCCAATTTTCAATTAGAACGGTATCGAGCTGGTTTTCATTCCGTGATTGTGTATAATGTTGACGTCGGTCAAGAAGTTAGATTCAATATCGAAGTACACATTAGACCTTTAAAATGTTTTTAGAAATCAATTTGTGATGGATTTAAGAATTGTTCGTGCATTTCAACATTAATGTCTAATAACTCAATCATGCATTGTGCAGAACGAGTAAGAAACTAGATAAAACTGTTTCAACATCTCTTTTCCTTTGTTGAAAGTTCTATACAATAAATTCAACGATTACCAATCGTGTGCACATGTCTTTGTCGATGAAGAGCGAACACATCGGCAAACCAACCGATAAAAGTATCTTTTTGATTGAAGAAGTATCAAACCGCGTTGATTTTCAAATTATTGGTAATACAATTTACTTGTTCAGATCTTCTCATATTAATGTATCGTCGTATTAGATAATCTTTGGACGAGCGCAATAAAAGAAGAGTATCTGAATTTATTCCAGAAGAATATCGAAGAATTAATTGATATTGAAATGCGTATATTTCATATTTTAAATAGCTCTCTACCTCACGATAAACTCATTTTTCTCGGAGGGAATTTAAAACTTCACTTACTGGTAAAGTCCATTTCCGTCAAAGAGAAACTTGATACTCTCTCTTTTGTCAGGATGAAGGCCTTTTCCATTTTCGGATTACTTATCTATGGGGCGATCAATATTGTCTAACCAGCAGTGATCTCATAGTACGCACAATTGCTCTTTTCATCCTTCGATTGACAGTTTTCATCATAGATTATGGTGATCAGCAATACACCGACATTGACCAGCTATACATTTAATTATCTTCTCGCATGTATCTTAATATTAATAGTAATGTGTGTATTTTGGGTGGTTTATGTGATTTTTTCTGAGAAAATTCTTCGAAAGTATTGGAAGAACTTCTTTCAATCGAAACGAGAAAGTTTCTTCGTGAAGCGATCGATCAATGATCATATGAACTTTGAAATGTTAGTGAAAATTCGTGAACAATCGCAAAACTCCTTAACAAACAAGAAAATGAACTTTCAACAGGAGTAATGAGTCGTTTCAGGTTAAACTACTCATAACAATATGTACGATTTGCAATTATCGACTATCAACGTGTAATTATCTCTGTTTGTCATCATGTTCTTCTATGCAACATAGTTTTGTTGTTTCCAGCATGTTTTATTTATAAAACAGCGGTTAATGAATACTATTAGAGAAGATTTGTTCTCGATCAATATGATCGTTCGCCAACGTGCACTAATACTTGATCAGCAAGTTTTAATGTAAGAAAGGGATTGCTCCTTCAACGTCCCAAACAACTTGTCATTCGGTTCGACTCGAATCAATAGAATCTCAAGTTAATATTCTCATTTATTTTCTATAGAAAATTAGAATTCATCCAATTTAGAATTTCTGAATGAGAAAATTAGTTTGTATCCAACTTCCTTTTCTTAGCGGTTTAGTTCCTGTTACCTGCTGTGATCAACTAGTCGTTTTTCTCTTCCTGATGAAAAATTCAATAGATGCAGATTAAACATAGGATTTTCAATTATTTGTAATAGACGGAGAAGCGTAAGAAGCTTTCGTTTGGTTCCTTGATGAGAAAAGAAAGAAGAAGGAGATTTCATCGATCTACTTCTTCGATTGATTCATTGAGATTTGATAGGAGATGTCCACTTGATGATCAAATGAGAAGAATTTTTCTATCAAGTGGACAGCTTGATTAGTTCAATTCATCGAATTTTCTCTTGGCACAATGTCGACAAACGACACGATCTGAATTCGATTAGCGAGTGAGAGATTCTGATGACGAGGCTTCCTTTTCCTTTTTCTTTAATAGCATCATGTATCTTAATGAAGACTTGAATACAACTAAAACATACGACGTGCTATTTTTCTTCTGCACTCTTTGGTCAACATTGTAAAGAGATTGATGACGACGGTCAATATTTTTCTATGCTCACAAATGAAACGACCATTAGCAAATGTATACATGCATACATACTAACACCTTTCACACCTCTAATGATCATTACACATCCGGTGTTAGAAATTGACAAAATGAAAATTTTCTGTATTATTAATGTAACAGCATTCTTTGAAAAAGAAAGAATTTACAAGATAACATCCATTAGAAATCTGTACGCTTGGTTACTTCCATATTGTTTTCTATATATAAAATCTTCACATCTCGCCTTGCCTTCTATACTCATAAGCACTGATTCGCTTTCTATATGTGTCTTCATGTGTATGTCTAATAAGCAATTATCAAGAAAGTACGACAGGACTTTCTATAACAATCGTTCCCAAGAGAGCGAAAACGATAAAAAATTTCAAGAAAGATCGTATAGAGAGCTTATCCGTTGTCATTGCTTCGGCTCTAATCTTACTCTCGTCTATAATTTAAGATATTCTCTCTTCTTCTTTCGTATTCTCTATCCAATATGCGTATTAGTAATTTTCATCTCTTATTCATGCTACTACCACTCAGACGATGTCGTCTATTATTTATTGATGCTGGGAGGTAGAAGCAACACTAATTTATTCTCTTCACCTACACAGTTAGTCAGCCTGCCTCATACTACGATAAGTGTAGAGCAAAGCACAACAGGGGGGGCTAGATGAAGAGAGACAGCGAAAAAGAAAGAGAAAATCAGCGCGCTCTTTCTCTCTCTCTCTCTACCCGTTTCGATCAACAATGAGTGGGTCATGGTTCGCACTCGTTGTCACATACATGCATACATACATGTATACACATACACATCGATTATTTACAGCAGCTAGAGCAATCCCGGTATGGTGCATTTGGTGAGAAGAAACAAATGAATGCGTGACAGAACCAAATCAATTCATCATGTCATAGTACGAACTATTAACGATTGAGTATAGAAAGGAGGAAGACGAGTAGAAAATATAAAACTCGGTGGCATTCGAACTAATCGAACATGATTTCATATTTCATCATCTATATATTTATATTTATATTTATATATTTCTTTCTTTTTTGTACTTTTATACAACAAGAAAACGTTTCTTTCCATTTCACTGTGTATCCATGTCGCGCGTGTGAACAAATAAACGGAGAGCAAAAAAAAGAACAAGACAGAAGAAAAAGTTTTGGAAATCAATAGAGAGAATGTGTATAAAAACGAACAAAACGGCACGAACACACGTATACAGCCGATGCGACAAAATAGAGAAAATGACAGACAGAAAAAAAGAAGAAGAAGAAGAGATAACGAAGATGTCGTATGAATTGAGATTCAAATAGATTGCACATCGACCGGGCTTTTATTTTTGTTTGAATAAGACAGGAAAAACAAGAAGGTCTTTCGTTTACATATGCTGTTCAGGTGACGATGGATCTGGCGGAGAGTAATCTTGATGTGGAACAGGTGGTATGGGCGAATAAAAGTGTTGTTGAGAAGAAAGAGGTTCTGGCTTCATATACAAATACGGTTGATTGTTAGTGTAACCATATTGAACTGGGGGTGGAGGTGTCTGAGAGCTTGTACTTGAGGGTGGACCATAGTGATACATAGTCGATGAAGGAAATGGATGTGAATAGAGAGAATTGGGATCCGCCATCGGATAAGACGGATTACAATCTGTTAAGTAGGGTGAAGATGATGACGATGATGCAATAACATTGCCTGGTAAAGCCCAGCTTGTTCCTCGTGGTGGTAATGGTGGTGGAAGATTTGCTGAAGATGAATTTAGCAGATGTTGCTGTTGCTGAAGATGTAAATGATTTGTCTTGTCTTTTTTCTGTTGTGAGCGATGATTATTCATTGCAACTGAATTATGAGTATTGGGTATGGGCGCTGTTTGCTGTAAATTTTTTGTTTTACGTCTCGGTCGGTATTTATAATCAGGATGTTCTTTCATGTGAATTGCACGTAACCGTTTAGCTTCATCGATAAAAGGTCGTTTATCTTCTTCATTTAGACTTTTCCATTCGGCGCCTAAACATCGACTTATGGCTGAGTTATGCATTTTGGGATTTTCTTGTGCCATCTTCCGTCGTTGGCCGCGAGACCAAACCATAAATGCATTCATTGGTCGTTTGACACGATCGTCAAATGACTTTTTCGCTGATGAACTATGATGATGATGATGGTGGTGGTGACTTGTCGAAAGGGAGTTCGGGGTTAGTGCGGATGAAGATGTTGGTGGTGTTGTGCCATCGGGAGATGATGATAGAGGCGATGAAGGTTCGTCTTTCGAAGAATTTGAATGTGGCCCGTGAATGCCATTAGAATATTGTGAATGTGGTGCTTGTAAATGATGTGGCATCATTAGATGTGAATTTGAATGGTGCTGATTCATCATCCAATTGGTCGATGGTGGTAATGGCTGTGCAGACGAGTTATGCACTGATGGATCATAAACGTTTCCATGATGGTAGGGTACATGATGATGTGGATAATGAGATGTATTAAAAGATAACTCGGGATTCGAGTCCATATTGTATAGAGAAACCATAGCTGAAAAGAAAAAGTGTTCAAATAGATGGTTAAAATTGAGAAAATGATGTTAACGGTGATGACATACTTTGAGAGAGAATTTTAAATAATCCAAACACTTAGCATTCCATTGGTTACTAGCTGAAGAGAAAAAAAATGATATTATTTTCATTATCAGCTGTTGATTATCTATCATAGACGACGAATGTCATTCTCAATTGTATTATGTATACAACAAACTACGCATACATTCAATTCATTCACTCATTCATTCATTCATTTTTGGTTTTCTTTTTCTTCTTCTTTTTTTCTTCGCCTTTTTTGTTTTCTCTATTGTTATAGAATAAAAGGAAGAACTTTACCTGGTGTATACGTGTTTGTTAATAAGAAGAAACCGTCATGTTGATGAGATGAATTCAATACAATACAATCGCATCGATACTCAATGTGCCTGACGCCGACGCTCACTCCCGTTTTTTCTCTTCTCTCTCTCTCTCTCTTGCGCCTTCTCTCTCTCTTTCTCCTTCTCTTTTTCTCTACGGATGGGAGCACAATAGAGTATAGAAGAAAAAAAATTTTGAGAGAGAAATATAAGCACTAGATTCGTATAATATCCCTCTTTAATAGCAGCACATGGCTTACCGTGTGTTATTCGAAAGGTGTGAGCGTGTATTGTTCTCTCGTTCTTCTCTAATAACAGCAGTCGGGTCAGGTATATTGAAGCAAACGGCCGTTTTCGTTCGTTTTCCTTTTTTTAGCAGAACGCAACGAGGAGAAAGCGAGAAGGAGGGAGCGAGCGAGAGCAAGAGAGAAGGAGAAAAGAGTTTTTTCTTTTACCCCGCCAATACGCTCCCAACCGATGTAACTGTTATTTCGATTGGCGCATCAGACCCAAAATACAACCAATCATGGTCAGAGACAAGAAAGAAAAATTTCATTAGAATATTTTATTGTTTGTTGTTATTACGATTGACGCGATCGTGTATGCATTCAAACAAAAATGAAAAAATACACAAATGAAAAAGAGCTTGATTACAAAATCCGTATTATTCATTTATTTGTCATTTTAATAACCTAAAAAGAAAGAAGATGAAGAGACAAAAAGTTTGTTTAGACTTCTCAGATAGATTAGAGAAAATATTCTCATCCGATTTTGGATAATAACGCAACGAATCCTAACAATAACAACGTATTTTATTTAATCTCTTGTCACACGTTTTATTTTCTCGTCTAACGAAAAGGAAATTATTTGCCTTATAGGTAGAAAGATAAGGAAACAGCAATTATGCTGATATAATATCAACGATTAAATGTTCATCATATCAAGTGATAACATACGGAATGTTAAACGGCATTTGTCACCTGAACAGCATATGTAAACGAAAGACCTTCTTGTTTTTCCTGTCTTATTCAAACAAAAATAAAAAGCCCGGTCGATGTGCAATCTATTTGAATCTCAATTCATACGACATCTTCGTTTTCTCTTCTTCTTCTTCTTTCTTTCTGTCTGTCATTTTCTCTATTTTGTCGCATCGGCTGTATACGTGTGTTCGNATATGCGTATTAGTAATTTTCATCTCTTATTCATGCTACTACCACTCAGACGATGTCGTCTATTATTTATTGATGCTGGGAGGTAGAAGCAACACTAATTTATTCTCTTCACCTACACAGTCAGTCAGCCTGCCTCATACTACGATAAGTGTAGAGCAAAGCACAACAGGGGGGCTAGATGAAGAGAGACAGCGAAAAAGAAAGAGAAAATCAGCGCTCTCTCTCTCTCTCTCCGTTTCGATCAACAATGAGTGGGTCATGGTTCGCACTCGTTGTCACATACATACGTACATACATGTATACACATACACATCGATTATTTACAGCAGCTAGAACAATCCCGGTATGGTGCATTTGGCGAGAAGAAACAAATGAATGCGTGACAGGACCAAATCAATTCATCATGTCATAGTACGAACTATTAACGATTTAGTATAGAGAAGTGGAAGAGGAGTAGAAAATATAAAACTCAATGGCTTTCGAACTAATCGAATATGATTTCATATTTCATCATCTATATATTTATATTTATATTTATATATTTCTTTCTTTTTTTTTACTTTTATACAACAAGAAAACGTTTCTTTCCATTTCACTGTGTATCCATGTCGCGCGTGTGAACAAATAAACGGAAAGCAAAAAAGAACAAGACAGAAGAAAAAGTTTTGGAAATCAATAGAGAGAATGTGTATAAAAACGAACAAAACGGCACGAACACACGTATACAGCCGATGCGACAAAATAGAGAAAATGACAGACAGAAAGAAAGAAGAAGAAGAAGAGAAAACGAAGATGTCGTATGAATTGAGATTCAAATAGATTGCACATCGACCGGGCTTTTTATTTTTGTTTGAATAAGACAGGAAAAACAAGAAGGTCTTTCGTTTACATATGCTGTTCAGGTGACGATGGATCTGGCGGAGAATAATCTTGATGTGGAACAGGTGGTATGGGCGAATAAAAGTGTTGTTGAGAAGAAAGAGGTTCTGGCTTCATGTACAAATACGGCTGATTGTTAGTGTAACCATATTGAACTGGGGGTGGAGGTGTCTGAGAGCTTGTACTTGAGGGTGGACCATAATGATACATAGTCGAGGAAGGAAATGGATGTGGATAGATAGAATTGGGATCGGCCATCGGATAAGACGGATTACAATCTGTTAAGTAGGGTGAAGATGATGACGATGTTGCAATAACATTGCCTGGCAAAGCCCAGCTTGTTCCTCGTGGTGGTAATGGTGGTGGAAGATTTGCTGAAGATGAATTTAGCAGATGTTGCTGTTGCTGAAGATGTAAATGATTTGTCTTGTCCTTTTTCTGTTGTGAATGATGATTATTCATTGCAACTGAATTATGAGTATTGGATATGGGCGCTGTTTGCTGTAAATTTTTTGTTTTACGTCTCGGTCGGTATTTATAATCAGGATGTTCTTTCATGTGAATTGCACGTAACCGTTTAGCTTCATCGATAAAAGGTCGTTTATCTTCTTCATTTAGACTTTTCCATTCGGCGCCTAAACATCGACTTATGGCTGAGTTATGCATTTTGGGATTTTCTTGTGCCATCTTCCGTCGTTGACCGCGAGACCATACCATAAATGCGTTCATTGGTCGTTTGACACGATCATCGAATGACTTTTTCGCTGATGAACTATGATGATGGTGTTGATGATGATGATGACTTGTCGAAAGGGAGTTCGGAGTTAGTGCAGATGAAGATGTTGGTGGTGTTGTGCCATCAGGAGATGACGATAGAGGCGATGAAGGTTCGTCTTTCGAAGAATTTGAATGTGGTCCATGAATGCCATTAGAATATTGTGAATGTGGTGCTTGTAAATGATGTGGCATCATTAGATGTGAATTTGAATGGTGAGGATTCATCATCCAATTGGTCGATGGTGGTAATGGCTGTGCTGACGAGTTATGCACTGATGGATCATAAACGTTTCCATGATGGTAGGGTACATGATGGTGTGGATAATGAGATGTATTAAAAGATAACTCGGGATTCGAGTCCATATTATATAGAGAAACCATAGCTGAAAAGGAAAAATGTTCAAATAGATGGTTAAAAATGAGAAAATGATGTTAACGTTGATGGCATACTTTGAGAGAGAATTTTAAATAATCCAAACGCTTAGCATTCCATTGGTTACTAGCTGAAGAGAAAAAAAATGATATTATTTTCATTATCAGCTGTTGATTATCTATCATAGACGACGAATGTCATTCTCAATTGTATTATGTATACAACAAACTACGCATACATTCAATTCATTCACTCATTCATT